CGCGCTCGAGCGCCGCCCCGGCGGCCCCCGCGCGGCGCAGCCGCGGTGCTCCTGCCCGCGCGCCTCAGATCCCGGCGCGCACGCGCCGAGGCGTCCCCCCCGCCCGTCACTCGCGACGCATGCGCGCGCAGGCCTTCGCCCGCCGAAGAAAGAACGCTTCGCGCCTACCGCTTTCCCGCGATGGCACGCTCCCCCTGCGACGGTGATTTATATACGCGAGGGGTGGGGCCGAGGGGAGGCGCGCCCCCTTCTCGGAGCTTCGGCCAATCGGGAGTCGCGGCTGTCGCCACACGCGTGGATTGGCAGCCAATTGGAATCTTCTCTAGCAGCCGTTCCAGGAGCCACCTCCCCCCTTACTCCCGCCTCCTTTGTCCCATTTCGGCCAATAGGAGGAGTGGTATACCGTGTCTTTAACCAATCAACGTTCTGAGATAATTTTCTCGAAAGTGTGGGCGAGGGTCCTTGTTTGTTGAGGGCGGGGCTTATCACGTGCCCGTGACAGTGTTACTTCGGTCCAAAGCTTACATTCCTCGTAAGAAAACGTTTACTATTTTTATTAACGATGGAAATAATTAAAGAATAATTCTCAGCGTAGCGTATAAAGGTGGGAGCAGGACCACCTGAGTCTCTTCAGGTTTCTAGTCCTCATTGCAGGCGTTAATTTAAGCCTCCCCAGCGGATTCCCCACGTCTCCTAAAGAGAAACTTGCTTGTTGCCGCGGGGACGGGTATTTGGATCGTAATCCGAGTAAACAGAAGTAAATTCCGTCTTGCATGTAAACAAACAACAGCAGCACAGGGCTCCCAATATGGGCAGTTGTGGATGGTCACGTGGCGTCGCTTCCCGAAGGGAGAAGGGCCGCAAAGCCTCCTGGTCCTTGTAGTTTCCGAGAGTCCAGGATACACTCTGCACATGTGCGAAGGGCGACGCCCGCCCTCCTGCCTTAGGAAAGCAAATTTAAGCGCGTGCGTGCAATAAATCCACCCCCCCCCGTAGATTTCATATTTTCGGCATCTTTTCTTTGCATGGGCCGGGCACAACATATTGGACTGCAACCCTCATTATCCACAGCTCCCACCGCTCTTGTACAGGCTGGTTTGCGGAAGATAGGGAGTTGTAAGTCGAAAACGCCCACAGCCATCCGCTCTCTCGCTGCTTCCCGGGTATGTTTCGCGTGACTTGCACGCTCTTGCTCGCCTCCAAAGACGCAACCACAATAGAAGACGCTTCCGGGCGCTGAAGTGTTCCTGCAAGCCAGATTTAAAGATTGACTGGCTTGCTGGATGCAAACGCACCCCCTTGCAACGGATTGTGTCAATCCTGGCTACATGCCCCCCACGCCGCCTAACTGCCCTGTGGTGTTCGGATCTTTTGCACCCCTAATTAGGCGCAGAGGCTCAACCTCACGCCCTCCACCAAGCCGTGCAACTGGCTCAGCGGGTGCGTGATTGCAAACGGCAGGCAGCCAACCGCCTTTTCGTAGTGGAAAGCGGTTGCAAAAGGGCGGGATTTCTCCTGAGCCACGGCGCAAAACTCGCAATTGCACCGCGCAAGGCTGCAAGAGCAGTATTGTCCCTGCCGCTCAGCCCGGCTCTTGTGCGCATGCGCGGCGCGCGAGCCTGCGGGTGCAACAAGCGGGTCCCGGAGATTCTATGACTCAGTGCTAGAGAGAGACACGCCCCCTTCGAGGCCAGCGGAGACCCGGATGTGCGGAGCCGCGTGCAGGGGCCGCGCCTGCGCGTTAGGGCAGAAGCGAGCGGGTGCGCGCGCTTCTCGTTCGTTGGTGTTTTACCTCAGTTTACGGGCGCAAAGGAAAAAATTAACTTTTTTTTTAAAAAGAAAACTGAGGTAATGTTGAGCTTTAAAACAAACGAGCGAAGTTTGCCGTTGTGGTACAAATACGACACAAAAGCCCCGGTTCTGTCGAGCCCGCGCTTTTTTTTTACCTCACGAAAAAAATGCTGAGGCGAGAAAAAGCATTGAGGTGCCAGGTTTGCTTTGTCATGGATACCGCAGCATTGAAAATCCACATTAAAATTCCTTCTGTCGCACAGGAGAGCGCTTTAATTCTTAATTTCACAGTCTTTCCTTTGCCGACAAGATGCCAGTAAAAAGCGGCAGAGAAAAGGATGGGAATCCTGAGGCCCTACAGGCACTTTTTTTTACCTCAGAATGAGCCTCCATGTCAAGATTTCTTGGGTTCAGCAGCAAATGTGGCTTTTCCTGGTGGCTGCTTTAAGAGGAGTCCCTCCCTGCCTGTATTTTTATTTATTTCGCTTCTACATGAGCTCTTCTCACCAAAATTTAGTCAGAATTTGAACCAACAGAAAACTAGGAAGTCTCCACCTTTTGTTCCAAACCAAGAAAATGGCTTCTGGTATCATCGTCAAAAAAAATCCATTTGATCCTTTAGTAGCCCCAGGATAAACTCCCTTGATCCCCCTTTTTGTGAGAAGATCCCTCAGAGATCGTATGAGGGGAAACCTATTGGTAGAGATTAGAATGAGCAGGGCAAAATGTTTGCCTTAAAAAAAAACACCTTCAAATGGAATATTTTTCATTTAAACCTAGGACACCAGGTACCTTAAGGTACTAAGGAAGCCACCAAGGTGAACATTCCTGCATGGAGAGCTTGATGTTTGTGTAATTCCACCATTTGCTACCCACACGAATGGTGGCCGCTATCTGGAGTGGCTTTAAAAGGCGATTCATGGAGGACAGGTCTCTTATCATCCCTGAAGACTCAGCCCCATTTTTGGGGTCTCCAGGTTGGAAGCAGATGCCTCCAAGCCTCATTTGTAGAAGAACATCTCCCCCTTGGGAACTGCTTGGAGGCATCTGGCCTAAGATGGTCCTCAGGTGGATGGAAAAGAGTTCATTTTAGCCTCTCACAGTTTGTGTAGTTCATTCCTGTTAAGACAGGATGGTGGCCGTTATCTGGAATGGCTTTAAAGAGGCATTCATGGGGGACAGTTCTATTCTTATCATCTTTGAAGACTCAGGTCTAGCTCCATGCTAGGAACAGATGCCTTCAAGTCCCACTTTCAGGGGATACCTCCATTTGTGGTTTGGGAATTCCTTGGAGGCATCTGCTTGAAGGAAAGGTGCTCATTTACAGAATAACAGAGTTTGAAGGGTCTTCTATTCCTGGGGTCTTCAAACTTGGCCCTTTTAGGAGTTGAAGTCCACAAGACCTAAAAGGGCCAAGTTTGAAGACCCCTGTTTTATTCCAACATCTGCCCAAGCAGACTTCAACTTCACACAGTCTGTGGAGCTCATTCCTACAAGATGTGATGATCACTATTTGGAATAGCTATTGGGGGATTCATGGAGATTGGTCCTATCAGCCTTGAAATGTAAGACTGCTTCCAAGCTGAGAGCAGATGCCTTCCACTTGAAATCCTACTTGGAGGCATCTAGCCTAGAATGGGCCTTGGGCTGATGGGACAGGACTTGCCTTAACACTTCAGCCTATGGGACTCATGCCCTCAAGAGAAGCACTATGGAATGGCTTTAAAGAGGGACCCTTAGAGGACAGATCTACCCTATCAGTCTTAAATACCACTTCCAGGTTGGGAGCAAACCTCACTTTCAGGAGAATCCCAAAAGGAGAGAGGAATGATTGTGAACATTCTGGAAGCATCTGGTGGGCTTCATTGCTGGGAAGAGTGGTTTGGTGTTCTAGAAGAGGTACCCAGCACAAAGGGGGCCATCTTTGACAGCTGTCCTCTTGACTTTCAAGGAGCAGCTGGAAAAGGCAATCCAGAATGGGTCTTAGTTGCAAGGCAAGTCCATTTGCAAGCCTTGGATATAGAAGCTTAAGTCTGTCATGACTTTAATTAAAAAAAAAAAAGGTTTCTGTTCTTTAATTTGAGTCCAGAAACAAACAGGAAGCTAGTCAAGAACTGTTGCTCATAAACCAACATGCAACAACATATTGCAGTAAGGAAGCTAGGATGTTGTTACTTGGAGCCCAAAGAATTGTAGACAAATTAACAGTCGCTAGGAGAGATGGTGCAGGTTCGAATGTTAACTTAGATGTGTGCCCATTTTTCACACATAGCTCAGAAAGTACCATCATAGTCTCCTACCCCTAGATTTCTGCAAAGGATCTATTCTAATCATTGTCCAAGAGGCAAAAAAATCACAATATTTATTGTGAGACCTTCAGGAACATCAGCCGTGGCATTTTTGTAGACCCCCTCAAGGGCTGGGATTTGGGGGCACCACTAGGTCAGTGTGATGCGCTGTGGGTCTCAATCCTTCCCGCCCTGTTTCGTTTAAAATCTGCATGAAACCATCCATCGAGGTCATGCTATGATTTCAGAGAAGGAGTCATCAGTATGCAGATTTTTATTTATTTATCAGATTTATACACTGCCCGTCTCACCTTAGTGACTCTGGGCAGTTTACAATGCAGGTAGTCCTTCTTAGAACAGTTCATTTATTGACCATTCAGAGTTACAACGGCACTGAAAAAAGTGACTTATGACCATTTTTCACAGTTACGACCTTTGCAGCGTTCTCATGTTCCTGTGATCAAAATTCAGATGCTTGGTAACTGTTTCACATTTATGATGGTTGCAGTGTACCTGGGGGGGGGGCACGTGATCCCATTTTGCGACCTTCTGACCAGCAAAGTCAATGGGGAAGCCAGATTCACTTAACAACCGGGTTACTGACTTACCAACTGCAGTGATTGAGGCAAAAACAGGGGCAAGAAAGGTCGTAAAACGGGGCAAAACTCACTTAACAAATGTCTCGTTTAACAACAGAAATTTTGAGGACTATTTGTAAAAATAATACAGTACTATAAAAACCTTAGTTAGAAGAGCAAAGGTAAAAACAGAAAGAAGAACAAGATTAAAATGAAGATGTTAAAAGAGGTGGAGAAAGTGCGTCCATCTCCCCACCCCCCTCAGGTTGCAGGTCACTCGTAGACCCCCAGGCCACTTGGCAGAGCCAGGTCTCTAGAAGGCCAAAGGAGGGGAGGGGGCATCTCACCTCTGGGGCTAAGAAGGCAGAGAAGGCTCTGTTCCTGGCTCCCTACGTGAGTTAAGGAAGGGGAAAGAAAGTTGAAACTTAAGCCTAACAAGAGGAGCAGTTGCTATCCAGGAGACACCCAAGTCTAGGATTATGCCCACTTGAGATGGGGCTATGTTCCCCAGGAAGAGCTGATCTGCAATCTAGGGGTCCTTCTGGGCTCTTAACTCCAAGGATCTAGGATAGCTAACTAGGCCAATCTGACTGTATAACAAATCCTAACCTATGGAGGCATTTTCTTTCAGGGAAATGTTCTAAAAATAGTCCTTTAAAAGATCAGTATAGAAAATTAAACATTACTTTTCATAAACACAGCCGCTGTCTGATGGCTTTTGCTTGGTTGCTGTTGTTTTCTGACTGGATGATCTGGCTACCTTATGGAGCAACAAACCAGGGCACCAACAGATACGGAATTTTCAATACCTTTTTGATGCTGCTATCTCCTTCCTCTCTTGTTTAATTTGTGAATGAGACAGGCTTAAGCTGACCTTAGCTATACTGGTGTTAAAGTATTATTTTTTCCTTATTCTGACATCGCAGAAGGGCAGCCTAAGCGTATAAGATAAGATAAGATAAGATAAGATAAGATAAGATAAGATAAGATAAGATAACCTTTATTGTCATTTTTTTACATTTACATTTTTTTATCTGTTAGGGTTTATGGCCCCTTATCTCCAAGGAAAGTTGGCAGGGCAGTGATGGGAAAAGGGCGGGAGAAGGAGAAAGCCATTCTGCTGACAGGAATGGCTGGATTCAGCTCCTAGCTAGAACAACCTTCTCTTTATTTTTCCAATACGTTTGTCAGTCTGTCCCAGTTCTCTAACGATGCAGATGCAACTTGGAGATGTACCGCCATGTGGTGAAGAGATGGTTTATTAACAGATTTTACTGTGGTCTTATTACATAATTAGATTTAGATATATACAGTAGTGTAGTATTAATAGAGTGAAAGAAAGGGGGGAATCTTGGGGAATTTATGCTAGTGGGATAGCAGGTTCCTCTTTTAAAGGTGGCCTAAATAACACGCACTTTGCTTTTTCTCCCCGTTCCTCCTCTTGTTTTCAATAAAACAGACGTAAAGCAAAACCATTTGGACAGGTTGATGAACAATGACAAGCCAGAGCAAGAAGAACGGTAAGTAATGATCAGTCTGTACTCCGTTCTTGATGTATTAAAGTAGCTACGTCTCCAGGGGTGCTGCAATGTTTTGCATTACTTCTTCCAACACAGGTTTTTGCGTGTTTGCAATTTTTTTTTACTATTTTTACCACTTTTATTAGTTTTAGGGACTGGTGCTCATGCATTATACGTTGCCTGGATGCTCCTGGGACAAGCCTTGTGCGGCTTTCCTCTCCATAGTAGTGCTACTACAGGTTGTCCTTGACTTACAACTGTTCATTTGGTTACAATGGCACTGAAAAAAGTGACCTGTGACTGTTTTTCACACTTACAACCCTTGCAGCATCCTGGTGGTCAAGTGATCAAAATTCAGACGTTTGGCAACTGACTCGTGTTATGACGGCTGCAGTGTCCTGGAGTCATGTGATCCCCTTCTGCGACTTTCCGACAAGCCAAGTCAAATGGGGAAGCCAGATTCACTTAACAACTGTATTACTAACTTTACAGCTGAGGTGATTCACCTTACAACCATGACAAGGTTGTAAAATGGGGCAAAACTCACTTAGCAACTGTCTCGATTAGGAAAGCGAAATTTTGGGCTCCACTGTAGCCGTAAGTCGATTCAAGTCTGGAGGGTTTTGCTTATTCCATTCCTGCTTTGGCAGCATTAGCTGCCATGGTGATGCTTGTTTTCATTACGCCCAGGTCAGTCACCACGATGCAGATTTGTTCCGCCCTTGTTCTCTAAGACTGGTCAACAGCTTCTTCCAAGTGCTCTTCTTCGACTTTCTGTGAGGTCAAAACTGGACTTCTTGGTCACCTGCCCCGGTATCATCATGGCCTTGCAGAACTTATCAGGGTGGAAATTATTCATTGCTGCTTACTGCCTTCTGCAACAGCCCCTGCCCTTGACAGCTGGCTGGGTTGTTTTTACACACAGTGCAGCCCTAGCACTATCTTCTTCCTAATAGCTAGCAGGTGAGGGAGAGCCCTGGGCGGGCTCCTTCCCCCCCTTGCTTGCTGTTTGCTGGAAGACCCACCAACCTCTTTCTTTAACCTGATCCACCATCAGGAAGAAAGCTCAACACTGAATGCCGCCAAATAGGAGCCAGCAAATTCATGCTGGTGCACCTTTCAGCAGGCTCAGTTCAAGAGCCGAATTCCAGCCTCAATTAACTCTCTCAGAAAAAAAAAAGGGAGCCCGAAGAGGCCTGCTGACACCGCTAGTCCTCAACGTACAATCCCAATTCAGCCCCGAATTTCCACAGCTCAGCGAGACATTTGTTACCTGAGTTTTGCCCCATTTTACGACCTTTCTTGCCACAGTGGTTAAGTGAATGACTGCAGTTAAATTAGTAATACAGTTGTTAAGTGAATCTGGCAAAGGGGGGTTCACACGACCCCGGGACACAGCAACGGTTGTAAATACGAGTCAGTTGCCAAGCGTCCAAATTTTGATCCCGTGACCATGGGGGTCATAAGTCACTTTTTTCAGTGCTGTTGTGACTGTGAACAGTCACTAAATCAGTAGTTCTCAACCTTTTTAATGCCGCGACCCCCAACCGGTCGTAAGTCGAGGACTACTCAACTGGTGCAGCACCGTTTGCAGAATGGGACTTTTGGCAGGCTCAGCAGGGCAGAGACAGCCTGGACAATTCCTATTGGCTTTTGAAAGCCAATAGAATTAGACTCTATTCAAGAGAGTCTATTCTATTGGCTTCCAAAAGTCAATAAAATAAAAGGGAGTAGCACAGCTAAGGAAAAGGGGGAAAAAATGGCGGGCTGCGTTGTTTGGCGACCCCCGTGAAATGGTCGTTCGACCCCAAATGGGGTCCCGACCCACAGGTGGAGAACCACTGCACTAAATGAACGGTTGTCAGTTAGGGATTACCTGTATGTATGACCCCTCACCCTATCCAGTGTGTATTCTTGAAGTTAGGGAAAAGAGCTGGTATCTTTCCAATTTCTAGGTAAAAGTCAGAGCCCTGAGCAAAGAATAAAACGTCATGAATTTGTCTTCTTTTTCAAAAACAGAGAGCAAGAGTCGTTCCCAGAGTTTCTACTGAAAATGGAAATTTGTCTCTTACTACGATCTCTGAATGAAATAAAAGGAGGTGTCAGGTTATAGACCAAAATAACAATAACAATATTTTAGCTTGTATAAAGTAATCCCTGGTGGATTGCGCTTTGTGTAAGTTAGGATTGCTGCTTTTTTTCTTTTTGTCTTACTAAGACAAAAACAAAGCAGCAATCCTAACTTACACAGAGTATAATTTATACATTATTAATGAAGATGTGGTTTTTCTCCTTCCAGAATCCAACAAACTGCCCAAAAGAGTCTTTGCTCCTCCCGTAGTGAAGTCCTACAGCACACCCTTTGGAAAAGGTGAATTGGAGCTTCACGGCAAGGCAGAAGATGGAGTTACAGCCAAATCCATAATAAATATGTTACCAGTGCAAAGTAAAAGACAGACAGAGAGGACGGCTAATGTAGAAAAGAAATCTCAGTGCAAGAAGAATTTGGAAATGATTGAGAATGTAGGTGGGACAATGGATTTCGTTTCCTTGAGTGAGATTCCCAAGCCAGAGTTTCAGAACAGGAAAAATTGGAATACTGGAGTTTCATATCACCAGCTTCTCCTTGAAAAATTAGGATGGACAATTAATATTTCAATTTTCTTTTTTCTCTATATTTGCTTTACATATAAGTTCTTAGCTGGAAAATTACAGGACAATTTACAAAGGCAAAACAATATAGAATTACAAAATGTATAAAACCACAGAACAGAACGCCACATAAATGCCTGACCTCTGTTAAAAGATTTTCTCTTTTTGGGGGGCAACCTGTACTGTGATTGTAAATTAGTTACTTTCATCTGTGTGTCTTTGGAGCATCACACCAACGTTTCCTAGATGTTTTATTTTCTTATAGATGAACATTGGGAATTGCAGAGGGTACACTCAATAGAAGCTTTCTCTTTACTGAAGTTAAATCACTTCAAACTACACAATATATTTAGATTTTTTTCCTCTTTTTTGTGTGGAAGGAATGGGATGGAAATTCATCTGTAAAATATTCAATACTTTCTAGATCAAAACCAAAGACGAGTCTGGCATTTTAAAGGACTAGCAAATATATTTAATATAAGTCTAGGATCGTGCAAGCTGAAATCCAAGGCATCTGGAAGGCATGAGTTGGGGAGGCTTGTTTAAAATGTCAAGGCCAAAGATTAGCACTTCTGATTGTGTTGAAAAACTTCAAGGCAAATCCAGAAATTAGAACACACAAAATAAGTGCCTGAGCTGTGTTTTAGATCCAGAGAAGGTTCTCAGCTAAAAAATTAAAAAATAACCTCCATTCTGGTGCTAGCTGGTTTTTATATTTATCATATGCTAAATCAGTGGTTCTCAACCTGTGGGTCGGGAACCATTTCACAGGGGTCACCAAACCATGCTGTCCGCCATTTTTCCCCTTTTCCCTTGCTGTCCTACTCCCTCTTATTGGTGGCCACACCCACTTGGGGGTCACCACAACATGGGGAACTATATTATGGGGTCACGGCATTAGAAAGGTTGAGAATCACTGTGCTAAATGCAGCTACTTTCACCGTTCTCTTTTCATCTTTTCATAGGAAAAGGAGTGTCTCACCGATGCACAATTTGAGGAAATCGTCCAAAGTGTACTTCAAAAGTCTCCCCAAGAATGCATGGGTATGTTGAAACTGGGAGGAGAGAGAGAGAGGGAGGGAGGGAGGGAGAGAGGGAGGGAGGGAGAGAGAGGGAGAAGGAAGGAGAGAGGGAGGGAGAGGGAAGGAGAGAGAGGGAGAGAGAAGGAAGGAGGGAGAGAGGGAGGGAGAGAGGAGAAGAAAGAGAGAGGGAGGGAAAGAGGAGAAGAAAGTGAGAGGGAGGGAAAGGGAGAGGGAGGGAGAGAGGGGAAGGAGGAAGAGAGAGGGAGGGAGAGAGGGAAAGAGAGGGAGGGAGAGAGAGGAAGGGAGAGAGGGAAGGAGGGAGGGAGAGAGGGAGAAGAAAGGAGAGAGGGAGGGAAAGAGAGGGAGAGAGGGAGGGAAAGAGAGGGAGAGAGGGATGCAGAGGGAGAGAGGGAAGGAGGCAGAGAGGGAGGGAGAAGAAAGGAGAAAGAGGGAGGGAGAGAGGGAGGGAGAGAGGGGAAGGAGGAAGAGAGAGAGAGGGAGGGAGGGAGGGAGGGAGGGAGAGAGAGAGGTGCAAAAAGAATTAAAAAGCAACTGCTGTTAATGTAAAGATGAAAACTAAATATCTCTTACGTTCCACTGCATTGGTCAAGACGAGAAGATGCTGATTTTGCCTACTGTAACTTGCCAAGTCCTGTCCAGGCTTCTTTAAATCACGGTGGCTGCCTCTCAGTCACGTGGCAGCTATTTATTTCCTAGTGCAGGTAGTCCTCGACTTAACAACAGTACATTTAGTGACCGAAATTAGAGCGGCACTGGCAAAAGTGACTTCTGACTGTTTTTCACCCTTACTACCATGGCAGTCCACACACGGTCAGCTGATCACATTTCGGCCACTTGGCACTCGCCTCCTATTTTATGACGGTTGCAGAGTCACACAATCCTCTTCTGTGGCCTTCTACCCAGCAAAGTCACTGGGAAAGCCAGGTTCACTTAACAACTTTGTAACTTAACAACTGTAGTGATTTACTGTACAACTGCGGCAAGAAACGTCATAAAATGGGGCAAACCTCATTTAACAACGGAAATTTTGGGCTCAATTGCGGTTGTAAGTGGAGGACTACCCGTACTGTACGGATACGCTTTTTACTAGTGCGGTGCCCAATAACAGCAGCTAAATCAAAACAGTCCCTAAATTTTAATATTAAGCATTAAAAAAAATCAAACAAACTCAGCCTAACGCTTTCTCCCTGCACATATTTTTAATCTTTGGAACGTGGCTCACCGGAGCTTTATGAAGCTGTTCCACTTTCATTCCTAGAAAAATTTCAGAAGAGACGTGTTTCAGCAGAGTCTGCGGAAGGCCAGCCTTCGAGCAGGTGAGTAATACCTGCAACTTGTGTAAGTGAAGTGCAGTTACCCTGGACGGAAGCTCAGCTTCCTGTATCTTCATGCCCATGTGGTTTTCTTGGCAACAAAGCCAAAATTGTTCCACTGCCTTCCTTCTGGGATTTGACTTTCCCTACTGGCCCATCCTACAGGCCCGGGGCTTTCTGGTGCTTTCACATCCAAGTACAGTAAAGAGCCCTTCGTGGCTTTTCAAGATCAGCCAAGGTCGACTCCTTTGCTGCCCTCTGCTGTAGAACTGGTTTTGGAATGTATTATTTTGACTCCAAACAAAACAAAACAAAAAAATCCAGTTCCTTTTTCTTGAAGCACCTCAAGCATTCCGCCTGTGGGAAGAAAGAGACTTCTGGGTTAGAAATAGCTAGCTAGCTAGCTAGCTAGCTAGCTAGCTAGCTAGCTAGCTAGCTAGCTAGCTAGCTAGATAGATAGATAGATAGATAGATAGATAGATAGATAGATAGATAGATAGATAGATAGATATAGTAGAGATCAGATAGATAGATAGATAGATAGATAGATAGATAGATAGATAGATAGATAGATAGATAGATGGATGAATAGATAGACAGATAGATATAGAAGAAGTAGAGATCAGATAGATAGATAGATAGATAGATAGATAGATAGATAGATAGATAGATAGATAGATAGATATAGAAGAAGTAGAAATCAGATAGACAACAGACAGACAGATAGATATGGATACATGGATGGATAGATGGATGAATAAGATAGGTAGGTAGGTAGGTAGGTAGGTAGGTAGGTAGGTAGGTAGATAACCTTTATCATCATTTTTTTTTTTACTGTGGGCACAACGGCACACATCAAAAATGAAATTTAGTTGCCCACTCTCAAAGTAAAACACATACGTGACACACACCTAAAACATACTATATACAACCTACGTGTAGACCCGCAGCCCTACATATACTTAACAAATAAATATTAAATACTGTCCATCTTGAACATATAACGGAAGGAGGAAGCCTGAGAGTTCACAAGGTTAATGCTGTAATGCTATGGATACCCTCAATCCTGTGTTTAACTGCTGCAGACGATAGCAAAGAATTAAAATAGTGTCGTCACACAGGAGAGCAGCAGAACTGCTCTTCATGTCCTATTGCTGGTTAGTAATAATAATAATAATAATAATAATAATAATAATAATAATAATAATAAAGTTGGAAGGGACCTTGGAGGTCATCTAGTCCAACCCCCTGCTCAGGGAGGAAACCCTACACCCTACACCAAAGGGCTGTCCAGTCTCTTCTAAAAAAAAGAGGGAAGCCCCTGGAATGTAGCTGCAAGAGTAAGGAAATAGTAAACGCGGCGTCCTCTGCGCTGAACACTGCAGTACATAACAAAAGGTACTGAATTTCAGATGAATTGGGCAGTCATTGGACTACTAGGGCCTCCTGCCTGGGCAGAGGGTTGGACTACAAGGCCTCCAAGGTCCCTTCCAACTCTTGTTATCCTGTACTAGAAGCTGATAATTTGACCAGGGGCAGAAAACGATCCCCTTTGGCAGAGAGAGGAGAAAAATGGAGGGAAGCAGAAACGAAACCAGGGCAGATCGCTCTTCCACCAAGAGTTCGTCCATCCAGCTTAATAAACCACAGGCCTCCCCAGGCGTTTCGCTCTCGCACCCGCCTCTCTCAACCTGCCGCTGGGTCTTGCTCAAGCCAGGGGGACTTCCCACCAAGTGTTTTCACGGGAGGAATGAAAGAACATGTTTTGTTTTCCCACCCCGTTTGAGCCGCTTGCGAATGCCGTTCGGAAAAGGGCAAAATTTAGAAGGAAGATCTCAGCAGATTTTTTTTTTCACTCATGCTTACAGATGAGGAGAAGCTTCAGCTCTGAGGAAGCACCAACAGCCCCCCCCCCCCGATCTCTAGCCCAAGGGTCTGCTGGCTGAGGAATTCTGGGAGCTGAAGTCCACAAGTCTTAAAGTTGTCGAGGTTGCAGACCCCTGCTCTAGCGCAGTGTTTCTCAACCTGGACAATTTTAAGGCATGTGGACTTCAACTCCCAGAATTCCACAGCCAGCATTGCTGGCTGTGGAATTCTGGGAGTTGAAGTCCACATGCCTTAAAATTGTCCAGGTTGAGAAACACTGCGGGCGGGTCTAGCCCATCACTAGTAACAGAAAAGCAACACAGCAGTTGCAGATGTGAGCGCATCACCTTGTGGCCTCCGGGTGGCGCCCAAGTACACACAACACAGATAGATAACTTGAGCCACTGAGGGTTTGCAGCCTCACAACCAGCCCATCCTGGACAACACAACAGGAAAGCAACTCCAATAACGGGCAGTTGCTGTTTCTTAATTTTGAATGGGAAAATGATAGCCAGAAGGGTGTTCTTAACTTTTGCTCCACATATAATTAATCTCGGGTAACTTTCCTTTCATAAGACAAGATTCAAAACGCTGGTAACCAAGACTGGGGAATATTTCAGTTCAATTCAGAATAGAACTGGAAGAGCCCTTAGGGGGGGTCATCTAGTCCAACCCCCTGCACAGGCAGGAAACCCTATACTATTTCAGACAAATGGCTGCCCAGTCTCTTCTTAAAAACTTCCAGTGTTGGAGCATTCACCGCCTCTGGAGGCAGGTTGTTCCACTGGTTAATTGTTCTCACTGTCAGGAAATTTCTGCCTGGTTCCAGATTACTTCTCTCCTTGATTAGTTTCCATCCGTTGTTTCTTGTCTTGCCCTCTGGTGCTTTGGAAAATAAGTTGACCCCCTCTTCTTTGGGGCAGCCTAGGCCACAAATGGCCTGGGATCCCACAACATGTTGGACTAAGCTAAAATGCAGCTGGATAACTTAAAATATTTTTTTAAACTAGTATTTGCTGAATTCCCCTCTCCTCCAATGGTTAATACTGTTGTGCTGGTTTATTTATTTTGTATGATGTAATAGAACACAGCATGAATGCACAAAAACTCACAAAAAAAGAGCATATAAAATGTGTACCAAAATATAAAACATTGGAGCAATGAACCATTTTAAAAGTACACGACACGAGTGAGGAATAAAATTATGAATAAGATTAAATTATGTGCGAGCAGTTAGTGGGGTGGCTAAACCTAGGACCGGATATCTAGATTGTTTAGTCATTGGGCAGCAGTGCCCTTGAGATGATGTATTTCAGGCACGGATCCAGGGAAGTGTTGTGCTGGTCAAACATCCACAGCAGGTATCATTAAAACTTCCAGATTAAAAGAATAATAAAGAATGTATCACATTATGTTTTAGCATGCAGGAACTCAGCTATTGTCCTAGATTATTGTGTGAACCAGGCCATCAAATTAAACCATAATATAATTATTTACAGTATTTCATATGGCACATTCAGTGACTCCTTCCCTCTTCCATAGACTTTTTTTTTTTTTTTTTTTTTTAAGAAACAAACCTGGCTCCAGAAACATGCATTTCCTTTTTTTCCTCAAGTGGGTAGCCGTTCTTTGGACATGACAGAACCAAGAGCTCACCCCTTCGCTCCAAATGAGGGGAATTTAAGGGAAACCCGTACCGTACGTTCAGAGTAGCTTTTATTGAGAAATGGATTGGCTGCTCTTTCACAGGAAAAATTGAGGACTGGCCCCTTTATGTGTTTGCTTAGTTATTATATCCATTTTTTCTTCTTTCGGATGCCGAGGTTGACCTGCATAGCCCTCTTTTCTCCAGTCACTCTCAGTAATAATGCCACAAGGCAGGCTAAGGCATAGGGATTGACAAAAGTCATCCAGGGAGTCTCCATAGGATGGGTAAAATCGTAATGCACCGTTCAGCCTCTACATCATTTTGCCTCTCCTAGTGACGTGTCCGAATCCTGGCGATTCTCAGGGCGAGGCCTTTCCACGTTGTCCCATCCTGCGCTGCTTCTTTGAGTTTTTTTACGCTCTGGCTGATGTCAGCTTTGAGGGTGTCCAGCCATCACGTTCTTCGAAGGCCCGTTTTCCTTTTATTGCTCTCTCTCTTCCAAGCATAACTGTTTTCTCCAGTAAATTCCCCCTCACGACCTGGGGCAAAGTAAGTGAGACGCAGTTTCGTGATTCTGCCTTCCGGTGACACGTCTGACCGTTATGCGCTCCAGAATGTGCTTGTCAGTCACCTTGTAAGTGCCATAGATCCTAAGATGCTCACTTTCTTTTTTTTTTTGTAAGAGTTTTTATTGGGTTTTTCCCCCCATACATTCAGTAATAATTTTTCAACAAATGTGCTGTCTGAGTTTACATTCGCTAATACATATTTAATTCCTAATCCTTTATTCTTTCCTCTAGCCATCGATAAAATAAGTCCCAAGTTTGATAATATTCCGTTTCTTCTTCTTTTCTTTCAGTCTCATAGTCAGTCATTCCATCTCTGCGCATTCCAGTATTTTTTTAATTATTTCTTCATCTGATGGTATGCCTTCCTTTTTCCAGTATTGCGCAAATATAATTCTTGCCACTGTTGTCACATGCAAAATCAAATATAATAATAATAAAGTTGGATGGGACCTTGGAGGTCATCGAGTCCAACCCCCTGCTCAGGCAGGAAACCCTACACCATTTCGGACAAATGTTTGTACAGTTTCTTCTTAAAAACTTCCAGTGTTGGAGCATTCACCGCTTCTGGAGGCAGGTGGTTCCACTGGTTAATTGTTCTCACTGTCAGGAAGTTTCTCCTTAGTTCTAGGTTGCTTCTTTCTTTGATTGGTTTCCATCTGTTGCTTCTTGTCCTGCCTTTAGGCGCTTTGGAGAATAGCTTAATTCCCTCTTCTTTATGGCAGCCCCTGAGATATTGGAATACTGTTATCCTGTCCCCTCTTGTCCTTCTCTTCGTTAAACTGGACATCCCCAATTCCAGCAACCGTTCCTTATATGTATATAAGCTTTGTTTGCTAGTCTTTTCTGGCATTATACCCAATAAAAAAGATGCTCGCTTTCTATCCCCACAGCAGCCAGTAACATCCAGGTGTGGCTTGTTTTGGTTTTTGCAAGAATAGACGTTTTTCACCCACCTTACTGAGGGGGACTCCACCATGTGCTTGTGTGGTTTTCTCAGGGAGGCATCGGAGGCATTTCTGCCTGCAGAGCGGAACGGCTCGTGGAAGAAAACAGAAGTGGGACGGAGAGGACACCAAATCAAAACGAAGAAGCAAAGCAAATTTGGTGCCGACAAGGGTGAAAAAAAGCTAAGTACGTTTTCTTTTTCATGAAAACACAAAAGCGAACCGCACCGCGTTGCATACTTCTGCCGGCAGGAAAAGGGTTCTGCGTGAGTGTGGCTTTGTTGGCCCAGAGTTTGTTGGCGTGGATGGAAGTCTGGCCAGGGAAAGCAATGCAGGGTGGCCGGGGCCAAATTGATATCGACGTTATTTCCAGGGTTTCAAAACAAGCTGCTAAGGCTCACACCGTTTCCTCTTCCAGTCCAGTGGTGCTGTTGTTGCTCCCACAACACTCCTCTGGTGTTTTTATAGAGAAAACAACCACACACACACACACACACACACACACACATCGTGGGCAAAATACTTGTTTTTCTTTGTCTCCTGGCAGATGAGAAAGCGCCAGCAAACAATGTAGGGTGTAAGGCAAACCGGAAAAGAGAGCCCAAGAAAGCCGCGCAAGGCGGCGACGCCCAAGACGTCATTGACCCAGAGGAAGCGCCGGAGGAGGAGGAGGAGGAAGAGGAGGCGGCCGGAGGAAGTGGCAGCCGCCGTGAGCTGAACTCTGCCTCTCTTCCAGGAGGGCTTCGGGGAGGACGGACAGAGGGGTGCTGAGCAGATGCCACCAGCACCGTCTGGCAGCCAGGCTGGGTTTCTGCTCTGCGCTTTCGTACTTCTGCAAAAGTCCCCTGAGAATGGGGAGGACCCGGGGGTGCCTGCTGCTCAGGCAGATCCATTCAGCGTGCGGTCCCGCAAACCAGCTCACTGAACCACGGTTTCCAGGAGGGCCTGGGTTCAAACTGCTCATTAACAGACCTTGCTTCACCTGACCACTTAGGCCCCTTCCCCTTCCTTAGCATTCCTCTGCTGCTTTCTGCGGGACAGAAGGCTGGTGCCGGGGTGGTTGAGTAGCCTTCCTACCCTCCGTTGCAAACACTGGTATGTTTGGAAAAGGACCAGCCTCCCGTAGAGGGAGCAGTGGGATACACTGGTGGGATTCCTGCACCCTCTGTCAGTGAGTTGGAGGATGGACCCACTGCCCCCGAAGGCGTCCTCTGCGTTTAAGGTTGCCAGTATTGACCGCAGGCTGGCTGGAAGCTGGTTTGGAGGGTCTGGGGAATAAGAACAGGGGCAGCGTAGAAGGGACCCTGGCACGACCACCGCAGGCTTAAAGAAACTAATGCCACGCCAGGAAGGAATGAAGGGAGGAGGGAGGGAGGAGAGGAAGGAAAAGATAGGGAGGGAGGGAGGGAGGGATGGAGAGAAAGAGAGAGAGAGAGAGGAAAGAAGAAGAAAAAGGGAGGGAGAAAGGAAAGAAGAAGAGGGAGGAGAAGAGAGGAAGGAAAGGAGAGAAAGGAAGGGAGGGAGGGAGAGAGGAGGAGAAGGAAAAAATAGAAAGGGAGGGAGGGAGGGAGAGAAAGGAAAGAGGAAGAGGGAGGGAGGGAGGAGAAGAGAAGAGAGGAAGGAAAGGAGAGGGAGGGAGGGAGGGAGACAGAGGAAAGAAGAGAGGAAGGAAAGGAGAGAAAGAGGAAGGGAGGGAGGGAGAGGAAAAGAGGGAGGGAGGAGAAGAGAGGAAGGAAAGGAGAGAAAGAGGAAGGGAGGGATGGAGAGAGGAAAGAGGAAAAGGAGGAAGGAGAAGAGAGGAAGGAAAAGATAGAAAGAGGAAGGGAGGGAGGGAGAGGAAAGAGGAAGAAAAAAGGGAGGGACGAGAGGAAGGAAAGAAGAGAAAGAGGAAGGGGCGGAGGGAAGGAAAGGAGAGGAAGGAAGAACAAAGGAAAGGAAGAAGGAAGACATGAAAGAAGTGGAAGGAGCTAGAGTGAAAGAAGAAGAAGCCCAAGAAGAGAAAGTACAGCTTCTCTTTGAAAAGAGAGAAGACGATTACAGTAATTAATCTCTCCGCAGAAAGAATGAGAGTGGAAAGAAGAGAAAGCTGCCTGGGAAGAGGGAGGAATTATTATCTTGTCACAGAAGGGAGGGGAGTCTGCTGTAATAGGGAGCATAAAAAGGATGCTTCCTAGAACAGAGCCTCTGGCTGAGAAAAAAAATAGATGCATGTAAATAAAGCCACCTGCAGAAGTGAGGAAGAGGAGGAGGGGGCGCACAGCGCTTACAGGGAGGAAGAAGCCTAGAATGGGTTAAGAAGAAAAAGGGCGGGGCAATTTTGATGGAATCTTTTAAAAAGTTTTGACGGGAGGTGAACAACAAAGGTCGTAAAACAGGACAAAACTGACTTAACAAATGTCTCAGTTAACAATGGAAATGTTGGCCTCAGTGGTGGTCGTACGTTGAGGACTACCTGTATTTTGACTGACTGGCCCAACCAACGGCTGCGGAGGGGAAGGGCTGAGGGGAAGGGAAGGCCAAGAAAGTTGTGTGCTTCCTCAGTGTGGTTGCCGGCTCCCTCCCTCCCGCCCTCCCTGCCTCGTCCTTGGGACACCCATCCTGTCAGCTGGGATCCTTTTTTCTCTCTTTTCTTGACGTGCTCAGAGGAAGCCAGGAGACCCACCAATGGCTCCTCTGAGGCAGAAAAGCCTGGCCACAAAGGTGGTGTGTTCTTGGTTGTCTTGCTTTTCCGCTGATTAAAAGACAGGAGGGATGTGTGTGTGTGTGTGTGTGTGTGTGTAGTTGTGAGGAAGGGCCCTTAACACAGTGTGGCGTAGGCTGCTGTCTCTTTGAGGACAAGCTACACAGTCCGTAAAAAAGAATCCCAAAACTATAGGGAGAAAAATACATTAAAATCGGGATATAGGTAGTCCTCAACTTACGACCACCCAAAATTTCTGTTGCTAACCAAGACAGTCATTGTGAGTTTTGCCCCATTTTACGACCTTCCTTGCCACGGTTGTTCGGTGGATCGCTGCGGTTGTTAAATGAGCAAGAAGATTGCTAAGTGCATCCGCTTCCCCCCCACTGAGTTTGCTTGTCACGAGGTCGCAAAAGGGGATCACCGCAACCGTCCTAAATACGAGTCAGCGTTGCCCAGCATCTGAATTTTAGCCATGGGGTTGCAAAAAAATGTGACGCTGCAGCTGTCGCAAGTACTAAGCATCTTGAGTTTTGACCACTGCAGTGGTTGCAAGGGTGAAGTCACTTTTTTCAATGCTGTGGTAACTTCGAATGATCACTTGTAAGTCGAGGACCTCCTGTATTTGGGCAGCTTTACAAAGCTGAGGTTTGCTGGGGCCTTTTTTCCCCTGTTCCTGATATATCAGAGAAGGTCAGGATCAGAAGAGAAAGGGATGGATCATCTAGTCCAGGGGTAGGCCACTTTGGCTCTTTTAGGACGGGTGGACTTCAACTCCCAGAATTCCTGAGCCAGCTGTGGAATTCTGGGAGTTGAAGTCCACCCGTCCTAAAAGAGCCAAGGTGGCCTACCCCTGGTCTGGTGTAACCTCCTGCCCAGTGCAGGAATCTCATTATAGCAACACCCCCCTGACTGGGGCCCTCCAGCCCCAGTTCCAGCCAAGGGAAGCTTTCTTCCTGTGTGGAACAGCTGTCTGGCACTTCCATTCCTTTTCTGACGGCCAGTTTCCTGGTGCTTTTCTGCTCCCAGGCTGCTGTACCGCTTGGATCCAGTGCTCTTACCCCAGCTGTGAGAAGTGGCGGCGACTCAGCAGCGACGTGGACCCCTCAGCCCTGCCGGAGGACTGGTCCTGTAGCCAGAATCCAGGTAGAGGGGAAGCCTCTGAGTGGGGCTGGTGGTCTGGGGGGGGGGGTCTTCCTTTCCTTCGATTAAGTGAAAGCGTTTTCTGCCAAGGGTCTCCCATTCTGGACAAGCAGGAATCAGTGGAACGACTCGCCTCCAGAAGTTGCGTGTGCCCCAATGCTGGAGGTTTTTAAGGAGAGACTGGGCAGCCATTTGTCCGGGGTGGTACTATAGAGTCTCCTGCTTGAGCAGGGGGGCTGGACTAGAAGACCTCTGAGGTCCCTTCCAACTCTGTTGCTCTGTTAACTCCAGAGTGAAAGGGGAAAGTCCGTACATTCGCACAAATTGAGCTTCTTTTTGGTGGCAACAGTCAGCTGACCTTTTAAAGCTAATCATGGCTGGACTTGATTAAAACTGGGGTGGGAGACCACAAGGAAACCCCAGGGCTATAGGTCCCGACGAGGAAATCGGGAAGAAAAACAGGACAGGAAGAGGTCCACCTGGCTGCGTACATCCTTCCTTCCTGTCTTGCTGCCAGTAAAACTGCACCGATGTGTCCCTGTAGGAGCTGAGCTCAGCATAAGGGAGTCCTTTGACCAGGCTTAATTTCAGTGGCACATTTGTTTTCTCTTCTCAGATCTTCAGCACAACAGCTGCAGTGTTCCCGAGGAGGACTGGTCGGGCTCCGAAAACGAAGTGGTCTATGCCATTTATTTCCCAGGGTCCATCGTGTGGGCCAAGCAATATGGATACCCCTGGTAGGCCAAAAGAACCAGACTGAAACAACCCCAACTTAGTGTGGCATGCTGAACACCGTTATTTAGACCAGTGGTTCTCCACCTGTGGGTCAGGACCCCATTTGGGGTCGAATGACCATTTCACGGGGGTCGCCAAACAATGCAGTCCGCCATTTTTTCCCCCCTTTTCCTTGGCTGTGCTACTCCCTTTGATTCTATTGGCTTTTGAAAGCCAATAGAATAGACTCTCTTGAATAGAGTCTCATTCTATTGGCTTTCCAAAGCCAACAGGAATTGTCCAGGCTGTCTCTGCCCTGCTGAGCCCGCCAAAAGTCCCATTCTGCAAACGGTGCTGCACAGTTGAGTAGTCCTCGACTTACGACCGGTTGAGTAGTCCTTGACTTACGACCGGTTGGGGGTCACGGCATTAAAAAGGTTGAGAACCACTGATTTAGATTAAATAACAGGATACAGAGTTGAAGGGACCCTGGAGGTCATCTAGCCCAACCCCCTGCTTAGGCAGGAAACCCTATTCCATTTCAGACAAATGGCTGTCCAGTCTCATCTTAAAAACTTCCAGTGTTGGAGCCTTCACCGCTTCTGGAGGCAAGGAGTTCCACTGGTTAATTGTCCTCACCGTCAGGAAATTTCTCCTTAGTTCCAGGTTGCTTCTCTCCTTGATTAGTTTCAATCTGTTGCTTCTTGTCCTGCCTTCGGGTGCTTTGGAGAATAATTTGACCCCCTCTTCTTTGTGGCAGCCCCTCAAATATTGGAAGACTGGTATCCTGTCCCCCCTAGTCCTTTTTGTTAAACTAGACCAGGGGTTCTCAACCTTGGCAACTTTAAGACTTGTGGACTTCAACTCCCAGAATTCCTCAGCCAGCTTTGCTGGCTGAGGAATTCTGGGAGTTGAAGTCCACAAGTCTTAAAGTTGCCAAGGTTGAGAACCCCTGAACTAGACACACCCAATTCCTAAATGCAGGAGAAGTAATTCCAAAGGCCAAATCCCGAAAGAAAGGATGTATACAGCAAGGTGGACTTTTATAAATGAACGCAACAGGGGTGTCATGTGTACCTCTTGGTCATGTGAGGGTACAAACGCTGCGTTCAGAAGGGCTCCCCTGTTTCCATATTATGGGGGGACCCGGTTAGACAGAGCACAGAAGGACCCTGCTGCAGCTTGTCCCAAGGCACACCCGGGCTGGGTTTCTTCAAGGCATTCTACTTTAATTGTGTCACTGCTGCCTCAGTCACACAACTCACCATTCACACTCCAAGCCACCCTCTTCGTGCTCTTGTTCAAACATCTTGGTGCGTGGGTGTTTCTATGACAAACATTTCAAGGGAATTGTGGTTTCTCCACCGTGCTGAATGCAGCCTCTCACAGTGTGTGTTCTACAGATGGGGATCCCGCCCGGAAAAAGCCTTATGTGAGCAACGGAGGTTTATTTTGGCCTGGTCCAATTGACTGGGGGTTGTGAAATTGACCAGGATCTCTTGACAAAATGGGGTTGTGGAATTGACTACTAGGGAATAGGCAAAGCACCAAGGCGCTGTCAGGACAGGATGGGAAAATGCCTCTTGGATTAGTGAGGAGAAAGAATTCAATTCTTTTTTTTTTTTAAAAAAAAAAAAAGACCGTATCAAATCTACAGGCATGGAGAAGTTTGAAAGATTTATATAGTAGTAGTAGTAAAGTTGGAAGGGACCTTGGAGGTCATCTAGTCCAACCCCCTGCTCGGGCAGGAAACCCTACACCATTTCAGACAAATGGCTGTCCAGTCTCTTCTTAAAAACTTACAGTGTTGGAGCATTTACTGCTTCTGGAGGCAAGCTGTTCCACTGATTAATTGTTCTCACTGTCAGGAAGTTTCTCCTTAGTTCTAGGTTGCTTCTCTCCTTGATTAGTTTCCACCCGTTGCTTCTTGTCCTGCCTTCAGGTGCTTTGGAGAATAGCTTGACTCCCTCTTCTCTGGGGCAGCCCCTGAGATATTGGAATACTGCTATCATGTCCCTCCTTGTCCTTCTCTTCGTTAAACTAGACATACCCAATTCTCGCCCAACATACCCAAGTTATGGCCCTAATCTGAGGAATTTTTGCCCTTTTGAAATCAGCAGCAACTGGGACCTGCCACCTTTGGCTTTTTTCATCCCTGTTTTTTTCTCTCACCTTTGGATGGCCTGTGTGCACCACAAAAAGCGACCGAGGGACGAAACTGTGGTTTGCAGAAATGTTTTTTTCAGAGTCTTTTGTGACTCTACGGCAGCCCTTGTGCAACACATATGACCGGCTCTCTGGATTTAATTCGTTTTCTGGCTCCGTGTGCAAGATCAAACTTAACAAACAGGCTGGATTTGCACAACAGACGGGGCAGCCACAACAGAAACAAACGTAACCAAGGGGAACACTAAGCTGTGCGTGTCGGAGAGATGCGTCTGCCGCCTGTTTGATCGGACCCAGTCAAGTGTTTTGTATAAACACAGCCTGCATTTGACATTCTCTCTCTCTCTCTCTCACCGCTTTTAAAAAGTGGATGAAATGACTCCAGGCTTGTTCTTCTTCATCCTTACAGCAGTCCTCGACTTACGACCACAACTGAGCCCCAATTTCTGTGGCAAAGTGAGAGAGTTGTTAAGTGAATTTTGTCCCATTTTACAACTTTTCTTGCCACGACTGCTGAGTGAATCACTGCAGTAACAATTAAGTTAGTAACACCGTTGTTAAGTGAATCTGGCTTCCCTGTTTATGTAACCCTGGGACAGTGCGACCGTCACAAGTATGGGTCAGTTGCCAAGCATCTGAGTTTTTTTTTTAAAATATATTTTATTGGTTTTTTTTTTAATTTTAAAAAAGAGTACTTTAGACACACCGTGGTGTTTGGGTAAACAAACAATTCAAGGTGAAAAACATACATAAACAGCTCAACTTAATACATTCACTATCATCTCTCTATTTCTTACAAATAACATAATAGATTTAATATATTCCATTTCTAGCTTAAATTTCTGTTACTACTCCACCTGTTTTAAAGCTTTATCAATTTAAAATTAACATAATCAAATATTGTTTTACATCAACAAATTATCTCTACCACGTATATTAAAGTTTTTAATCTCTCTCAAGCATCTGAATTTTGATCGCAGGACCGTGGGGAGGTTGCAACAGTTGTAGGTGTAAAAATGGCTGCAGGTCACTTTTTTCAGGGCACTGCAACATCAAGCGGTCACTAAACAAACTGTTGTCAGTTGAGGACTGCCTGCAGTTAGCTTTGCTATGCACAGTGCAGTTGTGTGTCTGGTGCAGAAGCCAGAGTTGTGTTCTCTTTTGCCCTCTCCTCCAAGAAGGGAGTCACGTTCAAGAGGCAAGTTATTAATTAATGTGAAATTTTCACATCAGGATTTCAAGATTTCTCAGATACAGAAGAGAATAAAGGAAGAACCACCTTTCTTCATTAGAAGAATGAATTTAATTAATTAACTAAAACTTGACCAGGGATCCTCGTAGCTCAATGTTCTCCGCTCCTCTTCCTGCCTCTGTTTTTAGGTGGCCGGGGATCATAGAAGCTGACCCTGACATTGAAGAGTACTTCCTGTTTTCTTCCCAGGCAGACTCACTTCCTGTTAAGTATGGTGTCTATTTGCCATGTTTTTGTGTACCTATGTACCCCACCCATGATAATCAGACCTCGCAAGAGAGGCGTTCAGGATAGTGGGAACTCCTCGAAAAAGGGGATGCCGGAAGCCCAGCTGCAAACAGGATGAATTTAAAAAATGGAAGACAGACAGAGGCCAGTAAAATTGCCCCAAAAGCAAACAGAGGAGGGGGTGCCAGACAACTGCCCCTCTTCTCCAAAAGATGGGAAGGAGTTGCAAAGAACAACCCCCCGCCGCCATTGGGGACAGGCAAGCAGTGTCTGAGCAGTTGATCTGGGGCAGGGCTAGGCCACCTTGGCCCTTTTATGACTGGTGGACTTCAACTCCCAGAATTCCTGAGGCAGCCATGCTGAGGGGAAAGGGAGAGGTTTCCAAGCTGAGCCAGGCTGGCTCAGGAATTCTGGGAGTTGAAGTCCATGAGTCATGAAGGGGGCCATAGTTCCCTTATGCTGGCTCAGGAATCCTGGGAGTTGAAGTCCACAAGTCATGAAGGGGGCCATAGTTTCCCCCATGCTGGCTCAGGAATTCTGGGAGTTGAAGTCCACCTGTCATAAAAGAGCCAAGGTTGCTTACCCTGATCTGGGGAATGAGGCTTGCTAGCTAAGACAGGCCTTTCCAGGGCTTTTCCTATGGTTTTCCTTGCAAAGGTCATCGTATCTTTTCTCCAGTCGAGGAACCCCCTCGTGCTTCGCTTCTGCTCCAGGCGGCTTCTCCTCAAACTGGCCACTGACCTTCTCTCTTTCTGGCTTAGTCCAAGTACCACGTGACCTTCTTCGGCCACCCCGTGACCCGTGCTTGGATCTCTGCCTCCCAACTGAAGAACTACGGTGAAGCAGCCGGAGAAGGAAGCGTCTTGGTAAGAGAAGGACCTTTGCTTGAGGGTTTCTTTGCAAAGTGGGCCACAACATCCAAGGCTTTTGTCCTGTGTATGTGTGTGTGAGAGAGAGAGAGAGAGAAAGGCATCACCACCCACGTGCCGAAGTGATAGAGTTTTTTCTCTGCTTTCCTTGTGTGTCCCTCAATGAGCCTCCCGTTTCCAGATGATTCAGGACACAGATCTATAGCAGGTTGCAAAGAATTGGTGGGGTGTGTGTGTGTGTGTGTGTGTGTGTGTGAGAGAGAGAGAGAGAGAGAGACACACACACGTGTGTGTGTGTGTGTGTGTGTGTCTCCAAACTTAGCAACTGTAAAACTTGTGGACTGCATGGCTGGCTGAGGAATTCTGGGAGTCGGAGCCCACAGGCCTCAGAGTTGCCGACTTTGGAGACCCCTGCTCTAAACAAATTGTTTTGATGAAGGTACAGGGGGTCCTCGACTTACGACAGGTCATTTCGTGACTTCAAAGGCTTATAAATTAAGGGCTGCCTGTATGAATGGGCACCCACTCCTCCACCCACCCATTCTTCTCTCCAGACTGTTCTTTTTTCACAATGGCCACAAAATTCCACGCTTTCTCCCTAGGGGGGAAAAACCTGCCCACCCCTAAGGCAAAGTCAAGTTTTTCCCAGCCGTGTGAAAAAGGGGCCGGCAAAGAGGAGGAAGGCCAAGCTGGCTTCTGTTCCCATTCTTCTCTCTCTCTCCACTCCAAGCTCTTTCCTTCCAGACAGCCTCATTTCCAGGGCTGAGAAACAACAAGGGACGGAAGGGAAGACTTAAGGAAGGATGAAGGCTTAGCATCCTCCCCTAGTAACCCTTTCAGGACAAGACAGAGCTGTTCTTTGGATTGGCCGATGCAGCCTTCTTCTGGAAGAAGCTGCATGGTGAGTCGTCCCCCCCCCCCCCCCCGGCCAGTCACAGCTCTGATTTTAAGCCTCTGTTCCATCCAGGCCAAGATCAGGAATAAAAGTGAGAAGAAGGACCTCAGATTGGCTCTGGAAATGGCGAAAGAAGCAGAACGGATAAGCATTCAGGTGGGCCCTGGATTCTGGTCACAAAGGTTGTGGGTCGCCGTAGCCTTTTTTTTCCTGGAATAACCGTCATCATATATCCTCACACTTTTGTTCAGCATCTAGACCAGGAGTCTGCAAATCTGGCCACTTTGTGGCCTTCAATTCCCTTTAATTGGGGGGATTCTAGGAGTGGAAGCCCACGAGGCATAAAAGAGCCAAGGTTGCCTACCCCTGTCCTAACTTCTGCTCATTCGGGCTTCGTCTTCGGTGCCGTTTGTTAAAACCATCCATTTCTGCTTCATTCATTATTGCCTTGGTGGCTGTACTGCTGGAGTGTAGGCCCAAGCTCCCTTTGCAACATTTTATTCATTTATTTATATTTCCTATTTCTAAACTCTGCATTGAATTGAGGAGGTGCAGCAGTAAAACGTGCTGCTGTGGAAACTGCCTCGTTTCAAACAAACACAGACCTATTTTTTCCTTTTCTTATCAGAAATCAGTATAAGGCAGGCAGCCTTGCAAGGCAAGCTGCTAATATTTTAAATAGGAAGGTGATTAACGCTTCTGTTTCACCTGACACGGGGAGGGGGGGCAGGGCTATCATTTTCCTCAGGGTTTGGATGATGAGATGATGATGATGATGATGATACAAAAGCAGCTTTACTTGGAACAGTTACACCCTGCAAGGATACCTTGGACACCATCAAACCATTACAGCTGCCCGTCTCAAGTCCTTGGGAAGGACTCGCTGGGCAGACAAAAACGCCAACTCGGTCAAAATAATATATTAAATTTATAAGCCATCTGACTTGCGGTGACCTGGCTTTCTCTCCCACAAATTTTATATCCCAACTTTATTAACTTTATTAAGTAACTCCGAGTGGCGAACATCGCTAATAGGCGTTTCTGCCACAAGAAAAGAATGTAAATGTTTAGTATTTTAAAATAAAACTTATTTGTTCCTCTTACTTCAGCTCAGTCGGGTTCAGCCAATGGGGGAATGATGGGTGGATTCAAAAGCAGATAAGGGGTCTTGAGGGGAGGGGTCCTGCTTCAGCTAGCTGGACCCAGGACAGTTTTTCAGCCTCTGTGACTGCGCAGAGACCCTTCAGTCAAGGTGCTTTGTCTGAAACAGTATAGGGTTTCCTGCCTGAGCAGGGGGTTGGACTAGAGGACCTCCAAGGTCCCTTTCAACGTTGTTGTTATTATTATTATTATTATGGATCATCGCATAGTCAGCCAAATGTTCAGACTGGATTTGGCATTTTTGTCTACCTATCAAGTCCTTCCCAAGGACCTGGGATAGGCAGATGTGGATGTTTGATGGTATTACAGATCTCATTGCAGGATGGAAGCAGTTCCTATTATTATTATTATTATTATTATTCATTGATTGGCATCCTTCAGTCTCGTGCTCTGGAAAGAGGACCTAAGGCAGCATCTGGTGTGGCTAAAAAGGCCAATTCGAGAATGACACTCCCTTCCACACTGAGGGCAGATACAATCTGTCCCCTGTCCAGCCCCCCAGATTTTGCTGGTTCCGGGACTGCCTCTTTGCCTCAGCCTGCCGCACAAGTGTCTCTTCGAATTGGAGAAGGCCATGCTGCGGTCTTTTAGCCTCCAGGCTGAATAATAATAATAATAATAATAATAATAATAATAATAATAATAATAATAATAATAATAATAATCCCCCAGTGAGGCACTACCTTGACGTGGTTGTGGGGCTTGTGTACTCTGAGGAAGATGAGAGCTATGCCAGAGGTTCAACCATACTGGACAGGTCTCATCAGAGGAGTCAGACAAAGAGTGTCTCTCCCATAAAAAATATGGTGAGACGTAAATTTCAGAATGCCATACCGGCTCGGACGTCGCCCGGGTTAACAAGGTCCGCGCTAGATATTGGAGTTCCTGGATATCTGGTGAAAAATGGGTTACAGGACTCAGGACTGTTGGCTGAGCAACCAGGGCCAGCAGCTGCAGAACTACTGGAAGAAAAGGTGTTTACCCGTCGCAGATACACAGTGATGGAAAACAAAGAAATAATGATCTGTTACTACAGATCAAGTCCAACAAGAAGAGGATATCTAAAACGAATGCACCAGTTCTGGAAAGAACAACATCCAGAATCAGAAATAACAGAACAGAGACTAGCAGATCAACGCCGATTTATAACACGAAATAAAGTATTCACAGAAACAGAATTGGACGAACTGCAAAGGTTTACCCAGGGCAAAGAAATCAAAGCCTTACCAGAAGTAATTCAGAATGTAGAGGCAAACCAGGGGGAGTTGGCAGTGAAGGAATCCAGCAGAGATATACAACTGTTCTCATTTGGAAACCAGGCACCTCTTCCTCAGGAAGAACAAAACCCTCTAACTAAAGAAATAAAAGAATTGAAACAAAGAATAACTGAGCATCTAGAACAGCACAAAAACAACAGAATAAGGCTACCTGCATTGAAGCTTGTTCCAAAGAAACAGCTAGCACAAGCATTAAAAGATGCAAATATTGCAATATCAAGTATAAGCACCAATTCATTGCAAGAAACAAACCAACTAATGTACAGCACAGCTGCAGTTATAACAGAATACCTGGGGTGCAAAATCAACAAAGAAGAAAAACAAACAAACAGTGCACCAGAAAAATGGAAGGTTAGACTAGAAAATAAGATCAGCAAGTTAAGATCACATGCAAGCAAGCTAGAACAGATGAAAGAAAAGAAGCTGAAGAACAAGAAGACCAAAGAATACCTAATCAAGAAATACCACTTAGAAACAAGGAAGATCAAGGAAGCACTGGAAATAATAAAGCAACAAATAACAGCTATAGCCAGGAAAATCAGTAGATATGAAGCTCGAATTGCAAACTATAGGCAGAACCTCCAATTTCAATCCAATCAGAAACGTTTCTACCAATCCATCAATGGAGAAACTGCAAGGAATCAGTCAGTACCTGACAAGGAAGAAACAGTGCAGTTCTGGAAGCAGATATGGGATAACCCAAAGAAATACAACAAGGATGCGGCTTGGTTAAAAGAGGTGGATGCAAATAAAACAGAAGTTGAAATGAAAGAACTAGTAATAACAACAAAAATGGTAGAAAAAAGAGCAAAGAAAATCAAAAATTGGTCAGCACCAGGTGAAGATGAACTGCATGGGTTTTGGTTGAAACATCTAACTGTTATACACCCACTCATTGCCAAACAGTTCAACAATATACTACAAGGAGGAGAAATTGAAAAGTGGCTAACAACTGGGAAAACCTACCTAATAATGAAAAATCCAGCAAAAGGGGCAACACCAGGTAACTACAGGCCAATTACCTGCTTACCAACAACTTTCAAATTACTAACTGGTGTAGTAGCTGATGCAGTGCAACAGCATCTAGTTGAAAACAATCTCTTTCCACCTGAGCAGAAAGGAAACCGCCCCAACAGCAGAGGAACAAAAGATCAACTCCTAATAGACAAAATGATCTTGGAAAACTGCAAGAGAAGGAAGACCAACCTGAATGTGCATGGATTGACTACAAAAAGGCATTTGACTCTCTGCCACATGATTGGATAATAAAGTGCCTAGAAATAACAGGAGTCAGTAGAAACATCAGAAAATTTGTGCAAAGATCGATGGCACAATGGAAGACACAGTTGCAGATCAATGGTGAGAAGCTGGGAGAGGTTAATATCAAGAGAGGAATATTTCAAGGAGATTCATTATCACCATTACTATTTGTTATTGCACTGTTTCCTCTGTCAACAATACTGAATAACTCAGGACATGGCTATCAAACATCAAAAACATCTGCCAGACTATCCCACCTCCTTTATATGGATGATCTGAAGCTGTATGGAAAAACATCATCTGAAATAGAATCGCTGCTCAACACTGTCCGTATATATAGCCAAGATATTGTAATGGAGTTTGGCTTGGACAAATGTGCCACACTTACTATCAAACAAGGAAAAATAGTGAAAACTGAAGGAATCAAGATGCCCCACGAAAATAACATTAAGAGTCTGGATGAGGAAGAGTACTACAAATACTTGGGTATCCTTCAAGCTGACAACATCAAGCACACTGAAGTCAAGAAAAAGATTAGAGGTGAATACATCAAGAGAGTGAAGAAGATCTTAAAATCCAAACTCAATGGAGGAAATACCATAAAGGCAATCAACACCTGGGCAATCCCAGTCATTAGGTACACAGCTGGAATAGTGGACTGGACTCAAGCAGAACTAAAAGCAATGGATAGGCAGACCAGAAAAATAATGACAATGAATCATGCCCTTCATCCACGCAGTGACATTGATAGACTTTATCTACCAAGGCAAATAGGTGGGCGTGGAATGCTACAAGTACATCAGATGGTTGAAGAAGAAAAAATGGCTTTGGAAGAATATCTGAAGAACAATGATGAAGATGCACTGAAATTAGTATATCAGGAAGGCTTACTAACTACTGGAGAGACCAAACTGGCCTACAAGAAAGACCAAATGAAGAACAGAATAGAGGCATGGGAAGACAAAGCACTACATGGCCAATACATGAAAAAAATAGCTGGGAAAGCAGATAATAATAAAACCTGGCAATGGCTAAGAGCAGGAAAATTGAAGAAAGAGACCGAGGGACTAATTCTGGCTGCACAAGACCAAGCCTTAAGGACAAATGCATACAAAGTCAAAATTGAGAAGACAGCAACAGACAGTAAGTGCCGCCTATGCAAAGAAGCTGAAGAAACAGTGGACCACTTGGTAAGCTGTTGCAAGAAGATTGCACAAACTGATTACAAGCAGCGGCATGACAAAGTAGCAACAATGGTGCATTGGAAGATCTGCAAAAAATATCATTTGCCTGTAAGCAAAAACTGGTGGGATCATAAAATAGAGAAAGTCATAGAAAATGATAAAATTAAACTGCTCTGGGACTTCAGAATTCAAACAGACAAGCACCTGCAACATAACACCCCAGACTTAACAATTGTCGATAAGAAAGACAAAAAAGTCTGGATAGTGGACGTGGCAGTGCCTGGAGATAGCAGAATAGAAGAGAAAGAACTGGAGAAGATAACAAAATACAAAGACCTACAAATAGAAATAGAAAGACTGTGGCAAAAGCAAGCAAGGGTAGTACCAATAGTCATAGGCTCCTTGGGTGCAATCCCAAAACAACTGGAGCACCACTTGAACACCATTGGCATTGACAAATTCGCTATTAGTCAATTGCAAAAGGCAGCCTTATTAGGAACTGCTTCCATCCTGCGACGATATCTGTAATACCATCAAACATCCACATCTGCCTATCCCAGGTCCTGGGTAAGGACTCGATAGGTAGACAAAATGCCAAATCCAGTCTGAACATCTGGCTGACTGTGCGATGATCGATAATAATAATAATAATATTGGAAGCAATGGATAGGCAGACCAGAAAAATAATGACAATGAATCATGCCCTTCATCCACGCAGTGACATTGATAGACTTTATCTACCAAGGCAAATAGGTGGGCGTGGAATGCTACAAGTACATCAGATGGTTGAAGAAGAAAAAATGGCTTTGGAAGAATATCTGAAGAACAATGATGAAGATGCACTGAAATTAGTATATCAGGAAGGCTTACTGACTACTGGAGAGACCAAACTGGCCTACAAGAAAGACCAAATGAAGAACAGAATAGAGGCATGGGAAGACAAAGCACTACATGGCCAATACATGAAAAAAATAGCTGGGAAAGCAGATAATAATAAAACCTGGCAATGGCTAAGAGCAGGAAAATTGAAGAAAGAGACCGAGGGACTAATTCTGGCTGCACAAGACCAAGCCTTAAGGACAAATGCATACAAAGTCAAAATTGAGAAGACAGCAACAGACAGTAAGTGCCGCCTATGCAAAGAAGCTGAAGAAACAGTGGACCACTTGGTAAGCTGTTGCAAGAAGATTGCACAGACTGATTACAAGCAGCGGCATGACAAAGTAGCAACAATGGTGCATTGGAAGATCTGCAAAAAATATCATTTGCCTGTAAGCAAAAACTGGTGGGATCATAAAATAGAGAAAGTCATAGAAAATGATAAAATTAAACTGCTCTGGGACTTCAGAATTCAAACAGACAAGCACCTGCAACATAACACCCCAGACTTAACAATTGTCGATAAGAAAGACAAAAAAGTCTGGATAGTGGACGTGGCAGTGCCTGGAGACAGCAGAATAGAAGAGAAAGAACTGGAGAAGATAACAAAATACAAAGACCTACAAATAGAAATAGAAAGACTGTGGCAAAAGCAAGCAAGGGTAGTACCAATAGTCATAGGCTCCTTGGGTGCAATCCCAAAACAACTGGAGCACCACTTGAACACCATTGGCATTGACAAATTCGCTATTAGTCAATTGCAAAAGGCGGCCTTATTAGGAACTGCTTCCATCCTGCGACGATACCTGTAATACCATCAAACATCCACATCTGCCTATCCCAGGTCCTGGGTAAGGACTCGATAGGTAGACAAAATGCCAAATCCAGTCTGAACATCTGGCTGACTGTGCGATGATCGATAATAATAATATTGGAGTTCCTAGATATCTGGTGAAAAATGGGTTACAGGACTCAGGACTGTTGGCTGAGCAACCAGGGCCAGCAGCTGCAGAACTACTGGAAGAAAAGATGTTTACCCGTCGCAGATACACAGTGGTGGAAAACAAAGAAATAATGATCTGTTACTGCAGATCAAGTCCAACAAGAAGAGGATATCTAAAACGAATGCACCAGTTCTGGAAAGAACAACATCCAGAATCAGAAATAACAGAATTAGTCAATTGCAAAAGGCAGCCTTACTGGGAACTGCTTCCATCCTGCGACGATACCTGTAATACCATCAAACATCCACATCTGCCTATCCCAGGTCCTGGGTAAGGACTCGATAGGTAGACAAAATGCCAAATCCAGTCTGAGCGTCTGGCTGACTGTGCGATGATCCATAATAATAATAATAATTATTATTATTATTATTATTAACCAATCGAAACCGGCAGGCGACGCCCCCACACAGCTCAACGTAGCGGGGGGGGGGCAGCGTGCCTTCAGTCTACCAGTGTTTCTCAACCTTGGCTGTGGAATTCTGGGAGTTGAAGTCCACATGCCTTAAAATGGTCAAGGTTGAGAAACACTGGTCTACCAGCTTATCAATACGGGTCCCTTTGCTCTTTCCCTCTAGGATAGAATAAGGAGATTCGGCTTCCAGGGCCGATTCAGAAACCAGGCATCTCCCAGAGACGACAAAATCCTGAAAGGTAACGTGGAGGGCCACACGGGGTCAGACACCGGAAGTAGAAAAAGCAGCTTCTCTCCCTCCCTTGAGGGAAGTCCCACGTCCTTGGTTCCTTCTTGTGTCCTAGAGCAGAATAACTCGGCCTCCAGGCCTCCGGTCAAAGGGCCCCCAGAAACGAAGGGTGGGAATAAGAACGCGGCAGCCTCAAGCAAGAATCCAGAAAAGGTGAGCCGAGGGAAAGGCAGGTTTAACGGGGACCCTGGGATGGCAGCTCAGCCCTGGACCCTCACTGTGCAGGGAAGCTAAGGGTGCAAAAAGTCTCCTGGTGTTGCGCCCGTTTGCCCTCTCTGGCTGCCTGCCCACTGGGTTCTTTTTTGCACCAGGAGAAACATTTAGAATCCTTCCATATTTTTTTCACTGGGTGTCTTTGCGAGGCCAGACTGCTCTCTGCTCTTCAGTCAGCAAACAATATTTCTTTTCCAGCTTCTTCGTGAACTATCAGTAGTGGAACCCATTGCAAAGGTCAAGACGACCATCAATGTGAAAGGTATATGTGAAAAAAACAATAACAATAATGTTGGAAGGGACTTTGGAGGTCATCTAATCCAACCCCCTGCTCAGGCAGAAAACCCCACACCATTTCAGTTCAGTCTCTTCTTTAAAACTTCCAGTGTTGGATAAGGGAGGGAGTGAGGGAAGAAGGAAGGAAGGAAGGAAGGAAGGAAGGAAGGAAGGAAGGAAGGAAGGAAGGGAAAAAAAGAATAACAGACTCAAAAGGGAGTCATCTAGTCCAACCCCCTGCTCAGGCAGGAGACCCTACACCATTTCAGACAAATGGCTGTCCAGTCTCTTCTTAAAAACTTCCAGTGTTGGAGAAGGGAGGGAAGAAGGAAGGAAGGAAGGAAGGAAGGAAAGAAGGAAGGAAAAAAAGAAAGAATAACAGACTCGGAAGGGATCTTGGAAGTCATCTAGTCCAACCCCCTGCTCAGGCAGGAGACTCTAGGCCAGTGGTTCTCAACCTTTTTAATGCCGTGACCCCCAACCGGTCATAAGTCGAGGACTACTCAACCGGTCGTAAGTCGAGGACTACTCAACTGGTGCAGTTGACTGGGACTTTTGGCGGGCTCAGCAGGGCAGAGACAGCCTGGACAATTCCTATCGGCTTTTGAAAGCCAATAGAATTAGACTCTATTCAAGAGAGTCTCTTCTATTGGCTTTCAAAAGCCAATAGAATAAAAGGGAGTAGCCCAGCTAAGGAAAAGGGGGGAAAAATGGCGGACTGCGTTGTTGGGCGACCCCCGTGAAATGGTCGTTCGACCCCAAATGGGGTCCCGACCCACAGGTGGAGAACCACTGCCCTATACCATTTCAGACAAGTGGCTGTCCCCTCCTGCTATCCTGTCCCCCCTCGTCCTTCTTTTCTCTAGACTGGCCATTCCCAAATCCTGCCAGCGTTCTTCCTACGCTGGACTAGTTGGGCTGGCCTAGTATCAGCTGCGTGCCCGAAAGGAGAGAATCTTGCTAGAAGCAGAGGTATAATAATATTGAGGAGAAGGGCGGGGAGCTCTATTGGGGAGACTTTGGGGGCAGCAGGTCTTAGCCTGCGCCTACCTCTCCCGATGTCGTTGGGCGTTTTATTTATTTAATGCATTTATACGGCCGCTCAGCTCATATCCCCGGCTTTGGCTAACAAAGTAAAAACAACGCAGCCCAAATGAAAAACTCTATAAAAAGCCCCTCCTTGAGGGAGACGGGCAGTCTAGAAAGGCAAAATATAAATAAATAAAATAAAAAGGGCAGCCAGGAACACACGGAGAAACGTTCCCACTATGTTCTTCCATATTTCTCGCCTCTGCTGGCAAGAAGGTTGAAGCGTTCATCCCTCCGGAGGTTTCCCGTTGTCCAGCCAGATCTCTAGGCTTGGAGAAGTTCTTGAACCAAGCCCCCCTTCCCTTGACCCCCGGGAGCGAGGGGGGGACGGGCCAGCCCTGCCCCTCCCCAGCCATCCCTCCGCCCCTTTGCAGCATGGCCAGCCCTTCCCCAAAGGACGGGGTCAAAGCTCTGCCTAACTGGGTGACTGGCCCCTGGGAGGGTCTTCCCTTCGGCCTCCCGGCTGGGGACTCCCTGGGCGGAAACTTGGTCCAGAGCACAGAGGAGATTCCGATGCAGAAGGAACACAGAACCTCCAATTGTAGAGTTGGAAGGGACCTTAGAGGTCTTCTAGTCCAACCCCCCTGCTCGTGACAGGAGATCCCGCAGCAGTCCGGATTTTCTTTGGGCTTGATGGGGCGGATAATACGTACGATCGCAGAAAGAAGAACAGAGCTGGGAGGACCCCAGAGGTCATCCAGTCCAACCCCCTCACTCCAGCAGGAGACCCCATATGCCAGTGATGGCGAACCTTTTAGAGAGCAAGTGCCCCCAAACCACCCCCCCATCTATCCCCGCTCCGCCGTGCCTGCTGGACCACCCACCACCTCCACGGCCCACCACAGATCACCCAGCAGCACCATGGGGGCCACGCCCTCCGCCCGTGCCCTGCAGCATCATCTGCGCACGATGGGGTGCAAAGGCGGAGTCGTGTCCCCGCTGCCCGGCTGCCATGTCCTTGGCTGCGCTGCTCCTTGTGGACCGCGCCCGGGGGCCACTCTCCTCCGGAGGGCTGCTGGTGAGGAGGGGGCTGTGGGAGGAGGCGGGGCTGGGGCGACGGCGCGTGTGCCCACAGAGAGGGCTCCGAGTGCCGCCTCTGGCACGCGTGCCATAGGTTCACCACCGCTGCCCTACACCATCTCAGACTTGGTTTTTCATTTCATTTCATTCTCAGGAGACGACGATTGTCTACAGATTCCCCCGTCCTAACGATAGTGTGTGTGTGTGTGTGTGTGTGTGTTTGTATTTCATACAGGGGGCAAAAAAGCCAAGTTGGGACCTGAAAGTGCTTCCCCTGTGTTGAAGAAGAGCCAGCCACAGAGAACAGCCCCCAACGCGGCAGCTACACTCCGAGGACCTGATCAAGCAACGGGAAAACAGAAGAGGAGTCAGAAAGGTGAAAGAGAGAGAGAGAGAGAGAGAGGATGAATGGATGAATGAATGAATGAATAGATGGATGAATGGATGAATGAATGAATCAACGAATGAACGAAGGAAAATGTACAGCATTTACTGTCTGCCCTGGTAAGCAGGGTGCTTTGCTGGCAGGTGCTTTAGCAAGCGGTGCTCAGAGGCGTATTCCAATTCAGAAGCAGGGCCTGGAGGGCTGCGGGGTCAGCCCAACGTTGGGGGGACGGGCCTCGCCCTCTCGGTTCCAGCAGACTCGCTCACTGGCCTCCGGGCTCCTCCTGCCCAGGTTGGAAGCCGTCCTTCTCTGCACCGCAGGGCCAGATGCCTCGGGCCAGGCACCCTCATTCCTACCCAGACAGCAGCAGCCCGGCCGACATCGCCGCCTCTCGCTAGCCGAACCAGAAAGACGGCCCGAACAGGTCTGAGGGCTCCCCGGGGGGCCCGAGGAGTGCCAGGAGAGGGAAAGGCACAGCTGGGGAACCGGAGGAAGCCCTGGGGAAGGAAGAGGGGAAGCCTCGGAGGAGGAAGAGAAGGAGGGCGATTCTCCCAAGGATTCCTCTTGGGCCTCGTTTGGAGAGGCCGTCACAACACCGCATCAGGGGAGCCTGGCAGAGGAGGCCGTCTGCGCTCTTCTTCGTTTTGGCTTGGGAAGCGGAGGACGGCTGACATTTCAACAGAGCTGCTGCCGATTGCGAAACCAACCCCTGGAAGCCAAGCCACAAACCAGGCAGAACTTTGAGCCTGGAGAGAAAAAAACAGGGAAAAAAACGACTCTCCAACATCCCCCCCCCCCCCCGTCTGAGGGGACTCGACTTGCCCCTCCTCGTTGGCCAGGATCTTGCGCTGCCCAAGGGAGGCTCTGCTCCTCCCGCCCGTCGCTTCCTCCCAGTCCGAGCTCCATTAAAAGCTACTTTTCAATTGAATGCCCTCCTCGGTGCTCCGATAGCAGAGTCGACAAAAGTTGCGTATGTTTTTATCCCCACGATCGATCGTAGACGGCTTAAGGGCAGAGCAGGAAGAGGCCGGGAACATGGGTGTCGGCAAGTGAAAATGCTAGTACAGGAAGCCCTCGGCTCCCAATCACAAGTCAGCCCCAAATTTCCGTTGTTAAGTGACTTTGGCCCCCGTTTTACGACCTGTCTTGCCACAGCTGTTAAGGGAGTCCCTGCACTTTGCCGAGGGATTAACACGGTTGTTAAGTGAATTCGGCTTCCCCCGTTGACTCTGCTTGTGAGAAGGTTGCAAAAGGGGAGCAGGCGTCCCCCGGGGACCCTGTGACTGTCATAAACAGGAGTCACTAAAGCAGGGGTGGGGAACCTTGGCTCTTTTATGACTGGTGGACTTCAACTCCCAGAATTCCTGAGCCAGCCATGCCTGTTTTCTTTTTCACCTATCCCTTAAAGCAGAGAGATTAGAGAGGAAGGGATTGTAAGAGAGTAAGCTGGGGGACAAGGAGTATGCTGGCTGGGGAATTCTGGGAGTTGAAGTCCACCAGTCTTAAAGTTGCCAAGGTTGGAGACCCCTCCCCTATTTCACATCCTCACCTATCCCTTAAAGCGGAGAGATTGGAGAGGAAGGGATTCTAAGAGAGTAAGCAGGGCCACAAGGAGTATGCTGGCTGGGGAATTCTGGGAGTTGAAGTCCACTAGTCATAAAAGAGCCAAGGTTGCCTAGCCCTGCACTAAAGCGTCTGAATTTCGATCTGTTTTAAAAGGCCCAACCAATCCGCTTCTCCCGGCGCTTTCTTCTCCTCTAACCTGCCTTGCAAGCACGTTAAAAATCATCCGGATGCAAATTTAGTCAGGTTTGCATAATTTATTCCAATGGAAGGGATTTGGGGGCCCATGGGTTGGTGCTAAACGTTTTAAAGCCGGTTGCAACCCCAGAGAGAACACGTGCAAATATTTTGATTAGACCCTTTCCCAACTTTGCCTCTTTAGGGTATCCCTCCCACCCAAAAACCGGGGCAGCCAGTTCCAAATGAGAGTCAGTCTCTCTCTCTCTCTCTCTCTCTCTCTCTCTCTCTCTCTCTCTTTTTTTTTTTTTTACTGGGATAACCGCCTCACCACCACCACCACCATCATCATATCCGCTGAGGCAGCTTCCTGGACTTGGATTCAGGGTCTGACCGGAATGTCAGCCTCTTTTGTTTCAGCTGCCTCCGTGTGTGTGTGTGTGTGTGTGTGTGTGTGTGTGTGTGTGTGTGTGTGTGTGTAGTAGGGGAGGGGGACGCAACTGCACAGCTTTGGAGGAAGCCGTGTTTTGCTCAAGGTCGCAAAGGACGGAGTGGCCAAATCCATTTCCTGACTCCCAGGTCCCCACGGGTCTCGCGTAGAATGGGGCCCTGAGGCTACGAGGCTGGTCAGAATATTGGGGGGGGGCTCAGTCTTTTCCCGGTTGGGCCTCCCCCCCCTCCCCACTTTCACAGCAACAAAGAGAAAAACAGAATAAAAGGGATGGAGGTCTTTTTTAGTCTGATCCCCTTTTCAAGGCAGGAGCACCAGGGCTCTCCAAGGTGGACCACTTTTAAGACTTGTGGACTTCAGCTCCCAGAATTCCCCAACCAGCTGTGCTTTTTTTTTTAAATCCCGGTGTACATTTTTTTTCAGTGTGCCTATTTTTTCTGGTGCTTTCCATTCAAAATATTGTTTTAATTCTGTTTACTAACTGCTTCCAGCGTTTTGTTTGTGGTCTAAAGCAGGGCTGTGCCGGCTGGGAAATTCTGGGAGTTGAAAGTCCACAAAGTCCTTCAAAGTGGCCTTAGTGTCCAGCCTTTTCTTGAAAACTCCACTGTAACTCAGATTGCACTGAGGTTCCCGTCGCATTTTTGAGGGCTGACTCAGCGTTTGCTTTCAACGGCCTGCAAATTCCAAAGAGATGTCTTAGTCTCGAGGTTGGGAAATGCTCATTTTTGTGGCCAGCTGGCTCAAACGGGGTCAATCCATCTTTTTTTTTTTTTTCACATGGCAACAAGCTTGGGAAAGGGATTTTTATAAATACCTTAAAATATCCAGCCAAACATGTGATTTCCTCACCACTAGACCATTTTTGGCCACTTGAAGACTTGTGGACTTCAACTCCCAGAGTTCCCTGGGACTAAAGCATTCCTTTCGATATGTACACCCATCGGGGCCTGCTTACTCTCTTGTAATCCCTTTGCAATCTCTCCGCTCTAGGAGGGAGGAGAAAAAAAAAAACAGGCTGAGGAATTCTGGGAGTTGAAGTCCACAAGTCTTAAAAATTAGCCAAGCTTGGACAGCCCTGCTTTAGACCACGAACAAAACCTTGGTAGCAGCTAATAAAATAGAAATAAAACAACATTTTGAATCGAAAGCACCGAAAAGCTCAAAATACCCACCAAACCTTTTTATTATTATTAAAGGGTGGCGATGGCCAGTGGCTTCCATGGTTTTAAAACAGAATTACAGGGATGAGAAATTTCTTTTGGGGGGGAGCTGGGAGCTTTTGGGGGGGGGGTCCCTGAGAGAAGGGGAGCAAAGGCAGTGCCAGAACGAACTTTTTGTAACGCACTTCCATGGATCAAAAACAGATCAAGTTATTCAGGACCACACCAGCGTGTTGAAAGCGCAAAAGGGCTGAAGTAGGAAGCGGGGCAACTCCAGATGCTGGTGATCTTGCCTGCCCTGGATAGGAATGATGGGACCTGTAGTCCTTCAGGCTGCCCGCAGAACTAGAGAAGATTTTAAAAAGTATCTGGGCGAAAGGGAGTCGTGGGCCAGAGCGGTCCCCCCAAGGGGAAAACTCAAGATTTTTAGTCCTTTTTGGGTTAGAACAGTGTTTCTCAACCTTGACCATTTTAAGGCATGTGGACTTCAACTCCCAGAATTCCACAGCCAGCATTGCTGGCTGTGGAATTCTGGGAGTTGAAGTCCACATGCCTTAAAATGGTCAAGGTTGGGAACCACTGGTTTAGAAGCAGATAAAGGAAACACTGGCCTTAAAAATGAAATTAAATTATGGGATGTGGTGTGTGGGAGAACTGACCCCCTCTGGCCACTGCCTCCTAAACTATCCGCTGTGGGGAAGCCAGTGGGGAAGGGTCTTGTCCCTCCTCCCCTTGGGCCCTTCCTGGCTGCAGGAGGCCAGCCCCCCAGGACCGCGGCCCCAGAGGCAGGGCTCCCTGTACGTTGCCTGGGGAGGGGCACGAACCCTGGTTCTTCCCTGGTCTGTTGGACCAACCGTCCGGCTTCATCTCCAGCCCGAGGGGGGGCAGGAGAAGTTTCGGCCGGGCCCCTCCCTCCCGTGCCCCAAACCGTCCCCCCGAGGGGGTCCCAGAGAAGGCACTTCTCGGGGGAGGGGGCGACATGAGGGCAGCCATCCTACTTGCCCCCTCCCCAAGACCAGCTCTGCACCCCAACAAGCCCCACCACTGCACCCCTCAAGCCAGCTGGGCTCCCCCAGCTCTCCACCCGTGGGGCCACCCCAAGGAGCCCCCAGCCCCATCGCAGCACAGGGACCTGGGCTACCTCAAGGGGGGGCCGGCCAGCTGAAGACGGTCTGGGGGGGCTCCTGGCTGGAAGCCCACCGCCCCGGGGCCTGAGCTGGGGGGAGGGGGAGCTCTCCAACAGCCCCTCCAACCGGGACCCCCGCCCGGCTGCCCTCTGCGGGAGAGGGAGGGGACCCTTCCCTGCCGGGAGACCCCCCCCATCCCGGGCGGGGCTGCCCTCCCTCCGCCTCCTCCTTCCCTGCCTGCCAGCCGTGCGAGCGGCGCCCCCGGAGCCGGCTCGGGCGCCTGCAGAAGCGGCTCTGCCGGGAAAGGGGCGGGGGGGGACCCGGTGCCGCAGCAGCGCCGCCCCGGCGGGAGGAGGCGACCCGGCCGAGGCGGAGGAGAGAAGAGCCGGGAGCCTCGGAGCGCCGCCGCCGCCGTCTTTGTCCGCAGCAGCAGCAGCAGCGCCGCCGGGAGCCGAGCCGAGCGGAGGGTCGGGCTGTCAACGGGCATCGCCCCCTCCCGCACCGGCCCCCCCTGGGCGCGCCGGACCCCCGGCCGTCCCCCGCCGCTCCGGCCCCGCGGCCTGGCCGCGCTCCCCTCCCCGGGCCGGCGAGCAGCGATGCCGGGCGGCGGGCGCGGGGTCCGGCGGGGGAGCCCAGTTCTGTGACGCAGCCGCCGCCGCCCCCTCCCCGGAGTAAGTAGCGGGGCGGCCGGGCGCTCGCCGGGAGGGGGGCTGCGGGGGGCGTGGGTGGGGGGGTCAGCCGAGGACGCCCCCCCCGCCCGTGTCCCGCGCCGGAGGCTTCCCGGGCATCTTCCCCCCCCCCGTCGCGTGTCTGCGCTTTCCCACGGAGGGTCCGCCGCGGGAAGCGGCGGCGCCTGGCCGGGACTCGCGGGGGAGACGCGCCCGCCTGGCTGAGGGACCCTCCCGGCTGCCCCTCTCCGCTCGGGGGAGGGACCCCCAGGAAAAGCTCCCCCCCACCTCCCGACCGCGTGAACCGGCCGTGCGAAGCCTTCAGGCCCGGATCTCGGCAGCCCCCCCCCCAAGTTGAATCCGGCTCAGCGTTTGAACGGCGGGGATTTGCTCGGTGGGGCCGCTCGGGAGAGGCGGTCGCGGCCGAGCTCTGCCGGGGTCCGGGTCGGCCTCGAGCCCCGGGTCCAGCGGGGTCAAAAAAGTCAAGATGGCGCCCCGCTTGATAGCAGGGCCGAAGCCCCCCGCCCGCCTTCCGCCCCAACGCCTCTTTCAGCCCCTCTTCCCGTTTCCTGCGGGTTGCCTCCCATAAGCCCAGGAAAGCCCCCTCCCCATCCCTGACCCCCATGTCTGAACGCGCTGCTTCCGGAGGGCCACTGAACGTCTGAGCATCCCTCTTGGTCAGGCTCACCTCCCGGGGTGTGTGTGTGTGTGTGTGTGTTTGTGTGAGTGTGTGTGTCTGCGGCAGGAAGAAGGTAACAGAGGAACAATCCTTCGTCCCCTTCAGTTCAAAAGATCCTGAAGAAAAACTAGAACGTTCCAGCCTAAAACCGAGTCAACCTTTTAACAGGTGGGAGGGACCTCGGAGGTCCTCTAGTCCAGCCCCCTGCTCAAGCAGGAGACCCCCCCAGAGACCGTTCCGGACAAATGACTGTCCAGTCTCTTCTTGAAAACCTCCAGGGTTAGAGCACCCTTAATGGAGTCACAAGAGTTGGAAGGGACCTTGGAGGTCATCTAGTCCAACCCCCTGCGGCCCAACGGGACAGAAGCCTTTGGCACCCTTTCCTCAAATTCAGCCCACGGCAGCCAGTCGGACCCCTTTCTCAGCCAAAAGGGGATACCTGCATCCTGGAACTGAAATTGGGCAGATTTTTGGGGGGGGGGGGAATCCTTTGGTGTCGTGGAAATGACCGTAGAGCATTTTATGACATCATAACCAAGGGTCACTCAAGGGCTGGCTGTGGCCGCTTCCTGGGGCTTCCCTGGGCTGCCCTTTGGAGGCAGCCAAGCATCTCCAAAAGTCCCCCTGGATTTTTAAGAACGCTGGAAGGATCCAGTAAGGCAAGGCAGGTGGTCTTCCACTTACGACCGCTCGTTTAGTGACCGAAGCTAAAACGGCACTGAAAAAAAGCAATTTAGGACCGTAGCTTCCCCAGGGCCACCTGATCAAAATTCATTAGCTTGGCAACTGACTCGTATTTACGACGGTCGCAGCGTCCCGGGGGGGGGCTACGTGATCCCCTTTTGCAGCCTTCTGACGAACAAAGTCAGTGGGGGAAGCCGGATCCACTTAACGACCGTGTCACTAATTTAACAACTGCGGGCGATTCACTTTACGATGGTGGCAAGGAAAGGGGTAAAATGGGACAAAGCTCCCTGAACAACGGTTTGGGCTCAGTTGTCGTCGTAAGTGGAGGACGGCTTGCAATCTCTGAAACAATCAGCCAGGAGCTTATGGGTGGCCTGGCGTCACAAAAGCCACCTATTTCTAGGTTCTTTTTTATCTTGATTTTTAAATTTCTGTGTATTTATTTCCTTTAATCTTGGCCTCTTCCGTGTCTCCCTAGCAACTGATGCTGGCTTTGTAGGAGTGCAGTCACAAAGATGACAACTGTTGTGGGCTCCTGAGACCAGGCTGGCCGGCAAGGGGGGTCTGGCCGGCCCCTTCGGAGAAGGGTTGCTTTCTGGCGCATCCGCACGGCCCATCGTCCTCTCCCGCCCTCCTCTGCGGTAGGTAACCGGAGCAGGGGGGGCTGGGGCTGGATTGGCTCCGGGCACACTGTGGGGTTCACCCTTATCCCCCTCCTCCTCCCCCTCCCCCTTTCTCCTCCTGGAAGATCCCCCTAATTGAGGATATTACCTAATTGGGTCATGAAACGTCTGCAAGAGAACAACCCAGCTTAGACACCACCAAGGACCCCATAGTCTTGTTCTTCCTCCTCCTCTTCCTCCTCCACCACCACCACCACCCTCCCCTTTGGGTGTTGAGGGAGATAGAAAACTCTGGTTCTTGATCTTCATCCCCTCTGAAAGTCACAACGGGGCGGGTGAGATCCGGGCTCGGCCATTAGGCCACCACGCCGACCAGTTCATTTACTCAACCAAGGATGGAGATAAGCCACGGTTTAGCACAGCTGCCCAAACCAGACCTTCCTCTCCCTCCGTCTTCCCCCCCCAGGTGAGCCGGGATGCTTTGACCCTCCCCTGCCGCAACTCCGTCAACGTGTCGAGGCCCTCCCTCCCGCTCGTGGCCATGCCACCCCGGCCCTCCTCCGGGGAGCTATGGGGGCTCCACCTCATGCCCCCACGGATCATGGTGGACTGCTGCCTGCCCAACGGGATGATGGTCACCCTGGAATGCCTGCGGGAGGCCACGCTCCGGGGCATCAAGCAGGACCTATTCAAGGAGGCCAGGAAGTATCCGCTCTTCCACCTGCTGCAGGTGAGCCGAGGGCAGGGGGCACACCTGGCCAGTGAGAACAATGAACCAGTGGAACCACCTGCCTCCAGAAGCGGTGGATGCTCCAACACTGGAAGTTTTTAAGAAGAGACTGGACAGCCGTTTGTCCGAAATGGTGTAGGGTTTCCTGCCTTAGCAGGGGGTTGGACTAGATAACCTCCAAGGTCCCTTCCAACTTTATTATTATTATTATTATCGATCATCGCACAGTCAGCCAGATGTTCAGACTGGATTTGGCATTTTGTCTACCTATTGAGTCCTTACCCAGGACCTGGGATAGGCAGATGTGGATGTTTGATGGTATTACAGATCTCGTCGCAGGATGGAAGCAGTTCCTAATAAGGCCGCCTTTTGCAATTGACTAATAGCAAATTTGTCAATGCCAATGGTGTTGAAGTGGTGCTCCAGTTGTTTTGGGATTGCACCCAAGGAGCCTATTACTATTGGTACTACCCTTGCTTGCTTTTGCCACAGTCTTTCTATTTCTATTTGTTGGTCTTTGTATTTTGTTATCTTCTCCAGTTCTTTCTCGTCTATTCTGCTGTCTCCAGGCACTGCCACATCCACTATCCAGACTTTTTTGTCTTTCTTATAGACAATTGTTAAGTCTGGGGTGTTATGTTGCAGGTGCTTGTCTGTTTGAATTCTGAAGTCCCAGAGCAGTTTAATTTTATCATTTTCTATGACTTTCTCTATTTTATGATCCCACCAGTTTTTGCTTACAGGCAAATGATATTTTTTGCAGATCTTCCAATGCACCATTGTTGCTACTTTGTCATGCCGCTGCTTGTAATCAGTCTGTGCAATCTTCTTGCAACAGCTTACCAAGTGGTCCACTGTTTCTTCAGCTTCTTTGCATAGGCGGCACTTACTGTCTGTTGCTGTCTTCTCAATTTTGACTTTGTATGCATTTGTCCTTAAGGCTTGGTCTTGTGCAGCCAGAATTAGTCCCTCGGTCTCTTTCTTCAATTTTCCTGCTCTTAGCTATTGCCAGGTTTTATTATTATCTGCTTTCCCAGCTATTTTTTTCATGTATTGGCCATGTAGTGCTTTGTCTTCCCATGCCTCTATTCTGTTCTTCATTTGGTCTTTCTTGTAGGCCAGTTTGGTCTCTCCAGTAGTCAGTAAGCCTTCCTGATATACTAATTTCAGTGCATCTTCATCATTGTTCTTCAGATATTCTTCCAAAGCCATTTTTTCTTCTTCAACCATCTGATGTACTTGTAGCATTCCACGCCCACCTATTTGCCTTGGTAGATAAAGTCTATCAATGTCACTGCGTGGATGAAGGGCATGATTCATTGTCATTATTTTTCTGGTCTTCCTATCCATTGCTTTTAGTTCTGCTTGAGTCCAGTCCACTATTCCAGCTGTGTACCTAATGACTGGGATTGCCCAGGTGTTGATTGCCTTTATGGTATTTCCTCCATTGAGTTTGGACTTTAAGATCTTCTTCACTCTCTTGATGTATTCACCTCTAATCTTTTTCTTGACTTCAGTGTGCTTGATGTTGTCAGCTTGAAGGATACCCAAGTATTTGTAGTACTCTTCCTCATCCAGACTCTTAATGTTATTTTCGTGGGGCATCTTGATTCCTTCAGTTTTCACTATTTTTCCTTGTTTGATAGCAAGTGTGGTACATTTGTCCAAGCCAAACTCCATTACAATATCTTGGCTATATATACGGACAGTGTTGAGCAGTGATTCTATTTCAGATGATGTTTTTCCATACAGCTTCAGATCATCCATGTAAAGGAGGTGGGATAGTCTGGCAGATGTTTTTGATGTTTGATAGCCATGTCCTGAGTTATTCAGTATTGTTGACAGAGCAAACAGTGCAATGACAAATAGTAATGGTGATAATGAATCTCCTTGAAATATTCCTCTCTTGATATTAACCTCTCCCAGCTTCTCACCATTGATCTGCAACTGTGTCTTCCATTGTGCCATCGATCTTTGCACAAATTTTCTGATGTTTCTACTGACTCCTGTTATTTCGAGGCACTTGATTATCCAGTCATGTGGCAGAGAGTCAAATGCCTTTTTGTAGTCAATCCATGCCACATTCAGGTTGGTCTTCCTTTTCTTGCAGTTTTCCAAGATCATTTTGTCTATTAGGAGTTGATCTTTTGTTCCTCTGCTATTGGGGCGGTTTCCTTTCTGCTCAGGTGGAAAGAGATTGTTTTCAACTAGATGCTGTTGTACTGCATCAGCTACCACATCAGTTAGTAATTTGAAAGTTGTTGGTAAGCAGGTAATTGGCCTGTAGTTACCTGGTGTTGCCCCTTTTGCTGGATTTTTCATTATTAGGTAGGTTTTCCCAGTTGTTAGCCACTATTATTATTATTATTATTATTATTTAAACCGAAGGGGGGGCACCAATTTATTGAAGGGTAGTTGAGGCGCTAAAGAGAAGGGCCCGAGAATCGGAACACCCCCCCCCCGTTTGGGGAAGAACTTGCCGGCTTCCAAATGTGTACAAGTAACACCTTTACAATCTTTACAACAATTAATTCAGAGTTACGACAGCACTGAAAAATGTGACCTAGGGCTATTTTTTCACACTTAACGACCGTTGCAGCCATCCCTGTGGTCAAAATTCAGACAATTGACAACGGGCTCACATTGAAGGCCCAAATTTCAGTGGCCGTGTGAGAGACAGTCGTTAAGGGGGGGTTGCCTCATTTTACGACCTTTCTCGCCACAGCCGTTAAGTGAATCGCTGCAGCTGTTAAGCGAGTCACTCGGTCGTTAAGCAAATCCGGCTTCCCCCCCCATTGACTTTGCTTGTCAGAAGGTCGCAAAAGGGGATTGTGTGGCCCCGGGACACTGTGACCGTCATAAATGTGACTCGGTTGCTGAGCATACGTATTTTGTTCACATGCAACGGTCGTAAGTGTGAAAAACGGCCATAATTCTCTTTTTTTTTGTCCCGTTGTAACTTTGCAAACTGTTGTAAGTCAAGCACTTACCTGTATGAAAAGAGGGGGGTCCATTTCTTTGGGCTCCTTTACCCCTCCCCAATTCCTTGTCCCCTTGGTTTTGTCTCCCCCCACCAGGAGGAATCGTCCTACATCTTTGTGGGGGTCACCCAAGAAGCCGAACGGGAGGAATTTTTTGACGAGTCTCGTCGTCTCTGTGACCTGCGCCTCTTCCAGCCCATCCTGAAGGTGGTGGAGCCCATGGGAAACCGGGAGGAGAAGATTCTCAACCGGGAGATCGGTCAGTCCAGGCCAGGCGATTCGTGGCCCAGCATTCCCCATTGATCCCGGTCTCTGATGAATCGGGGCCCAGATCAACCCAGTATTTGGGGGAGGGATGCCACAAAGAGGAGGGGGTCACGTTATTCTCCAAAGCACCAGAGGGAAGGACGAGAAACAATGGTTGGAAACTGGCCAAAGAGAGAAGCAACCTCGAATTAAGGAGAAACTTCCTGACAATTAACCAGTGGAACAACTTGCCACCAGAAATTGTGGGTGCTCCATCACTGGAGGTTTTTAAGAAGAGACTAGACAATCACCTGTGTGAGATGATGTAGGTTCTTCTGCTTGAGCGGGGGGCTGGACTAGAAGACCTCCAAGGTCCCCTCCAGGTTCTATTCTATTCTATTCTATTCTATTCTATTCTATTCTATTCTATTCTATTCTATTCTTATCATTATTCTATTCTATTCTTATCATTATTCTATTCTATTCTATTCTATTTTCTATTCTATTTTCTATTCTATTCTATTTGATTCTATTCTATTCGATTCTTATCATTCTATTCTATTCTATAATGATAAGAATTTTATTCTGTTGTTATCATTATTCTATTCTATTCTGTTCTGTTCTGTTCTGTTCTGTTCTGTTCCGTTCCATTCCATTCCATTCCATTCCATTCCATTCCATATTCCATTCTATCTCTTATTCTATTCTTTCCATATTCTATTCTATTCTAAAAACAATTCCGTTAGAACCCAGAGAACATTAAGGTTAAGCATTTATATTTTTACACTATTTTATTCATATCTATCTGTATAGGTTTTGTACAATTTTATCCTTTTAATATTGTAGGCTGCCCAGAGTTACTTTGAGGTGAGACAGGCATCCAATAAATATATTTTTTGTCCCTCCATTTTTTTCTTATTTCATTCAAAATATTAAAATACAAAATACAAAAGAAAAAAAAAACATGAAATAGGGAAAACAAAACTAGACTAGAATATTTTAAAAAAAGTGAATTCACATTTTTAATGCCCATTTATTTATTTTTTAATATCCTTATCCGGTTTTCTTTTAATAATAGTAGTAAAGTTGGAAGGGACCTTGGAGGACATCTAGTCCAACCCCCTGCTCAGGCAGGAAACCCTACACCATTTCGGACAAATGGCTGTCCAATCTCTTCTTAAAAACTTCCAGTGTTGGAGCATTTACTGCTTCTGGAGGCAGGTGGTTCCACTGGTTAATTGTTCTCACTGTCAGGAAATTCCTCCGTAGTTCCAGGTTGCTTCTCTCCTTGATTAGTTTCCATCCGTTGCTTCTTGTCCTGCCTTCAGGTGCTTTGGAGGATAGTTTGACTCCCTCTTCTTTGGGGCAACCCCTGAGATATTGGAATACTGCTATCATGTCCCCCCTTGTCCTTCTCTTCGTTTTGTCTGCGCTTCATTTTTTTTTTCTCTTTTGCATTTGGTATTGCAATCTCCTGAACAGCGTTAAAAAAACCCCGAGAACGGATACATACTTTTGATAAACAAATTAATCCAAAACCTTCGCTCCGAAGGGTTTGCCATCGGGATGCCCATCTGCGAATTTGAGCTGGTGAAAGACCCCGAGGTGCAGGAATTTCGGCGCAACATCCTCTCCATCTGCCGTGAAGCGGTGGAGACGAGAGGGTCAACGGGACCCCAAAGCCAGGCCTTGTACGTCTACCCCCCCAACGTGGAATCCAGCCCTGACCTGCCCAAACACCTGTACAGCAAGTTGGACAAAGGTGAGCTGGGGCGGGGGAGGCGGCCAGTTGGGGAAGAAGCAAAGCTGCCTCAGTTTCCCGTTTATTTCCAAGGCGCCGTTTATTCCCGATAAACTGCATGTGGTTCTGGCCATGCTCAGTGCTGCCTCTCCCAGGTGTAAATCACCTGCAGACGGTCCCCGGACATCTGACGGGAGGAGTGCCCCAAAGGGGTCCATGGCTTCTCAAAGCTTGCAAAGATCTACAGGCAGTCCTCAACTTATGACTGTTCCTTTCGTGACCGTTTGAATTTACGGCGGCATTGAAAAAAAAGTGACCTGGATCATGTTTCACACTTGTGACCATTGCGGCATTAACCCAGGGTCACGTGATCCAAATTCAGACCCTTGACTCATATTTATGACGGTTGCAGCGTCCCAGCGGTCATACGATCCCCTTTTGCGACCGTCTGACAAGCAACGTCGACGGGGGAAGCCAGCTTCGCTTCAGTGAGTCACTGAACTCCTGCAGGGGTTCACTTAACTGTGGCAACAAACGGGGCAAAACAAATGTCTCACTTAGCGACAGAAATTTTGGGGTCGTAAGTAGAGGACTCCCTGTATAAAGATGACTCCAAAGCTTTGCAACCCCAGGTCAACTTGAGGCCGATTGCTTAGCAAATCTTCAAAGTCCCGGCAGATTTAGCCAAGTCTGTATTTACAACGTGGACTCAAACTTCTGATGCTTGCCTTCCTGCAGTCACGTGACCACATTTGGGGGAGTCACAACTGGACCCCAGTTGGTTGTTTGCAGCGTCCCACAGTCACATAACTGTGTTTTACGACGATTTTGCCGTGGGCTCACTTAAGATCCATGCCGTTCACTTGACAACTGTAGACTTGCTTGAGGTGTGTAGCTAAAAAGCTCGAAAAAGTCCAGCTGGTCATGTGACGGGCCTGTTTGATGTCTGTCACGAATTTTGACCACGATGGGCCAGCTCCATTGCGGTCATAACTCGGGGAATACCTGTAGATGGAGTGATTTGGCTGTCTGAATAAGATAACTCTCCACAAACTCTCCTTGTGGGCTGAAGCTGCCTTGTATTTATTGGGGGGGAGTCAGAATTAGAATTGTGATTTATTGCAAGGATCTCCAGAATTGTCCGGTTTAAGACTTGTGGACTTCAACTCCCAGAATTCCCTGGGACTAATGCATTCTTTTTGACAAGTATACCCATTGTGGCCTGTTTACTCTCTTGTAATCCCTTCCTCTGCAATCTCTCCGCTCTAGGAAGTAGGAGAGAAAAAAAAACCAGGCATGGCTGGTTAAGGAATTCTGGGAGTCGAAGTCCACAAGTCTTAAAGGGGGGCCAAGTTTGGAGACCCCTGATCTGTTGTGCTGACTGATCAGGGCTTAAGAGAGGGCTAGATCACAGGCACATAAAAGTGTTTGTAAGTCAAGAAATAAAACAAAATTAAATCAGGTCTAAGAAGATTTTCCCATTTTTTTCCTTAAATGCTTCTGAGAATAGGACGATTCCTGCAAAAAGAGAAAACTCATGTCAGTTGTGCTCTTCCCAGGTTTATTAGTTAATTAATCAATTTGTAAAAATTTATTGGCTGCCCCTCTTACCACGGGATAACTCTGGCGCAGCTTACAATGTCAACAATCCCGGAGCTGTGACTGCCGCACAACCGCATACGGGTCCCAGTTCCCCTCCCCTTGATTTTATTTTCTCCCGCGCTTGGCCTCCCGCGGACGCACCCAAGTGACCATTGCTTGTCCTGCTTTTCCCCCCCCCCTCCCTGAAGGTCGGATCATAGTGACCATTTGGGTTATTGTGTCCCCAAACAACGACAAACAGAAATACACCCTCAAGACGCCCCACGACGCGCTGCCCGAGCAGGTGATCGCCGAGGCCATCCGGAAGAAGACCCGCAGCATGCACCTCTCACCCGAACAGCTGCGCCTTTGCGTGCAGGAGTACCAGGGCAAATACTTGCTCAAAGTCTGCGGCTGCGATGAGTATTTGCTGGAGAAGTACCCCCTCAGCCAGTACAAGGTGAGCTCCCCCCCTTCTGATGCTGCAGACGGCCTTTCTCAGCACTTGCGGGGGGGGGCTCCTGTTGACGTCGAGGTCCAGTCGATCCAACAGGAACCATCTCTCGGGAACCAGGAAGCGGGTCTTCTCCCTCTGGAACGGCACACACAAAATCACACACACACACAAACACACCCCTGAAGTCCTTCAGCTCCCATCCTGCTGGTGTTCTGGAGCAGAAGTCCCCAACCTTTTGGGCACCAGGGATCACCGGTTCCATAGAGAGAGGTTTTCCAACGGACTGGAAAGTGCATGTTTTTTTTGTGCAGAGCGGTTGCTGACATGCCGCAGGCCGGTACCGGTCCACATACTGGGGGGGATGGGGACCCCTAGTCTGGAGGACTTTGAAAACTTTGCTGTATTTTTTTTTCCCAAGCTAGGGGCAAGAGTATTGGTGGGGTCCCTGTGGTTGTGTCGAGGGAGTGTGCCTTTTTTATACCTATATTTTTTCTAAGCCTTGAAGTCAGGGGTCTCCAAACCTGGCCACTTTAAGGCTTGTGGACTTCAACTCCCAGAATTCCTCAGCCAGCCGTTTTTTTCCCTCCTCCTTCCTAGAGCAGAACAGAGAGTGGAGATATTGCAGAGGAAGGGATCACAAGAGAGTAAACAGGCCACCATTGGTGTACCCATCAAAAGGAAGGCATTAGTCCCAGGGGAGTTTTAAAGTGTTTGGAGAGTCCTGCTTTAAGTAGTAATTCTAATATGCACTGGAGGGGCAGGAGGAGAAAGAGGAAGAGGAGAAGAAAGAAGAGGAGGGCCAGCCTCCTAGATAGAAGATAGAAGGGTCCAAGGGAAGCCTTGAGACATTCGCCGCTCAGAGGAAAAAATTCTTATCTATCTATCTATCTATCTATCTATCTATCTATCTATCTATCCATCCATCCATCCATCCATCCATCCATCCATCCATCTATGAAATTTATAGGGCCACCCAACTCACATATAGGCAACTTCAGTCCCATTGACCAAACAAAATTTTTAGAGGGCCTTTGGAAAAGAAGCAGGATGGAGGCCTACCGTACCGTGATGTTCCACAGAGAGGGACTGTCACCAAGAAGGCCCTTTTTCACGGTCCCACCAGACGATGATTCCTAGTCCATGGGACCCGTGACGTGCCTTGCCTTGCCGGCCTGGCGGACCCCCTTGCTCCCATCAAAGGCCCGTCCTTTGAATCCAGAGGCCCCAGATATGCAGGGATCCCTTTCAGAAGGACCCGGAAGCTTTGGGTGCTGCAGAATCCACAGCCGGGGAAAAAAGACTCCGTGATCGTCCCCCTCAAGAGTTGCACCCCCTTCTGTGGGGTGGGGTTGGCCGCAGAAGACAACGGGGTGAGCACAGCTGAAGAGCTGTCTCTTCTTCCTTGTCCTCTCTGGTGTGGCCCTCTTCCGACGTGCAGAGCAGGGGTGGCCAGGAAGAGGCCCTCCTGAGATTAGAATTTGGGGGTTTGATTTGGTCAGAAGTAGCCAAAAGAACAAATAAACGAATCGGGCCCGAATCTCTGCTGAAGCTGTTGTCTGCTCTTGACGCTGCCTGGTCTCTCCTCCTCCTGACCTTCAGTGTTTATTTATTTTATTTATGAGACTTATATACCGCTTTAAGTGCAAGCACTCTCTAAGCGGTGTACACCAGTAAGCAGTGTATATATATATTTACATTGCCCCCAACAATCTGGGTCCTCATTTTACCTACCCCGGAAGGATGGAAGGCTGAGTCAACCTTGAGCCGGTGAGATTTGAACTGCTGACCTGCTGAACACGGTCAGCTAAAGTGGCCTGCAGTACTGCACTCTTAACTGCTGCGCTACCTCGGTGTTTCGTTCTTCCTGCAGTACATGAGGAACTGCATCGCCATCGGCCGCCTGCCCCACCTGATGCTGATGAGCAAGGAGAGCCTCTACAGCCAACTGCCGGCCAACGTCTTCGTGCTGCCCTCGTACGCGCGCCGGTCAGCCACCTCCTCGCACGTGAACGGAGACGTGCCCACCAAGTCCCTCTGGTCCATCAACAGCCTCCTGCGCATCAAGATCCTGTGCGCCACCTACGTGAACGTGAACATCAGGGACATAGATAAGGTGGGCGAGTTTAGGTCCACGCTGCCACCTGAAATTATTGCGGGGGGGGGGGTTCCTTGATCTGGCTCAGCAGCCCGGTCAGTTTCCATCTTTTCATATAAGGTCGATTGTGTTGACCCGACAGCAGCAGCTTCTTATTGGCTGAAGTGACGGCCTCTGCATTTCATCCCACATGATCCCAGTCAATTAGATGTGGGTCCCTGAAAAACTCCGGGGAAAGAGATTGAGGCATTGGGAATGCCAGAATGGGGGACCCACCGGAGCAGAGCAAAGCTCCCTCTAGTAGCCATCAGCTGCTCACGATTACAGAAGGATGTGCCGGCTTGCATACCCTCCTCAGTCTTCCATTGTTTGCTACCAATGTTAGGCGTCACCGCCCATCATCCTCAACCACTGGGAGAGGAAGTAACTACAGGGAGACCTCAACTTACGACCACCATTGAGCCCAAAAATGTCTTTTGCTAAGCAAGACACTTTTTAAGCGGGTTTTGCCCCGTTTGACACCTTTCTTGCCACAGTCGTTAAGGGAATCGTTGCGGCTGTTAAGCAAGTAACGTGGTTGTTAAGTAAATCCGGCTTTCCCATGGACTTTGCCCATCAGCAGGCCACAAAAGCTGATCACCCAGGACTTTGCAACCGTCGTAAATAAGAGTCAGTTGCCAAGTGTCTGAATTGGATCGCGTGGGAAGGCTGCAACAGCCGTAAAAGTGAAAAAGGGTCCGGAGTTGCTTTTTTCAGGGCTGTCGTAACTTCGGACGGTCACTAAACGAACGGTCGTAAGTCGAGGGCTCCCTGGAGCGGATTTCAAGCAGGCGAAGCTTTTCATTCCGCTCTCCCTTTGTCCTAGATCTATGTCCGGACGGGAATTTTCCACGGTGGCGAACCGCTTTGCGATAACGTCAACACTCAGCGCGTGCCGTGCTCGAACCCTCGGTAAGGGTGGGAGAAGGGAGAGGTCGCTGTGCCCGGCCTGAGCAGCAGTGCCCAAGGCCCCGGCAAGGGCAGGAAGCTCCTTGGCACGGCCAGCCTGGGGGACGGGGGGCGGAGGCGGTGTCTCCTTAAGGACGGGACGGAAAACAACCGGGAACCCAAGCAGGGGGGACGTCTGGCTGCCTGGCTGATTCCAGCGCCGCCGTTTTGCTCCCAGGTGGAACGAGTGGCTTTCGTACGACATCTACCTGACCGACCTGCCGCGTGCGGCACGCCTTTGCGTGTCCATCTGCTCCGTCAAGGGCCGGAAGGGGGCCAAGGAGGTGAGTGTTGGGGGGGCAGCCCCATCGTTGGACCGGAACTTCAGTGAAGTACGGCTCCACGTACGGCCACGACAGAGCCCAAAATTTCTGTGGCTAAGTGAGACAGTGGTGAAGTGAATTTTGCCCCATTTTATGATTGCTGTTGCTAAGTGAATCACTGCAATCGTTAAGCTTGTCACACAGTTGTTAAGTGAGCCTGGTTCCCCCTTGACTTTGCTCGTCGGAAGGTCGCAAAAGGGACCCCACGACCGTCATAAAGACGAGTCCGTTGCCAAGTGTCTGGATTTTGATTACATGATCACAGGGATGCTGCAACGGTTGTTAAGGGTGACAAATGGTCGTAAGTCACTTTTCAGTGACGTTGTAACTTAAAAACGGTCACTGAATGAAGGGTTGTAAAATCAAGGACTACTTTTGTGTACTTGCCTGCTTTTGATAGTTGAAATAATTCAGATAAAAAACAGTTTATCATAATACTGCCATCTTCGGCATATTGTGCTGAAAACCCCTGGGTGAGGGTGGGTGGCAGTGCTCCCCGCCTCACTGTGGGTTCCCTATTCCAGCAGTCTCCATCCTTGGCCACTTTAAGACTGGTGGACTTCAACTCCCAGAATTCCTCAGCCAGCCATGCCTGTTTTTCTTCTCCTATCCCTTAAAGCGGAGAGATTGGAGACGAAGGGATTATAAGAGAGTAGGCAGGGCCACAATGAGTATGCTCACTATTCCAGGGGTCTCCATCCTTGGCCAATTTAAGACTGGAGGACTTCAACTCCCAGAATTCCTCAGCCAGCCATGGCTGTTTTTTTTTTTTCACCTATCCCTTAAAGCGGAGAGATTGGAGATGAAGGGATTATAAGAGAGTAAGCAGGGCCACAATGAGTATGCTGGCTGGAGAATTCTGGGAGTTGAAGTCCACCAGTCTTAAAGTTGCCACAGTTGGAGACCCCTGGCCTATTCCACGTCCTCCCCTGCCCCAGCCCCCTCCTTCAAGAAAGGCCTCTCTGCTGCAGGTTCAGCGATGCTCAGCGTCAGCTTGAGGAACGGTGGCCGACGTTCCCTGACCCCGTCCCCCCCTTTCCCTCCGTAGGAGCACTGCCCCCTGGCTTGGGGCAACATCAACCTGTTTGACTACAAGGACACCCTGGTGGCTGGCAAGATGGCCCTCAACCTGTGGCCGGTCCCCCACGGCCTGGAGGACTTGCTGAATCCCATCGGAGTCGGGGGCTCCAATCCAAACAAGGTGAGACCACCCACGAGGGGGTTGAATTCCGCGGGAGTCAGTTGATAAGTGGGATCCTCCACGTCAGGGGTGGGTGGGAGGGGAAAGGGATACCCGGCTTTTTGGAGAGGGGGAGTTGACCTCTTTTTTGCTGCTACAGGAGACCCCGTGCCTGGAACTGGAATTCACCTGGTACAGCCACCCGGTGAAATTTGCCGACGCTACCGAAATCGAGGAACACGCCAACTGGGCCATGTCGCGGGAGCTGGGCCTCAACTACTGTATGGTGGGCTTGGTAAGGGGGCCACGGGCTCTGCCCAGCGTGCCAGACCGTAGGAGGGCAGCTCTGGCTGAGGGTCCCCTGGACAGGGGGCCGGACAAGGAGACCCTCCCACCAAGTTCCTCTCTGGCCTAGATTCTACGGGAAAGCCAGATACGTCTATCACCCTGTAGGGTGGGCAATCTTATACAAGGAGTCTCAGACTTACGACAGTTCATTTAGCAACCAAAGTTCCAACGGTAGTGAAAAAAAGCGAGCGTTTTTCAGACTTACGACCACTGCAGCATTCCCCCTGGTCCCATGATCAGAATTTGGATGCTTTAGCAACCGACTCGTATTTGTGACGGTCGCAGTGCCCTGGGGACACTGGATGCTCTTCTGACAAGCAAAGTCAGCGGGGAAGCCCGATTGACTTAACAGCCGGGCTCCTGACTTGACAAGGGCTGAGGTTCACTTAAAAAGGTCGTAAAATGGGGCAAAACTCACTTAGCAACGGTCTCGCTTAGCGACAGAAATTCTAGGCTCAGTTGTGGTAAGCTGACAACTACCTGTAGCCCGGTGGGGAGGGGGATACAATGGTTCTAGGTCAGAGAATCCTAACCGTGGCAATTTTCAGGTGGGTGGACTTCAACTTCCAGAATGCCCCCGCCAGCCATGCAACTATAAGATTGGTGGACTTCAACTCCCAGGATTCCCCAGCCAGCCGTGCAACTTTAAGACCGGTGGGCTTCAACTCCCAGAATTCCCCAGCCAGCATACTCATTGTGGCCCTGCTTACTCTCTTATAATCCCTTCCTCTCCACTCTCACCGCTTTAAGGGACAGGAGAGAAAAAAACAGCCATGGCTGTCTGAGGAATTCTGGGAGTTGACGTCCACCCACCTGAAAATTGCCACAGTTGGCAAAGGGTGTTCTAGCTGCTTCTGTCTTGCTGTGATCCATAGAGGGGAGGGGGATGACATCTCTTCCCCCCACACACACACACCCTCTTCCAGAGCAACCGCCTGGCCCGCGACAGCTCATTGGATGAGAGCGAACTGGAGCAGCTGCGCAACGTCTGCAACCGGGACCCCCTGTCAGAGATCACGGAGCAGGAGAAGGACTTCCTTTGGCGCCACCGGTGAGTGGGTGGATGGGTGGGTGGGTGGTTGGGCCGGACAGCCAAGATGGGCTGGACAGCTGCGGTGGCTGCCCCCCTCGGCCCGGCCTTGCCTTCCACGGCCCCCCTCTCCTTCCAGGCACTACTGCCTCAACATCCCCGAGACCCTGCCCAAATTGCTGCTGTCCGTCAAGTGGAATTCGCGAGACGAGGTGGCCCAGGTGAGCGGAGACCAGCATCCTTCGCGCTCCAGCCGGGGCCCATGGGAAATTTGCAGGGGGGAGGGGAGAGAGCAGCCACTGATGGTTTGGCTCCTGGCAGGCAGATGCCCCCTCCCCAAATTGCTCCTCTGGGCCTCCTTGATTGGGCACTGTGAGGTCCAGGCCCTTTAAAGCAGCCGTCTCACATTTTACAGGCCGTCCTTGACACACAACAATTTGTTTAGTGACCGTTCAAAGTTACAACGGCACTGAAAAAAGGGACTTTGGAGGTCCTCTAGCCCACCCCTCTGCTCAGGCAGGAAACCCTTGCAGAATAACAGAGCCGGAAGGGGCCTTGGAAGTCTTCTAGTCCATCCCCCCTGCTCAGGCAGGAAACCTTATCCCGTTTAAGACCAAGGGCTGTCCAAATCTCTTTTCTTAAAAGCTTTCAGTATTTGCAATTCACTTAAGAACTGCAGCAAGAAAAATCGCAGACTGGAGCAAAACTCGCTTAGCCAATGTCTCACTTAGCGGCGGAAATTTTGACCTCCATTGTGGCCGTGAGTCGAGAACGCTCTAGAGTTGGCAGCACCGGGAACCTTCCGGCAGGCTCGGGAGACCCCCGCCGTGAACTATACCAGGGATAGGCAACCGTGGCTCTTTTATGACTGGTGGACTTCAACTCTCAGAAGCCTGTTTACTCTCTTGTAATCCCTTCCTCTGCACTCTGTCCGCTCTGAGAAGTAGGAGAAAAAAGAACAGGCATGTCTGGCTCAGGAATTCTGGGAGTTGAAGTCCACGAGTCATCAAGGGAGCCATAGTTCCCCCCATGCTGGCTGAGGAATTCTGGGAGTTGAAGTCCACGAATCATCAAGGGAGCCATAGTTCCCCCCATGCTGGCTGAGGAATTCTGGGAGTTGAAGCCCACCAGTCATAAAAGAGCCAAGGTTGCCTACCCCTGAACTATACCATTTTCTATCCCCCCCCCGCCTGTTCCCCCCCCCCCAGATGTACTGCCTCCTGCGGGAATGGCCGCTGATCAAGCCGGAGCTCTCCATGGAGCTGCTGGACTGCAACTTCCCGGATCCAGTCATCCGCGAGTTCGCCCTGAAGTGCCTGGTCAAGGGACTGACCGACGACAAGCTCTCCCAGTACCTCATCCAGCTGGTGCAGGTAGATGACCTTGGAGGTCATCTAGACACGCTCCCTGCTCAGGCAGTTGACCCTGTATTATTTCAGGTTCCAATCTCTTCTCAAAAACAGAATGACAAGAGTTGGAAGGGACTTTGGAGGTCATCTAGACCCACCCCCTGCTCAGGCAGGAGGCCCTGTATTATTTCAGGTTCCAATCTCTTCTCAAAAATGGATTAACAGAAGTAGAGAGCTGGAAGGGACCTTGGAGGTCATCTAGACCCACCCCGTGCGCAGACAGGAGACCCTATGTTATTTCAGACAAAGTAGCTTCCAGTCTCTTCTCAAAAACAGAATGACAGAGGTGGAAGGGGCCTTGGAGATCATCTAGTCCAACCCCCTGCTCAGGCAGGAGACCCTGTATTATTTCAGGTTCCAATCTCTTCTCAAAAACAGAATGACAAGAGTTGGAAGGGACCTTGGAGGTCATCTAGTCCAACCCCCTGCTCAGGCAGGAGATCCTTTATTTTTTCAGGGTCCAATCTCTTCTCAAAAACAGAATGACAGTTGGAAGGGACCTTGGAGATCATCTAGACCTACCCCCTGCTCAGGCAGGAGTCCCTTTACCATAAACAGGATCTCTTCCTTTCCTTGGTCCTCCCCCCCCCCGGTGCCAGGTCTGCCCCCTCCCTCTGAAAGGCCCGTCTCTGACTTGTCCGTTGTTTCCTCCCAGGTCCTCAAATACGAACAGTACCTGGACAATCCCCTGGCCCGCTTCCTCACCATGAAGGCCCTCACCAACCAGCGGATCGGCCATTTTTATTTCTGGCATCTAAAGTGAGTCTGGGGGGGGGACATAGCTGGGCTGGATGGAGGGACTGGGGACACCGGCTTGCAGAAGATTGACAGGGTGAGCCGTAGCCGGTCCTGGCTTCGCTTATTGATCTTTTACAGTTTTTAAGCTGGATTTCCCACAGTAAGACTTTTTTTTTTTTTAGAACTCTTTTAAAAGGAGCAAAACAGCGTCCCAAATAAATTCAGCCCCAGTTCAATTCATTCTTTCCAATAATTGGTAGTTCGGAATGCAGGCTGTCTTCGACTTATAACAATCTCAACAACGGTCTCACTTAGCACCAGAAACGTTGAGTTCCATCGTGGTCGTAAGCCGAGGACTCACCTGTAATTGCAGCCCTGTCGTTGGCAGGTCAGAATAAGGGGTGAAGCAAGAACTGGCCTCTTGTTAATTTAAATCAGGGTCTTCAAACTTGGCAACTTTTAAGACTGGTGGACTTCAACTCCCAGAATTCCCCAGCCAGCCATGCCTGTTTTTTTTTTCACCTATCCCTTAAAGCGAAGAGATTGGAGAGGAAGGGATTACAAGAGAGTAAGCAGGGCCACAAGGAGTATGCTGGCTGGGCAATTGTGAGAGTTGAAGTCCACCAATCTTACAGTTGCCAAAGTTGGAGACCCCTGCACTATATCATGTCCTCACCTATCCCTTAAAGCGGAGAGATTGGAGAGGAAGGGATTATAGGAGAGTAAGCAGGGCCACAACGAGTATGCTGGCTGGGGAATTCTGGGAGTTGAAGTCCACCAATCTTAAATGTTGCCAACTTTGAAGACCCCTGATTTAAACCGGTCTCTGTCGAAAGACCCTGAAGGAAAGCCCAGATCGCCACGGTTGTCTCCCCCTCCCCAGATCGGAAATGCACAGCAAGCCGATCTCCCAGCGCTTCGGGCTGATGCTGGAGGCCTTCTGCCGGGGCTGCGGGATGTACCTGAAGCACCTGAACCGGCAGGTGGAGGCCATGGAGAAGCTGATCAACCTGACCGACATCCTGAAGCAAGAGAAGAAGGACGAGACGCAGAAGGTGCCTTCTGGGGGTGGGGAGGGGGAACCCAGTGGGTGGGTGGGGGGATTGTCTTGGAGGGCAAGAAGGAGATGGGGTGGTTTGCAGTGCCCGGCTGGTGACTCAGAGGGGCTCCTGTCCTCCACCCCCCCTTCTAGGGGGCAAGGAAAACCTCCCTCCTCCAACACTAGGAAGTTTTTAAGAAGAGACTGGACAGCCCTTTCTCTGAAATGAGAGAGATTATCCTGCCTGAGCAGGGGGTTGGGCTAGATGACCTCCGAGGTCCCTTCCAGCTCTGTTATTCTGTTTTGTTCAGATGCAGATGAAGTTCCTGGTGGAGCAGATGAGGCGGCCGGACTACATGGAGGCCCTGCAAGGCTTCATCTGCCCGCTCAACCCCGTCCACCAGCTGGGCAACCTCCGGTGAGAGCCCAGGCAGGGCTCCTTGGGGGGGGGAGGCCGTGATGGGGAGGGGTCTTCTAGCTGGCCCCCAACCTGGGCCTTGCCTCTCCTGCAGGCTGGACGAGTGCCGGATCATGTCCTCGGCCAAGCGTCCCTTGTGGCTCAACTGGGAGAACCCGGACATCATGTCCGAACTGCTCTTTACAAACCACGAGATCATCTTTAAGAACGGAGACGGTGAGTGGAGGGCAGGCGGGGGGGGGGCAGGGAAGTTCTCAAGGGGCAGAATGAAGCGTTACTACTGCTTTACAAGGCCTTGGTAAGGCCACACTTGGAATACGGCGTCCAGTTTTGCTCACCACGATGTCAAAAAGATGTTGACACTCTATTACAGCGGTTCTCAACCTGCGGGTCGGGACCCCATTTGGGGTCGAACGACCATTTCACGGGGGTCGCCAAACAACGCAGTCCGCCATTCCCCCCCCCCCTTTTCCTTAGCTGTGCTCCTCCCTTTGATTCTATTGGCTTTGGAAAGCCAATAAAAAAGACTCTCTTGAATAGAGTCTACTTCTATTGGCTTTCCAAAGCCAATAAGAATTGTCCAGGCTGTCTCTGCCCTGCTGAGCCCGCCAAAAGTCCCATTCTGCAAACGGTGCTGCACCAGTTGAGTAGTCCTCGACTTACAACCGGTTGAGTAGTCCTCCACTTACGACCGGTTGAGCAGTCCTCCACTTACGACCGGTTGTGGGGTCGCGGCATTAAAAAGGTTGAGAACCACTGCTCTAGAAAGAGGGCAGAGAAGAGCAACAAAGAGGATGAGGGGACTGGAAGCTGAAACATACAAGGAACGGTTGCTGGAATTGGGCATGTCCAGTTTAATGACGAGGAGGGACAGGATAGCCGTCTTCTGATAATTTTGAGGGGCTGCCTCCAAAGAAGAAGGGGGGGGGTCCACCTATTCTCCAAAGCACCAGAAGGCAGGACAAGAAGCAACGGATGGAAACTGACAGAGGAGAGAAGCAACTGGAATTAAGTAAAAATTTCCTGACGGTGAGAACAATTAACCAGTGGAACGACTTGCCACCAGAAATTGCGGGTGGAGATTTTTAGGAAGAGACCGGACGGCCCTTTGTCTGAAATGGTATAAAGTCTCCTGCTTGAGCAGGAGGTTGGACTAGATGACCTCCAAGGTCCCTTCCAGCTCTGTTCTGATTGATTGATTGATTGATTGATTGATTGATTGAAATGGTCTAGAGCAGTGTTTCTCAACCTTGACCATTTTAAGGCATGTGGATTTCAACTCCCAGAATTCCACAGCCAGCATTGCTGGCTGTGGAATTCTGGGAGTTGAAGTCCACATGCCTTAAAATGGTCAAGGTTGAGAAACACTGCTCTAGAGTCTCCTGCTTGAGCAGGGGGTTGGACTAGATGACCTCTAAGGCCCCTTATGTTATTCTGATGGTATCAAGGGGCTAGATTGGGGTCTCTGGGGGGGGGTGAGGCACCGTTCAGCGCCCCTCCCCGGAGACCGACCTGGCTTTCTTCTCTTGCATCCTTCAAAAGGTACATGGAAATGTTGGGGGTCCCGCCTGGATCTGACCCCCCCCCCCGTGGGTCTGGAGGCCCCTCTAGCCTCTTTCGGGGCCTGGCCTCCCTGGCTTCCCCCCCTCCCCATCAGCCTGACCTCATCCCCTACTGCGCAGAGGGCCACTTGCTCTCCCTCCGTGCTGGGACCCTCACCCTTCGCTTGGTCCCTTCCAGATCTCCGACAGGACATGCTGACCTTGCAGATCATACGGATCATGGAGAGCATGTGGCAGAACCAAGGACTGGATCTCCGGTAGGAAGGATCGCTGGGGGGGGGATGGAGGGAAGGAGACCCTTGGGGAAAGGGCAGGGGCTCAGCCAGCCGTTAACCACTTTGTTGGGTGGACAGCCCCCCTTCTAGAGAGCCCAGGGCCTGGCCCAATCCTGGGAGAAACCAGAGGAGACAGGGGCGCTGCCTGCAGAGGGCTGGGTCCTCTCCAGGACAGTCCAGTGTAACACTGGATGGTGCTGGGCAGGGAGCTGGCTGGACACTGAATAGAATAGAAATAAGAATAGAGTAGAATAGAATATAGGAATATAGGAATATAGGAATATAGAATAGAGTAGAATAGAATATAGGAATATAGGAATATAGAATAGAATAGAATAGAATAGAATAGAATATAGGAATATAGAATAGAGTAGAATAGAATATAGGAATATAGAATAGAATAGAATAGAATAGAATAGAATAGAATAGAATAGAATATAGGAATAAAGAATAGAATAGAATAGAATAGAATAGAATAGAATAGAATAGAATAGAATAGAATAGAATAGAATAGAATAGAATAGAATATAGGAATATAGAATAGAGTAGAATAGAATATAGGAATATAGAATAGAATAGAATAGAATAGAATAGAATAGAATAGAATAGAATAGAATAGAATAGAATAGAATAGAATATAGGAATAAAGAATAGAATAGAATAGAATATAGGAATATAGGAATATAGAATAGAGTAGAATAGAATATAGGAATATAGGAATATAGAATAGAATAGAATATAGGAATATAGAATAGAGTAGAATAGAATATAGGAATATAGGAATCTAGAATAGAATAGAATATAGGAATATAGAATAGAATAGAATAGAATATAGGAATATAGGAATATAGAATAGAATAGAATATAGGAATATAGGAATATAGAATAGAGTAGAATAGAATATAGGAATATAGGAATCTAGAATAGAATAGAATAGAATAGAATAGAACAGAACAGAACAGAACAGAACAGAATAGAATAGAATAGAATAGAATAGAATATAGTAATATAGAATAGAGTAGAATAGAATATAGGAATATAGGAATATAGAATAGAATAGAATATAGGAATATAGAATAGAATAGAATAGAATATAGGAATATAGAATAGAATAGAATAGAATAGAATATAGAATAGAATAGGATAGAGGAATAAAGAAGAGAAGAGAAGAGAATTAGAATAGAATGGAATGGAATGGAATGGAATAGAATAGACGCTTATAAATGTTGGACCTGCTTTGCAACAGGCGGGGGCAGTGAAAGTCATTTTTCTTGCAATAGATGCGTCAGTGTTCAGTTGGGGGAGGAATAATATAAGTTTTTGTCCTTTGTTTTTAATTCATTTTTTTTAAATGTTCTCATTTAGTTTAGTCTCTGTTCATTTTTTTTTCTTTTCGATTTGATATGTTAACCTCCCGAATAAAACAAAGACAAACCTGAAAAGTAAAAAAAAAAAAAAATTAAAAAGCCGGGAAGAAGAGACAGGAAATGGGGCGTGGGCTTGCTGCAGGAGAAAGCTGGTCCTGCCCTGCGAAGCCCCCCCCCGCCCCATTTGGGATCAAACCCTCCCCCCCTTCTCCTGCTCCCTGGCCTACAGCTCCAGGCATTGGGGGCCGTCGGCTGGGTGGGCTCCGGGCCTGACCGCCCCCTCCCTCCTTGCAGGATGCTGCCCTCCGGCTGCCTCTCCATCGGGGACTGTGTGGGGCTGATCGAGGTGGTCAAGAGCTCCTACACCATCATGCAGATCCAGTGCAAAGGGGGCCTGAAGGGGGCGCTCCAGTTCAACAGCAACGCCCTCCATCACTGGCTGAAGGACAAGAACAAGGGCGAAGGGTCAGTGGGGGCGGGGATGGGGAGGGGGCCCACAGACCCTGGGCCAAGGGGCCCACAAGGCTCTTCGGCAGGGGGAGGGTGGGCAGCAAGCAGCTTTCAAGGCTGGCTCGAAGGATGGCCCGGTGCAATCCATCCGAATAGAGCTGGAAGGGGGCTCGGAGGTCATCTAGTCCAACCCCCTGCTCACGCAGGGGAACCCTGGACCGTTGCAGACAAAGGGCCGTCCAGGTCTCTTGTTAAGAGCCTCCAGTCACCTCAGTTCTTCGGAAGGGAAAAAGCTTCCTGCATGAGAGGCGAAACGTTTTTAAGCAAAAAAAGCCAAGGTTTTTCTTGTTTTGGAAAAAAGCATCCCAAAGGGAGAAATTTCTTGACGGTTAGAACAATTAACCAGTGGAACTCCTTGCCTCCAGAAGCGGTGAATGCTCCAACACTGGAAGTTTTTAAGAAGAGACTGGACAGCCATTTGTCCGAAATGGTGTAGGGTTTCCTGCCTGAGCAGGGGGTTGGGCTAGATGACCTCCAAGGTCCCTTCCAACTCTATTATTATTATCATCATCATCATCCTCAGGCCACCTCCGTGATCTGGAGGGTGGAGACTCTCCAGGGGCCTTTTTGCAGGGCTGGTTTTTCTCCTTGCCCCTCCAGGTACGACGCGGCCATTGACCTCTTCACCCGCTCCTGTGCGGGCTACTGTGTGGCCACCTTCATCCTGGGCATTGGGGATCGTCACAACAGCAACATCATGGTCAAGGACGATGGGCAGGTGGGTGCTTCCCCTTGGCTGCCCTGCTGGCATGGAGCTGATGCCGAGGCGCCCCCTCTTTGTCCCCTATCTATCTATCTATCTCTACATGGGGCTATCCTTGAAAAGTATTCGGAGACTACAGTTGGTCCAGAATGCAGCCACGCGGGTGATAGTGGGTGTTCCTCGATACACCCACGTTACACCTATCCTCCGTGAGCTGCACTGGTTGCCTATTGGTCTCCGGGTCCAATTCAAGGTGTTGGTCATTACCTTTAAAGCCCTATATAGCTCAGGGCCAAGCTATTTGCGAGACCGCCTACTACCTCATTGTTCCCTACGTCCGGTTAGATCCCACAGGCTGGGCCTCCTTCGGGTCCCGTCGGCCAAGCAGTGCCATTTGGCGGGGCCGCGGAGGAGGGCCTTCTCTGTGATGGCGCCCACGCTTTGGAATCAGTTCCCCCCGGAGATTAGGACCGCTCCCACCCTGTTGGTCTTCCGTAAGCTACTTAAGACCTGGCTTTTCCGGCAGGCCTGGGGTTTATAAAATCTGACCCCTGGATGAATGTTACTGTATTGTTTGTTTGTCAAGTTATGTTGTGTTTTTATTGTAAACCGCCCGGAGTCCTGCAGGAGTGGGGCGGTCTATAAATTTTAATAAAATAAAATAAATAAAATATCTATCTATCTATCCATCCACCCATTCTATCTATCCACCCTATCTATCTATCTATCTATCTATCTATCTATCTATCTATCTATCTATCTATCTATCTATCTATCTATCTATCTATCTATCTATCTATCTACTTATCTCTCTCCAGCTCTTCCACATTGACTTCGGACACTTCCTGGACCACAAGAAAAAGAAATTTGGGTACAAACGGGAGCGGGTGCCCTTCGTCCTGACCCAGGACTTCCTCATCGTCATCAGCAAAGGGGTGCAGGAGTGCACTAAGACCAAAGAGTTCGAGAGGTGGGCACGGGGGGGGGTCCTCACCAAGCAGGTCGCCATCCCTCCACCGATACCTCCCCCCCCCCGGGCCTCCTTCGTTCCCATCCCCAGATCCTCTCTGAGCAATGCAGCCCCATCCATCTGCGTCCTCTCCCTCCCAGGCCTTCCATTCCCCTCCCTCCAGGGCAGGGGTAGGCAACCTTGGCTCTTTTAGGACTGGTGGACTTCAGCTCCCAGAATTCCTGAGCCAGCATGGGGGAACTATGGCCCTCCTTTATGACTTGTGGACTTGTGAACTCCCAGAATTCCTCAGCCAGCCATGCCTCTTTCTTTTCCTCCTCCTTCCTAGAGTGGAGAGGAAGGGATTACAAGAGAGGCCACAATGGGTCTACCTATCAAAAGGACTGCATGAGTCCCAGGGAATTGTTGAAGCCCACAAGTCATAAAAGAGCCAAGGTTCCCCACCCTTGGCCCAGTGTATCTCGGGGTGTGTCCCCCCCCGGTTTTTTTCTTTCCTGCCCCAGCCAACCCATCTTCTTCATCCTCCTCCTCTCGCAGGTTCCAGGAGATGTGCTACAAGGCCTATCTGACCATCCGCCAGCACGCCAACCTGCTCATCAACCTCTTCTCCATGATGCTGGGCAGCGGGCTTCCGGAGCTGCAGTCCTTCGACGACGTGACCTACCTGCGCAAGACTCTGGCGCTGGACAAGACAGAGCAGGAGGCCCTGGAGTACTTCACCAAACAGATGAACGAGGCCCACCACGGCGGATGGACCACCAAGATGGACTGGATCTTCCACACCATCCGGCACATGCCGCTGAGCGAGGCCAGCCACGACTGACCTCAGGGAGGGTGATATGGACCCTCGCTCGGGCAGGGCAGCCCCTTCCGGAGCCCCCTTGATTTGTCAGAGACCCCCTTGGGTCCGTGTCCTCTCTTGGGACCAGCCGAGAAGATCTGGTGGACCCGGAGAAGATCAAGGAATCAGGGCGGACCTGAGTTTTCTGCCCTCCGAGCCCCCTCCGAGCCCCCCAGGACAGTGATCTCGAGTGGGATCACAGCCTCCTCCAAGCAACAAGGGGCTTTTCTCTGCGTTCAACCCCAGAGACCATCGCTCTGTGCTCAGAGACCCTTCCTCAACCCTGCCCTGAAGCTTCCTGGGAAAAGCGAGGGTGCTGCAGGCCGGGGGGTGGGGGTGGGTGAGCAACAGGGAGGAAGGACCAGGGTGGGGGGGGTCCTTTTCCCACCAGAGAGCAATCAAAAGACAAGGGTAATACTTGAAAACGTCTGGAGTCAGAAAGGAAAAAAAAAATCATAATTATTTTCTCTCTCTTTTTTTTTCAAATAAAAATAATAAAAAAAAAACCACACACACACATTTGGAAGTGTATCGGCCTCTAGAGCAGGGGTTCTCAACCTTGGCCACTTTAAGACTTGTGGACTTCAACTCCCAGAATTCCTCAGCCAGCAAAGCTGGCTGAGGAATTCTGGGAGTTGAAGTCCACAAGTCTTAAAGTGGCCAAGGTTGAGAACCCCTGCTCTAGAGGCTCATTGTTTTTTTAAAAAATATTGCTTGCTGCAAAAGGCAAACGGAGTCCGACGGCGCCTGTTTCCGCCCTAACGCATTTCACAGATGAAAAGTTTGTTTTCCAAATCAAAGGCTGATTTTATGAAATTTGGCACAGTTCAGTTTTATTACATTTAACGAAATTCGATTCTGTTCAATCTTAATTAAACGTTCGACTCTACTTGATAAATTTTCGTTTGGTTAAATGTAATAAAATGTAATAAAATCGGTTCTGTTGTTTTAAATGAAATTTGCAGGGCCATAGGGCCCTCCCTGGGGTTTGACCCCTGCGGGCTATCGTGGTTCTCCTCTCAGACAAAATCAACAAAAGGTGGTTTGGATTGTGGCCAAGTGGCTTTAATCAAAGGCTACGGGGATCCTGGTTTGCTCTAGGGAATTAAGGAGAATCTCAGACCTGCCTCAGAGCCAGTTTGGTGCCAGGCTCACAACCGAGAACTTATGAATTCTAGATCTGCTGTAGGCACGAAAACTGATTAGGTGACTTTGTGCCAGCCACTTTTTCTCCGCACCAGGAAGGAGGCAATGGCAAACCAATTTGGAAAAAAAAACTTGCCAAGAAAACAGGGGGGGTGCCCTGATGTGACAACGTCCTCTTCCCCCCTCCAAGGATCCAGTGCCCCAATTGGGGGATGGGGTACCTAAATTAGAGTAGACCCCGAGCTCCGTGCAGGCATTTACAAGCCGTCCTCGACGTGACGACCGCAATTGAGCCGAAAATATCTGTTGCTAAGTCGTGAAGTGAGTTTTGCTCCATTTTACGACCTCCAGTTATTAAGTTAGCACCGTCGTTAAGTGAACCTGGCTTCCCCATGGTTTGTCCGACGGTCGCAAAAGGGGATCGCGTGACACACACTCACGCACACCTGGGACGCTGCGACCGTCGTAAACGTGAGCCACCTTGCCAAGCGTCTGAATTTTGATCCCCTGACCATCGGGATGCTGCGATGGTTGTTAAATGTGAAACACGGTTATAAGTCCCTTTTTTTGAAGTGTCAGTAAATGAACAGTTGTAAAGCTTCAACCTTTAGAAGGGAAGGTTTTTTTAGCTTCAGACGCTTTAATGCTGATTTGTCCAAGTCAGCCACGATTTGATTGACACCTGTCCTGGGAGAGGGATTATTTGTGGCGAACACAGCTGCGGCTATCCATCCACCAGGCCTTCGTGAGCATCCCAAAAACAGTCAATCAGCCTTTTTTATTCCATCGTGCAATAAACATTTGCAGCCGTTGACCGAGGAACGAAGGAGGAAGGAAGGAGGGAAAGGAATGAAAGAAGGAAGGAAGGAAAGGAGGCAGGATTCCCGTCTTATTACATAGCAATAAATCAGTTCCATTTATAGCAGGCCTTGCTGCTGATAAATCCGGTGGGGAGGGGTGGTGCAAAGGAGGGGGGGCTGCCATTCCATGGGGGGGCGTGCAATTAACCCAGGGGGGGGCGACGGCCTTGCTAGTCTATTGCATAGCAATATTCCGATAATTCATAGTGAACCCTGTCACTGATAAATTAAGAATCAGAAGGAAAAAAGGAAGGAAGGAAAAGAGAAAAACTTGGGGGGAGGATGTGAAACGAAACCCCTGTGTGTGTGTGTGTGTGTGTGCACACGTGTGCTTGCGAAAAAGCGCAACACCCTTTGCCAAACGGATCTGCTTTGCAAGCACTTTTGGGGGTAACCAGAGTTGGGAGCATCTGAGGGACTCTATAAATGCCGGTGCTAACGCTAGGGGCCTTGGGGCCTTGGCCGAGGCCCTGATTTGTGTCCCGGCTCAGAAATTATTGTCGATATTCCACACGTCCCCGCTGAGGGCGTTGGCGGCCCCCTGCAGCGTCCAGGTGACGAGGGCGAGTTGCCGGCGGAAGAGAACTTCGTCGAACTTCTCCGGGGCGTCCCACAGGAGGCTGACGTGCTCCAGGAGGGCCCTCAGGGTGTGGGGCCCCCGGCCGTGGATGATGTGCCGGAAGGGGGTCTCGGTCACCGCCACGTATTGAGAGAGGAAGTAGAATTCCACCTGGAGGAGGGGAAGCAAAGGGAGGCGTCCTTTGGCCTGGTGGGGGGAGCGGTGGACCCCAAAGGGCCACTGCCAGGCTGAGGGAGTGGGGGTCCTTTCATCCGGACACCCCCAGGGCTGATGATCCATGATCTTCCAGAATCAGGATATGGGTCTGGGGGCTCCTTTTCTGTCTAACGCAGTGGTTCTCAACCTTTTTAATGCCGCGACCCCCAACCGGTCGTAAGTCGAGGACTACTCAACTGGTGCAGCACCGTTTGCAGAATGGGACTTTTGGCGGGCTCAGCAGGGCAGAGACAGCCTGGACAATTCCTATTGGCTTTTGAAAGCCAATAGAATTAGACTCTATTCAAGAGAGTCTATTCGATTGGCTTTCAAAAGCCAATAGAATAAAAGGGAGTAGCACAGCTAAGGAAAAGGGGGGGGGGAATGGCGGACTGTGTTGTTTGGCAACCCCCGTGAAATTCGACCCCAAATGGGGTCCCGACCCACAGGTTGAGAACCACTGGTCTAACATTATTAGGGGTTAATGAAAGCAGCTGCTGCCGCTTATGAAGGCAGCCACCTCTGAAACTCAGTCCCACTCATGAAGGCAGCCACCTCTGAAACTCAATCCCGCTTATGAAGGCAGCCACCTCTGAAACTCAGTCCCGCGTATGAAGGCAGCCACCTCTGAAACTCAGACCCGCTTATGAAGGCAGCTACCTCTGAAATTCAGTCCCGCTTATGAAGGCAGTCACCTCTGAAACTCAGTTCTGCATATGAAGGCGGCCACCTCTGAAACTCAGTCCCACTCATGAAGGCAGCCACCTCTGAAACTCAGTCCCGCTTATAAAGGCAACCACCTCTGAAACTCAGACCCGCTTATGAAGGCAACCACCTCTGAAACTCAGACCCGCTTATAAAGGCAGCCACCTCTGAAACTCAGACCCGCTTATGAAGGCAGCCACCTCTGAAATTCAGTCCCGCTTATGAAGGCAGCCACCTCTGAAACTCAGTCTTTCCTGAATTTGCAGCTTTAAGATGGGCGGACTGTAACTCCCAGAATTCTGGGAGTTGCAATCCACCCATCTTAAAGCTGTAAAGTTGGAAAATAGTTGGAAACACCTGAAATTATACCCTCCCACAGCCATTTGCAGGTGGCAGACCAGCAGCCCCCCCCCAGCCCTCCAAGACCTCTGGCCTCACCCGCATTATGCGGACGTTGAACATGCGCAGAAGCCTCTCGTTTTGCTCCTCCGAGGTGTAGATGTCCCTGCGCAGCTTCTCGGCGGCCCGCGCATAATCGCCCCGTGCCGAATACATCCACTGCAGGGTGAGGCCCCGACTCTGGGTGAGGAAAAAAGCAGAGGTAGGGGGCTGAAGCCAGAATAGGTTGCAGAAAGGTGGGGGGAGCCCCCTCCCAGGAGAGAGACCCAGCAGCATTACCTGGCAGGTGGCGCTAACAGATGAGCAGGTGTGTTTCTCACCTGTGCGCCCCCTGCTGGAAGCTGTAAGAAACGCAATCAGGCAAAGTAGCTGGGTTTTCCTTTGAAGGACGGAGGCTAAAAAATCAAATTATTTGAAAAGGTGGCACTAGGTGAGTTCTAGTCCCGCCTTAGGCATGAAAGCCAGCTGGGTGACTTTGGGCCAATCACCAGGAGACGGTGAGTTCCAGTTCTGCTTCAGGGATGGGCAGGCTGCATTTGATTGTAAGTCGAGGATTGTCTGTATCAGATATGTTTAGTGCAGTGTTTCTCAACCTTGACAATTTTAAGGCATGTGGACTTCAACTCCCAGAATTCCACAGCCAGCAATGCCTTTAAGTCCACATGCCTTAAAATTGTCAAGGTTGAGAAACACTGGTTTAGCGCCTTGCGTTATTTATAAAAATAATAAAAGATGGAGCCTAATAAATAAACGCGAGGGCAGCGTGCCTCTTTTGCGGAGAGGGAGGGAGGGAGGGGCAGGGCTCCCACCTTCAGGAGCGTGTTGTACTGGTTGAAGTGGGCAATCTCCTGCAGGAGGACGTCCCCATAGCACCAGTAGTCCAGGGGCAGCAGGTGGTCGTGGCTCAGCTTGATCAACAGGTGGCCCACCACCTCGGCCACCGTCTTGGCCACGGCAGGGAGGCGGCCCTGGAGAGCCCGGTTGAGGTGGTCGTAGGTGTCCAGCATGGTGTTGAGGAAGGGGTACGGGCGTGAGTCCTGTGGGGGGACAGGGCGAAAGCAGCAAGGCTGGGGGGCCGCAGCCCCTAAGGGAGACAGGGCTGGGGATCCAAGTCCACTTGGCGGTGCCGCCTTCAGAATGGGGGGGAGGATGCTGACCACTGCTCTGGGCAGGAGACCCAACCCTGCCCATTGACAGCTCATCCTCAACTTACAACAGTTAATTTAGTATAATAATAATAATAATAATAATAATAATAGAGATGGTATAGGACAGGTCATCCTGCTTGAGCAGGGGGCTGGACTAGAAGACCTCCAAGGTCCCTTCCAGCTTCTATTCTATTTTATTCTATTCTATTCTAGTCTAGTCTAGTCTAGTCTAGTCTATTCTTGATTCCTATATTCTATTCTATTCTATTCTATTCTATTCTGTATTTCTATTCTATTCCTATTCTATTCTATTATTATTTCCTATTCTATTCTATTCTATTCTATTCTATTCTATTCTATTCTATTCTATTCTATTCTATTCTATTCTATTCTGTATTTCTATTCTATTCCTATTCTATTCTATTCTATTATTATTTCCTATTCTATTCTATTCTATTCTATTCTATTCTATTCTATTCTATTCTATTCTGTATTTCTATTCTATTCCTATTCTATTCTATTATTATTTCTTATTGTTTTCTCTTCTCTTCTCTTCTATTACTATTCTGTATTTTATTATTCTGTTCTGTTCTGTTTGGTTCAGTTCGGTTCGGTTCGGTTCAGTTCTTCCATTCCATTCCATTCCATTCCTAATAATAATAATAATAATGATAATGATAATAATAATAATAATAAAGTTGGAAGGGACCTTGGAGGTCATCTAGTCCAACCCCCTCCTCAGGCAGGAAACCCTATACCATTTCGGACAAATGGCTGTCCAGTCTCTTCTTGAAAACTTCCGGTGTTGGAAGTAGTGACGGTTGTAAGTCACAACGGCACTGAAAAAAAAGGGCCGTTGCAGTATCCCCACGGTCACGTGACGTATGTTCGGGTGCTTGTCAGCTGACTCATATTCACGACGGTCGCAACGTCCCAGGTGGGGAGTCACACAATCCCTTTTGGCGACCTTCTGACCAGGCAAAATCCACGGGGGAAGCCAGATTCGCTTCACCAACTTAATAGCTGTGGTGATTCATTTAACGACCCTGGCAGGAACGGCCGTCAAATTTGGCCAAACTCACTTAAAACGACCGTCCCGGTTAGCAGCAGACATTTTGGGCGTAGCTGTGGCCATAAGTTGAGGACTCCCTGTGTTTCAGTCTTGCAAGGGTGGAGAGGGGTCCTCGGGGCCCACCCCCCACACCCCCACACTCCATTTTGGGCAAGGGGCCGGCGGTCTCACCTCCTCTGCGAAGGAAAACTCCACGGCTGGGACCCCCCCGAAGGAGGTGAAGGCGAAGGCGCTGCTGTCCATAGGGAGGGGCCGGAGGCTGCAAGGGGAGAGAAGCCCACCAAGGTCAGTGGGAGGCAGGGGAAATGGGTTTTTTTTTTCCAGAAATGGCATTTCAAGAGATTTTGAGATTTTGAGCCCCTAAAAACTAGTTTTTCTCAACCGTGAACAAGTAAAGATATTATTATTATTATTATTATTATTATTATTATTATTATTATTAATAGTAATAATAATAATAGTAAAGTTGGAAGGGACCTTGGAGGTCATCTAGTCCAACCCCCTGCTCAGGCAGGAAATCCTACACCATTTCAGACAAATGGCTGTCCAGTCTCTTCTTAAAAGCTTCCAGTGTTGGAGCATTTACTGCTTCTGGAGGCAGGTTGTTCCACTGGTTAATTGTTCTCACGGTCAGGAAGTTTCTCCTTAGTTCTAGGTTGCTTCTCTCCTTGATGAATTTCCACCTGTTGCTTCTTGTCCTGTCTTCAGGCGCTTTGGAAAATAGCTTGACTCCCTTTTCTTTGGGGCAGCCCCTGAGATACTGGAAGGCTGCTATCGTGTCCCCCCCTCCTCTTCGTTAAAATGGACATACCCTATTCTAGCAGCTGTTCCTTATATTTTTTAGCCTCCAGTTCCCTAATTATCTTTGTTGCTGTTCTCTGCACTCTTTCTAGATTCTCAACTTCCACCCAAAGTTTTTAGGGCTAAGAAACGCTGATTAAGCTACTGATTTTTTCCCCCTTTGATTATTGTCCAACTTTTAGCCTTATGGCTAATTCTGGAGCTCAGCCCTGATGGGAGGGGGAGCAAGGGGGTCTAAAGTTGGGGTGTCAATCCTTCTTACCCCTCATTTTCCCAGCGCTGGCCCTGCTCGGTCATCTTCTCAAAGATGCTTTGGCCGCTGCGATTGGGGCTGTCCACCTGCGGGGGAGAGGCTGTGGGTGGAGAGCTGCCCTCCCCTCCCACAAAGACCCTTCCCCTTCTTTCCTCCCCCCCCCCCGCCTATCCCCTCGGGGCTTCCCCACCTGTTTAATGACGCTCTCGATGAGGCTGATCAGGGCAGGGCTGCTCTTGGCCAGCAATTTGTCATCTCCTGCGGAGAGACCCAGGGCCAAGGTTCTAGTCCTCGTCGCCCAATCTTCCTGCTTCTTTTTTTTTCAGTTCTCCCACCCGCGTCGTTCTGGTTTTTTCATAACGGCGCTTGGGGTCTTCACCCTCTGAGCGGACTCGGATGCCTGCGGGGTGGGTCTTCCTTTCCGCAGACCCCCCCCCTTGGGTAGCAGGGGGTGGGCTGCCCGCCTCCCCCACCCCACTCACCCAGGACCGCATTGTCCAGACTGATGTACGCAGCGGCCTTCAGATGCAGCATTGTGAGGTAGCCCTGCAGAGACCAGACGAGTTTTTTAAAAAGGGGTGGGTAGAAATGGGGGGGGCTTCGCTGTCCAGAGACCCTCTGTGGGGCAGCCGAGAGGCGCAGCCCCCTTGCCCCCATTCCTGAGGCCCCCTGATCAAGGGGTCCGTTTCGTGGGCTGCTGAGAGACAGACATGGACGTGGCGAGGGTTTGGGGGGGACACATCAGATTGGGGGGTTCCCAGCGCACCCCTCTTTGACAAATCCAGAGGGAGGGGGAGATGCCACCATTTCCTCCACACACACACACACAAGCACACAAGCACGCCCCACTTGCCTCCAGCCACTCGGTGGACCCCACGCTGCCGAAGTCGCCGGCATCCCAGCTCACAAACAGCAGACTCCTCCGTAGCTGGAACCCTGCGGTGTAGGACAGGGGATCTGCGTCACTCCTGGCCGGCTTCTTTCAAACTCGCCACAGCCCCCACCCCGGAGCTCCAAAGGGCCCCCCAAGGGCTGCTGTGGCGCAGGAGGGGGCCGTGAGGCCCACCCCTTTCAAAGCAGCCCCCTCATGTTTTACAGGCAAGTCCTCAACTTACAACAATTCGTTTAGTGACCCTTTGAATAACTTCAAAGGGACTTTTTTCACCCTTACGACCGCTGCAGCGTCCTCGCCATCACGCTCTCAAAATTCAAATGCTTGGGCAATGGACTCCTACTTACGACCGTGATCCCCTTTCGGTACCTTGGGACCAGCAAAGTCGAGGAGGGGGCCAGATTCACTTAACGACCGTGGGACTCGCTTAACAACTGCCGTGATTCACTTGCCACCACTGTGGCAAGAAAGATCGTAAAATGGAGCCAAACTCACAAGCGTCTCACTTAGCGACAGAAATTTTGGGCTCGGCCGTAAGTTGAGGACTCCCTGCATTTCAGGGAATGTTTGCACTGGGGTCCTAGGAAGGGACACACACACACACACACACACACACACACACACACACAGAGAGACACACACGCCACACGCTGCCACCCTTGGCTCACCGTTCTGCACCATGGCAACGAAAGTCCGGGCCAGTTCCAGCAAAATGGCCGTGCCCACCCCAGACCGTGCAGCTCCGGGCCCCAGGGAATCCCGCTGGGCCCCCACGATCAGGTAGTGATCTAGCAGATCCAAAGGATGCAAAGCAGAGGATCACAAGACATTCCCCGACCCGTCTCCCTTTGCAGCGACCCCGTCTCTCCTCCTCACCACCCCTGGTACCGGGTTCAAATTTGCCCTCAATGCAGCCGAAAACGTTGTTAATCATGACCGACTGCCGGACGTTGTGCACCCCGAGCTGCAGGCGGAAGTCGGGGTCCCCGGGGCCGAGCAGGTAGGGGACCTCCGGAAGGCTGCCCCTCCACGCCTGGGGGGCCGGGGGGCCGCTCAGCTGCCTGGAGGGGAATCAGAAACGAACGTGTGAATGCCACGTCGGAAGGCGGGCACGGCCCCAGCTGGGTCCATCCATCTCCCCACTCAACACAACCTTCCCCCCCACCCCCCAGCTACACACCGGAGCAGGAGGGCGGCCACGGCGGCACTGATGGGGTGAGCCAGGATTGAGGGCAGCCCCGAGGATTTTATGGGGGGAAACTGGGTGTGGTTGAAGGACGGGAAGCCGGGGCTATAAGGATCTCCAGCCCCCATATGAACCTGCAAGGGGGCAGGGAGAAAAAAAGGGCACCCTGAGGTAGGAAAGCCATCCGGAATCTCCGTGGGTCAAGGCAGTCTACCTGGGTAGGAGCAAGCTGCTGCATCAGGGGCTCTCTGCTGCCACCGCCTGCTCAGTGGCCCCCAATGCATCAGGACGGCCCCGGCAGGTAGGAGAATGCAAACTGAATAATAATAATAATAATAATAATAATAATAGCATTGACAAATTTGCTATTAGTCAATTGCAAAAGGCAGCCTTACTAGGAACTGCTTCCATCCTGCGACGATACCTGTAATACCATCAAACATCCACATCTGCCTATCCCAGGTCCTGGGTAAGGACTCGATAGGTAGACAAAATGCCAAATCCAGTCTGAACATCTGGCTGACTGTGCGATGATCCATAATAATAATAATAATAATAATAATAATAATAATAATAATAATAATAATAATAATAAGGGACCGTGGAGGTCATCCCCTGCTCAGGCAGGAAACCCTATCCCATTTTAAACAAAGGGCCATCCAGTCTCTTCTTAAAAACTTTCAGTGTTGGAGCATTCACCGCTTCTGGTGGCCAGTAGTTCCACTGGTTAATTATTCTAACTGACAGGAAGTTTCTTCTTAGTTCTAGGTTGCTTCTCTCTGTGATTAGTTTAATAATAATAATAATAATAATAATAATAATAATAATAATAATAATAAAGTTGGAAGGGACCTTGGAGGTTATCTAGTCCAACTCCCTGCTCAGGGAGGAAACCCTAGACCATTTCGGACAAATGGCTGTCCAGTCTCTTCTTAAAAACTTCCAGCATTGGAGCATTCACCACTTCTGGAGGCAGGTAGTTCCACTGATTAATTGTTCTCACTGTCAGGAAGTTTCTCCTTAGTTCTAGGTTGCGTCTCTCCTTGCTTAGTTTCCATCTGTTGCTTCTTGTCCTGCTGCTTCTGAACCCCCCCCCCCAAAAAAAACTACTCACGTGTCCATAAATGCTGATGTTAGGGAAAAGGCCCAGTTTACGGGGGTCTTGAGGGATATCCTGGGGGTCTGGGTAAATGAGGATCCCCTTCGCCTGGTTAGCCTCTGCGTTTGCCACCTGGGGGGGGGGAGGAAGTGCTCGGAACGACCTTTCACCTTTCATGACCCCCCCCCAATCCTCAAAGCCCCGCTAGCCTGTTCCCAACCAGACCCCCCTCTGTCTCCCCTTTCCATAGGGACGCTGCTTTGGACATTCCCCCCCCTCCCCATTGCAAAGAGGTCAGGGGTCCTCCCCCCCCCCGTCTGCACAGCTGCACCTGCGGGGTCCAGAAACCCCACCTGTCCCCCGTCACCTGGCAGAGATGCCAGATGTCGGGGTGTCCCGGCTCACCTTCTCGGCATAGCTGATTTTCCCAACGCGGGCGATGACCAGGTGCCCCCGCGGACTCAGCCCCAGCTGCTCCAGCAGCGCAAAGTCCTCCCTGCGCCCGTAGTTGGCAAAGACGAGGCCGCCCTGAGGATGGGGAGTGGGGAAAGAGGCTCAGAGGGGGAGGGGGGACCCTTCGGATGGGGAGGGCAGGAGAAGTCCCCACCCCAGGGAAGAGATGGGGCAACTCCCCCCCCCAGTCCCCTCCTGCGCCCTTCTGGACTAAGGGTTTTCTTGCCATCTCTCCTGAAGAGCTTCCAGCCCTTGGTGAAGTCTACCTTAACCCCTCTTTTGTATTTTTTTCACTCCGGGGTGGGCAGCTACAGGTAAGTCCTTGACTTTACAACAATTCGTTTAAGGACCGTTCAAAGTTACAAGGGCGCTGGGAAAAAAAACGGACTGGGGACTGTTTTTCAGACTTAACGACCGTGGCAAAAAAGGTTATAAAATGGGGCAAAATTCACTTAACCGGAGCAGAGCCCGGGAATTACCACGACCGTGCCAGAGGCGCTGTAGGGGCAGTAAACATCTGGATCTTCCAGCTGCAGCTCCTCCGTCACAGCCCCGCTGGCATCCACCCGCTGGAGGAAGGTGGGCTGCCTCCTGGAAAAAGAGGGTGACGGGGGGGGTTAAAAAGCCCAGCAGCCCCTGCTCCCCCTGCCCTCCCAAATAGCCCCAGTATCAGCCGTACTGACCGGTCGGGGCGCTGCAACCCCACGTAGTGGCTATCGGTCCAGCTGTGGTCCAGGCCAAAGGAGGTGAAGGCCTCCAGGACGTGGCTGGAGAGGGCGTCCAGGGCAGGGGAGCCAGGAGGGTGGGGACCCTCACTCATTTTTCTGCCAGGGAGCAGAGATATGATGATGGTTTAATCTTCCATTCGACTCACAATCTGATGCATTATATTATTATTATTATTATTATTATTATTATTATTATTATTATTATTCATTAAACGTGAACCTCAGTCAACTGAGCATTCAAATTGACTGGCGTTGATGGTTGACGGTTGCTGCCAGCATCCTAGGTATTATTATTATTATTATTACTATTATTATTATATCCTAGGTATTATTATTATTATTATTATTATTATTATTATTCATTAGATGTGCACTTCAGTCAACTGAGCATTCAGATTGACTGGCATTGATGATTGACTGGTTGCTGCCAGCATCCTAGGTATTATTATTATTATTATTATTATTATTATTATTATTATTATTATTATTCATTAGACATGAACCTCAGTCAACTGAACATTCAAATTGACTGGTGCTGATGGTTGACACGGGTTGCTGCCAGCATCCTAGGTATTATTATTATTAATATATAAATAATTTATATATGTATACATATATTTATATATTACACACACACACACACACATATATACACATATATATAAATGTAATTTATATATATAAATTTATATATAAATGTATAAATATAAATATATGTAATTAAATTCGTGTATTGCCTACCTGGCCACGGGGCTACTCTAGAGGACTCACAGCCATAAAAAGGAAGTTTAAACAAAGCGAAAGTAAAATAACAGAATAACACAAACAAGAAAAAAGAAAAGAAAGCAACTAAAAAAAAATACATCCATATGATTAGTAAAAAAAAAAAAAACCCTTCTGAGGGGTCCTCTCCTTTACCCGTCAGAGCTTTGAATGTGACACCTCACCCTCAAACACACACACACACACACATACACACACACACACACACACACACACACACACTTTTCCAGCAGGGAATTCCTGTTGCAGAGATGAGACAAATTTGGGGGGGGGCTTAAAAGTGATGATGCTAAGAGGGCCCCCCTCTCGCTGACTGAGGAGAGAAAGTCCCCCCAGGGTGCCCCCCCCTCAGATGCCTGATGGACCCCACTGTGGCCCCCCCAGCCCGTCCTCGTCCCTCGGGGCCCCTCCCGTGGAGGGGGGTCCTCACCGGATGGTCCCCTCGATCTTCTCCTCGTTGAGATACTTCTGGAACATCTCCCTAAGGTCGCTCCAATACAGGGGGGGTGGCCCCCGGGGGTCCTGGGCCGGGCGGTAGGGGCCGTCCTCGATCATGGGCAGGAAGTCTGCACAGGCCGTGCAGGAGCCCCCCCTCCGGGAAGAGACGTACCCCAGGAGGAACCCTGCAGGGGGCAGAGGACGTTAAGGGGTGGGGGGCAAAGGGCCTCCAGATTTAAGTCTGGGGGGGTCTGATGCCAACCGTGCCAGCCGTCATCTCCACTGGGGACTGGAGAAGACCCCCCCCAAGATGGCGGTCCCCAGGAAAAACAGTCCTTTAGGACCCCCACCCAGTATGGAGGACTCAAGACCACCTCATTGGTCTAATCCTGCTGGAAGTGACTTTGAGGAAGGGGGCAAATTTCTCCAAGCCGGGGGGGGGGGAACAAGCAGGCTGGCGGGGGGGGGAACTGGACCTCCTTTCTCACCTACGATCAGCAGTAGAAGGCCCACCAAAGCCAGGTACACCCCCGTCTTCCACCGTTTTGGCCCGGGAACGTGGGACCCCTCCTTCTGGCTGCCGGACGCTGGGCCGTTGGGACCCTCAGCTTCGTCCATCTTGATCTGAAGCCCCCCGGAGTCACGGTCCCCATCGTCCTCGGCCGTGTTGCGGTAGATGGTGTAGGACCTCTGGCCAGCTTTCTGCCGGATCTGGGATGGGGAAGAGCAGCCCTGTCTACCTTGCAGGGATGTTGTTCCAGGAATAAAAGGCAGTGGGTGGGGGGATCTTTAAGCGGATCGGGGTGTCCCAGCCTTACCACTCGCTGCAGGCGGGCTGTCCAAAAGTCCATCGTCCCCGATGGGTCCCCAGCAGCGCTGTCGAAAGAGGCAGGCAGAAATTCTTGAGGGCTCCACCAGCATCAGGCGGTTATCAGGGCACACCCTGCCTCCCCTCGGCCCTGCGGGAGACGTGCCTGGTGTAGCCCCCTTATCAGCATCGGGCACAGGGGGGGGTTAATCGGCTCGTGCAGGCGGGTGTCCTCCCGGTCATGCGGTTGGGCCCTGTGTAGCAGGCAGGCATGTGTGTGTGTGTGTGGGGGGGGTTATTTCCCAAAAATCTCTCTTAGCTGGTTTCTAAAGGAGGGGTGTTCCAGCCTTGGCCCCTTTAAGACTTGTGGACTTCAACTCCCAGAATTCCCCAGCCAGCTTTGCTGGCTGGGGAATTCTGGGAATTGAAGTCCACAAGTCTTAAAGGGGCCAAGGCTGGACACCCCTGGTCTAAAGCCTCCTTCAAACCTCCACGGAGTTCCTTCTTGCCCGCCCCTTCTTTCCAAGGTTTTCCCCACCTCCCGGTCCAGCCCAGGGCTTTGTGATCTCCTGGTGGCGCCCCGACCACCAGGGCCAGAATTACCTCCCTTGGCATCCAAGCGGGCAGACCACCAACCTGGGCTTTTTCTTCCTAAAAGTTCACACCGGTTTGCTCAACCAATGGTTAACTGGGGTGGACTGGCTGGCTTTCAGCCCCCTGCCCTACGTGGGGCTGAGGGGGGGGGTCTTCTTCCTCCCCAGGAAGTGAAGTTACACACCCTCGACCGGGTTTGTGTGGCAAAAGGGGTTTTTTGTATTGAAATTGGTCTCTTGGGTGGGAAGGAGGGAGCTGCCCCAGGTGAACATCTGCCTGGCTGACCGTTTGTTAAAGGCCCCTTGGCCAATGGAGGGAGGGGGGGCGAAGAGTGATTCTCCCACCCGGATCCAGCTTCAAGCTGTTTGCCACGTGCACAAAAATTGTTTACTTTGTCTTGCGACACCAGATTGCTAATGCTGGTTTACCTGGATGGGGAGGGGGGGGAACCCAGGGGTCACTCAGACGGCCCCATTTTTCTGCTCTTCTGGAGAACCCAGCCCCCTGCCCGCAAGCCTCTTCCCGGGGGGGGGGACTGGATCCCCCACCCTTGCACAGACCCAGAAATGGCCTGGAGGGGGCCGCCGGCAGGAGAAATTGGGGGGGAGGGGGGTAGCTGAATTCGAATTCGGCTCTAAAGCCAAAGCGAAGCGAATAAGTGACGAGTTGAGGGTTTCCGCCTCTCGGCTGCGTTCGCACGACCCTGAAACCCCCGAATGACTCTCCCGTTGGGGTTGGCTCTCCTGCCAGGCACAGAAAGCCCTCCCCAGATTGACCCCCCAACCCAACCCCTGGGCTCCCCGGGGTTAAAAGGGTTGTGGGAACAGGGCCTGGGTCCCGTTAGAGGGTCTTGGGGGGGAGGGAAATGATGGACCCCCCCAACCGCCGGGGATTCACCAAGTAGGAGAGGGAAGGGATGGGGGTGGGGGGGAAGGAGATTCTTCTTACATGCACACACACACACACACACACACACACACACACACATTGTGAGTGTCTTCATGTTGTGCAAAATTCAGCCCAAGAAGGGGATAAAGATTTGGAGGGGAGATAGTCACACGCCACCCCCACCCCAAAATTGGCTTTTTGGTGGTGCCAATCACAGCCCCCGTTTTTCCTCCCGAGACCCCCCAATCTTGAGGGACCCAGGGACCCAGGGCCAGCTGATAACCCCTCTCCCTGCAAAGAGACCCCCAACTCACCCCTGGCTCTCGGGAGGCCCCTGTCCAGCCAGCCCTGGACTGACCCAGCGGAGTTGGGCGGACGGCCCTTCACCTGCTCCGGCAGCTGCTCCTCCCTCTGGGGTGGCTGTCCGCGCTTGCCCCCTCCCAGAGAGGTGCTGACTCTCCAGATGTGCGTGGGAGGGGGGGGTCAAGCTCTGCCTTTTGCTGGCGGTGGGGGCCTTAATCAAGTCCCCATTGCCAAGCCCAGAGCTCTGCATAACGTGGAGGGGGGGGGTTGTCTGGCACGCACACCTTCGACCCTAAGGGGGGGCAGAGCGGTGCCCAGACCCCCCCTCCCAATACGCACACACCCCTTTTGCCAGCTTCTCTTGCTGCCCCCCCCCCAGATGTGCTGGGGTCCCTGGCAATCCTGAGCATCAGCGTCCTGGGGGGTTTGCTGCTTTGGGGAGATCAGGGTGCCAGGCCATTCAACTGTGGTTGGGGGGGGGTCTGTGGATGGGAGACCCCCGGCTGCCCTAGAGCAGTGTTTCTCAACCTTGACCATTTTAAGGCGTGTGGACTTCAACTCCCAGAATTCCACAGCCAGCAATGCTGGCTGTGGAATTCTGGGAGTTGAAGTCCACACGCCTTAAAATGGTCAAGGCTGGGAAACACTGCCCTAGAGGCTTTGCTGCTTTGGCGGGCCTCGTCCGCTGCCAGCTGAGCAGAGAGGAATTCTGGGAGTTGAAGTCCACACCTCTGGCGGAAGTCCCAGGCAAGAAGCGCTGGTTGATTTGGGCCTCCAGCTCTTGACCCAGGCCGGTTTCTGGCGGGTTCGGCTCAGGTGGCATTTTGCCCCATTTGCCCCCTCCCCTGCCCCTCCCCCACCATAAAAAGGGAAGAGGCGCCCATTTTCTTGACCCAGCAACTGATCCTCGGGAGACCAGCTGAGTTCCTCTCTAGCAAGGGGGCATTATGGCTGCCGTGGTGAAGTGGAAGTCCCACAGGTAGAGCACTCCACAGGCCTCCAGGGCCGGGTTGGGGTGCAGGCTGAAAAGCTGCCTCAGCAGAGGACGGGGACTGGGGAAGGCTCCGTGGGGCAGGCAGGCAGGCCTGGGTGATTCGGTGCCCTGCCCGGGGAAGCTCCAGACCCCACCAGTCCCTCCTTCCTTCCCTCCCTCTGCCGGGGAGCCCAGCTGGCCTCCTGCCTGCTGATCCCAGCTTCTGTTTGGCTTGGCAGCCGAGTGGGCACGTGACAGGCGTGGCGGAGGCAGCGGCCTTTTCCGCTGCTTGATGGCCAGAGACAGGGAGGGACCTTCCAGGCCGGTGGAGGGGCAAGCAACAATAGGTGGTCAGCTGTCAGAAAAACACCGCAAAAGAGGGGCAAGCAACAATAGGTGGTCAGCTGTCAGAAAAACACCGCAAAAGTGTGAAGTGCCTGTTTTGTAGGCTCCGGCTGGTTTCCGACGCCTTGGCAACTTTAAGATGGGTGGACTTCAACTCCCAGAATTCCACCGCTGGCACCGGGGGACTTCAACTCTCAGAATTCCCAGCCGGCACCAGTGGACTTCAACTCCCAGAATTCCCCAGCCGGCAAGGGTGGACTTCAACTCCCAGAATTCCACAGCTGGCACCAGTGGACTTCAACTCCCAGAATTCCACAACCGGCAAGGGTGGACTTCAACTCCCAGAATTCCCCAGCTGACATAGGTGGACTTCAACTCCCAGAATTCCCCAGCTGGCAAGGGTGGACTTCAACTCCCAGAATTCCCCAGCTGACATAGGTGGACTTCAACTCCCAGAATTCCACAGCTGGCATAGATGGAGTTCAACTCCCAGAATTCCCCAGCCGGCACCAGTGGACTTCAACTCCCAGGATTCCCCAACTGGCATTGGTGGACTTCAACTCCCAGAATTCCACAGCCGGCACGTTGGCTGGGGACTTCTGGGCCTTGAACTCATTTCACAGAATCAGAGAATCCGAGGGCTGCAGGGACTTTGAAGGTCTTCTAGTCCACCCATCTTAAAGTTACCAAGCTGGAGAAGCCCTGAGTTAGGCAAAGAGGCAACTGTGTCTCTGGGGACGCGCAGAGTGCTTCTTCCATCTCCCCCTTTTTTTTTTTCCCCTGCAGCTTCTTTCGTGAGAAAATCAAACCTGGCAAAGAAATGCTGGCTTGTTTGGGAAAGCAGAGCGACTTTTAATCAGGATAAACAAGAGCTGTCACAGCCCTCTTCCCTCCCTCCGGAATCCGCCTCAGTTTCTCTAGGAATCAACTCACAAACCAGCTGCTCTCGAAGGAAACACGATAAATACTCAGAAAACTGTACACCTTTAACTTAATATCAAATATAAACTCTCAAGAAGTCACTTAGAGTAAAACTATACATATGTATACCGACGCCGGAGGTCCTTTACATTAAATCTGTCTGGGCAAAAGCTGGTCACAGGCAGTCCTCGGTTTACGACCACGACTGACTGAGGCGGTTGGTAAAGGAGCCCACCTCCAATTTTACAACCTTTTCGTCACAATTACTAAGCGAATCGCTGCACGGTCGTTAAGCGGATCTGACTTCCCCTGGAAGGTCGCAAAAGGGGATCAGGTGACACACACACACACCCAGGCCAGTGTAGAGCCGTCGTAAGTGCGTGCCGGCGGTCAAGCGTTTGAATTCTGATCACAGGACTGCAGGGATGGTCGTTAAAGGGGTGAGCCAGACGTAAGTCCCTTTTTTCAGGGCGGTCGTAACTTTGAGCGGTCACTAAGCAAATGGGGGTGAGCTGAGGGCTGCTTGCAACCACACCAGAGTCGGCCGCTGGAGGGGCTGCCTGGGAGCTGTCAATCACCCCTTCTGACACCCTAAAGAGCCCCCCCTTTTCCACGTTTTGTGGGCAGGAAGAAGAGGGGGGGTCGCACCTTCTGGAAGACCTGGAAAAGGTCTTCATCTCATTCCGACAATATAGGGAGCCCAAAATTTCTGTCGCTAAGCAAGACCGTCGTTAAGTGAGTTTTGCCCCATTTTATGACCTTGCTGGCCACCGTTGTTAACCTGAATCACTGCGACTGTTGAGTTAGTAACCCCGTCGCTAAGTGAACGTGGCTTCTCCCTCTGCTTGTTGGGGGGGGGTCGCAAAAGGGGACCACGTGACCCCGGGATGCCGTCATAAATACGAGACATTGTGCCAAGCGTCTGAACTTTCATCACATGACCGGGGGGTGCCACAGCAGTCGTAAGTGTGAAAAACGGTCGTAACTCAGTGCCGTTGAAGTGGTCACTAAACGAACAGTGGTAAGTCAAGGACCGTCTGTAAAGCTTCAACCTTTAAAAAAGAGGATTTTTTAAGCTCAAGATGCTTCAATGCTGGATTTCCCAAGTTAGGATTTCCAGGATTTGATTGACACCTGCCAGGCACGGCTGTCCTGTGACGTCTCCCCAGCTGATCCGTTCAGCCCTTATCTCCACAGCGCACATGGGTACTGGGGGGGGTCATGTTCGGGTCAAGGCTGGCCCCACGTGTGAAAATGTGCCAGCTTGAACAAGTGACCCCCCCTTCTCCAGACAAATGACCTCCTTGGCACCCCCCTATTTGCACAACCGGGTCTCCCCAACTTGGGTAGATCCGTCTGACACCCCCCCCCCTCTGCAAACCAAGGCAATTTTTTCCCATTTTAAGAAATTGGGAATGCCCCCCAAAGCGGCTTGCACCCGTGCTGCTCCAGCCACTGAAAGAAGGTGTGTGTGTGTGTGTGTGTGTGTGTGTGTGTGTGTGCGTGCAGATTTTGGGGGTCACACAAGCACCTCTGGAGGCCATCTGCTGATGCACCCCAATTTTTCAAGCTTTGCTTTCTTCCTTCTTCGCACGGATGCTGGTGGCAAAGGTGGGTTTTTGGGGAGAGAGACACCCCGTTCCTGCTTCCTTGGGCTGGACCTCCCCTCGTCCCGTCTTGTCCCGTGCCTGGTGACCCCGAGTCAGGTGGCGCCTAGAAGCGGGCAGAAGCAGCTTTCGGGGTGACTGCTGGGCTGCCCCTCCCAGCGGGAGGGTGGGCGCTGCCATCTGCAAGGCCCGAGTTGCCGCGTGGTAGGGGTGCGTGTGCGCGCCGGCGTCTCTCAAGCAGCCAATCAAGCAAGCGGGCGGTGGTCGTCCGGCCTCCGAGGGGCCTCCCCCTCCCCATCGTAGGGGAGGCACGCCGAGTGGCAAGCAGCCCCCTGCCCGGTCACCTCCCACTGCCCTGGCAAGCACTGGCCAGAAACAGGTTGACCTTCCCACGCAGGAAACTGGAATAAACGTTGAAGAGTTTTTGCACCGTTTGCACACTCAATGTCCGAGGGAGGGGCTCCTCCTGCCGGTCTGCCTGCCGGAGAGGAAGGGAGCAAGGTCAAACAAGAAAGGGCCGCGGCGTTTGGGACCGCAGTCCTTGACGTACGACAGACAGTTCCGTTGCTAAGCAAGACGATCATTAAGTGAGCTCTGCGCCGTTTTTTCTCGCCACAGTGAATCCCCGCGGTTGTCAAGTCAGTGGCACGGCTGTTAAGTGGATCTGGGCTCACAGGTGTTACTTCAACTCCCAGAATGCCCCAGCAGCGTCAACGGGGGAGATGTATGGACGTTGCTGGGGCATTCTGGGAGTTGAAGTCCGCCTCTGTTAAAGGGGACAGGGTGGAGAAAAACTGAAGCAAAGTCTTCCCCGGACCTGGTACCGGCCCCTTCATTCCTCTGCACGTGGGCAAAGGAGCCAAGGCAACTATTACCTCTGAGCCTGTGCAAAGGGCCATCCTATCTCGGCAGGTCCTCACCTGGGCGTTGTGCCTGCGCAGAATCTCGCGGATGCTTCTCAAGCTGCTCTCCATTACCTCCAGCTGGCGCAGGAAAGGCTGCATCCGGGGCTGCTGGCTTTTGACGAGGCCCACGGCGACGGAGAGAAGCGCCTGGCCGCGCCACACTTCCCAGGCCTGCCTGGACCTCTGGCAGAAAGAGGGGGAGGAGGAAGAGGAAGAGGAGGAGGAGGAAGAGGAGAAGGCGGTCAGCAGAGGGGTCCTTTGCTAGCTGTGGGGCTCCCGCGTGGCCTCGCCCAGAGCCAACTTACGTCCATCGCTGGCCAGTCAGGAAAATTCACCCTGGTGTCCAACACTGTCACGTGTTCTGGTAAGTTGCAGGCATCTTCACAAAGGTCCACCTGTGGGGGGGAGAGGGCCGGGGGTTGGACTAGATGACCTCCAAGGTCCCATCCTGCCCCAGGAGTCTGTGATTTGATTGCTTGCAATCTCTGGGACTGGCACAAAAACTGCCCTGCCCAGGATCTGCCCTTCCCTGCTTTAAAGGTTAGGTCAAGTTTGCCCCTCTGAGAAACGGGAGGGGTAGGCTACTCCGAGTCTGGCCAGGCCAGGCCACCCGGAGGAGCAGCGTCTGGACTCACAATGTCCTTCTCCATCTTGCTGGCGTCTTGGATGAATTTGTTCATGACACTCTGGTCGCAGATGGGCTGGGCCGGGGCGGGCAGGGCCGGGTGCAAGGATGCCCACAACAACAGAAATGGAATCAGCCCTGCGCAAGCGGGGAGAAAGGACGAAGGGCTGCGGTCAAGTAGGGGCCAGGAATAACGGGGTAGCAGCAGAACAACAGCACAACAGCACAACAGAATACCCGATCAACAGAATAACAAAAGACTAAGAAAGTAACAGAATAGGACAAGAGAATAACGGAATAACGGAATAACGGAACAACAGAATAACAGAACAGAGTAACAGAATAGAACAACAGAATAATGGAATAACAGAACAACAGAATAACAAAACAGAATAACAGAATAGAGTAACAGAACAAGAGAATAACAGAATACCCGATCAACAGAATAACAAAAGACTAAGAAAGTAACAGAATAGAACAACAGAATAACAGAATAACAAAAGAGAAACAGAATAGCAGAACAGAACAACAGAATAATGGAACAACAGAATAACAGCACAGAATAACAAAAGGGAAACAGAATAATAGAATAGAACAACAGCACAACAGAATACCCAATCAACAGAATAACAAAAGACTAAGAAAGTAACAGAATAGGACAAGAGAATAATGGAATAACGGAATAACGGAACAACAGAATAACAGAACAGAGTAACAGAATAGAACAACAGAATAATGGAATAACAGAACAACAGAATAACAGAAAGAGTAACAGAACAAGAGAATAACAGAATACCAGATCAACAGAATAACAAAAGACTAAGAAAGTAACAGAATAGAACAACAGAATAACAGAATAACAAAAGAGAAACAGGATAGCAGAACAGAACAACAGAATAATGGAACAACAGAATAACAGCACAGAATAACAAAAGGGAAACAGAATAATAGAACAACAGTACAACAGAATACCAGATCAACAGAATAACAAGACTAAGAAAGTAACAGAATAACAAAAGGGAAACAAAATAATAGAATAGACCAACAGAACAACAGCATAACAGAATAATGGAGTAACAGAACAACAGAATAACAGATCAGAATAAGAATAGAATAACAGAATAACAGAACAGAGCAACAGAACAACGGAATAATGGAACAACAGAGTAACAGAACAGAATAAGAGAATGACAAATGGGAAACAGAATATCAGAACAACGGAATAACAGAATAACAGAACAACAGAATAACAAAACAGAATAACAGAGTAACAGAATAACAAAAGGGAAACAGGAGACCGACAGACTAACAGAACAACGGACTTGGGAAGAATCTTGGAGGTCTTCTAGCTGGCAGATGTTGCCAGGGGGGCACCCAATTTGCTAGGGGCAGGACGGGTGACTTGACTGCTCCCGATTGCTGGCTCTCCTCATTCCTTTGGCGCATGGGACCCCTCCGTCTCTGCCCCCCATGCTAAGGACCCTGCCTGGCCTTCTCCCTCAGCCAGCTCTCCACCACCATGCTGGACTTAAGAATTGACTGGGGGGGGGGTCACAGGCTCAGAAACGGCCAGCCGGCTCCCAGACCTTCTTCCCATCGCGAGCCGGCAGGTGGGGCCTTCCCTGCCCCCCTTTATTTCCACCTAGCTGGTGGATTTCTCACCTCCCCTGCCCCGCATGCCCACTTCAGCCCTCACCTCTCGGCCTGCCATGTTGACAGATTCCTTATCAGGCCTGGCCATTCCTTCACGCTTAACTAATTTGGTTTCTCTCCAGGGTGGCCAAAGTCCGCTGCGGTCAAACTTGGGAATATGCGCAAGATTTTTCCCACATCCTCAGCCTGGGGCCACCCGGGCAGCGTTCCAGCTACTGGGCTCCCAAAGGGCATATAGACAAGCCTCGTTTTTCTACCTGCTGGGAGAGCCACTGCTGTGAACCCACCCCCCTCTCTGAAATGCATGAATCCCCCCCCCACCTGAACACAGACCCGCTTGGTCTTGCCCCTTCCTTCTGTTTGCAATGGGGGGGGGGAGGAATTATACCCCAGCCTGCTTGGCAGGCTCAGTTTACACTTCCCTAATCTGATGCCCCCCAAGAGGGTTAGACAACTCCGGCCCCCTGATGGTCAAGGGACCCCCCCCCCAACTCCAGCAGCTTCACACAGACAGACAGACACACCCCTGGTTTAAATGCCCGGTCTTCTGCTCCTTCTGAGTGATGCTTGGCCATCTTTACCCAACAGGCGAAATACGACTGCCCCACCCCTGAAATACAACTGCCCCACCATTGCGTCCCCAACCCAGGCCTCCTCCAGGCAGGGGATGATGGGCATCCCTCTCCCCAAGACCCGTGGACTTTGACGGATGGGAAGGGCAGCCCCAGATCTTCCCCGACGGCCAGCCTTTTTGGCAAGTGCCCAGCGCCATCGATCGCCAGGGCTGGCACAGCGGGCCTGCCCTCCCTCTTGGCAACCTCTGGAACGACACCACTTACCAGGGATCCCCATAGCCAAAACTTCATGGTCCCAGCGACTACCGGACCCCTCTCCCTCCACGGCTCTCCATCGACGGCCGTTGGGGGTGGCTGGCACGGCTGGTTCCCCTCTGGCGACGGAGGCACGGATAGGTCCCCTTCCTCCGCCTCCGAGGCGCTCCGCAGTCTGCTGGCTTCCCCTGCAGCCGGGGTCCAGCAGGGGCCACGATCCCACAGGGCCAGGTGAGTTTCAGAGGCTTCCTCTCCCAGCCGGGCCTCTTGAGCTTCTCCAGAACTTTGCTCCCTGCTCCGGCCTTCCTCCGGGGTCCCGGCAGCCCCTTGGCCTGGCAACCTCAGCTTCCTCCTCCTCCTCCTCCTCTTCTCCTAGGACTGAGCAGTGATGGGGGAGACCGCCGCCCCGTCCGGGGTCTCACCTAGTGCAAAGTGGCCCGCCCACGTTTGCAGGAGACCCCTGGGTTCTCCTCCTGCAGACCCCAGCCAGCACTTCCCAAGCTGCGACACCAGGCGCACGAGGGAGCCCGGTTAATGTTTCATCCGCTGCTCTCTTTGCTCTGCGTAACCCAGATGGCCTTCTACACACACCCCCCCTCGCATCAGGCACCCTTGCTTCCCTGAAGAGAAGAATGTCACTGGACCAGCCCCGGGGAGAGATGGCCGTTTCCCTCGGCTGGACAGGCGGAAGTCGAAGGGGGCTTTCTTTGCAGGTGGCGCCAGGGCTCCGCTAAGGCCTATGCAAGGCGAGGCACGTCTTCGCCTGGCCCCCCGCCAGCCACAGGTTAAGGCGTGGAAGGGGAGAAGGTCAGCGGCTTGGCGGCTGGCCACTGACCGGTGCCAGAAAGCGGCCGAGGATGGCCCGTTTCCTCCCCACGGACACTTGCAGGAGGAAGACGAGAGAAGGAACCGTCTGGCCTGGGGCCCTGGGATGTCCGGCTGCCTGAGTGGGCCCTCGGGGGCCCCTGGGGGGCCAGGGACTCCTCTGTCCTCCCCCCCCCACACACACACCTCTGGTCACTTGAGTGGCCTTGGCCCTTTGCCCTTCCTCTGAAAAGGGGTGGCAAAGCCCCCCCCTGTGGGAAGCGCCCCCCAGAGGAGACCCAAGGGAGGATGCCCAGGTGGGGGCCGTGGGGTTTCACTCCCCCAGGTGGAGGGTGTTGTGTGAATGCAGCCAGCCTGTCGGGGAATCTCTCAAGGGCATTCCAGTATCTCGGGGGCTGCCCCAAAGAAGAGGGAGTCAAGCTATTCTCCAAGGCGCCTGAAGGCAGGACAAGAAGCAAGGAGAGAAGCAACCTGGAACTCAGGAGAAACTTCCTGACAGTCAGAACAATTAACCAGTGGAACTACCTGCCTCCAGAAGCGGTGAAGGTTCCAACACTGGAAGTTTTTAAGAAGAGACCGGACAGCCATTGGTCCGAAATGGTGTGGGGGTTTCCTGCCTGAGCAGGGGGCTGGACTAGATGACCTCCGAGGTCCCTCCCAGCTTTATTATTATCATTATTGAGGCTGAATGGTTAGTGTGAGAACACGCCTGAGGCACAGCTGCAATCACAGCTCACCAAAGCCGGCCAGGCTTCAGCCTGTTGTGTGAATGCAGCCGGGAGTCTCCCTTGACCTTGAGGGAGACTGAGGAACAGAGTCTCTGTGACAATTCTGGCAGGAGAGAGGGAGAAGAGATGGTAATAGTAGTATTAGTAAAGTTGGAAGGGACCTTGGAGGTCATCTAGTCCAACCCCCTGCTCAGGCAGGAAACCCTAGACCATTTCGGACAAATGGCTGTCCAGTCTCTTCTTAAAAATTTCCAGTGATGGAGCATTTATTGCTTCTGGAGGCAGGCCCCAAACTGAATTTTCCAAACCCGTGTCTTGCTAGGAACGTCTGAATGTGTCACCTCTTCCTCCGTCCTGCTTTATCCCTGTCAGCGGCTCAATTGGGGGGGGGGAACCCTGCCAGACCAGCCTTTACCTACCTTAATTCTACTTTTAGTTTAACTTATTTCATAATTTCTTTCTGGCTTTTGCCTGGAGTTCCCTCTGGGTTGGGGGGAGGGTAGAAATTGGCAAGAGAAGTCAAGTGAAGCCTCCCCTCCCTTTTTGGCCCAATTAGGATGTCCAGCACTTGCTGTCCTGTCCTGTTCTGTTCACCCCATTTCTGGTAAAAGCCATTTATGTACACTTGTGTGGGTGGGGGAGCAGGGAGGGGTCCTTGGGAAAAGGGGCTGGTTGTGCCGCAGCCAGTGGAAGCCCCCCCCCATTCTCCTCTTGGGCTCTGCCACTTGGGGACGCGTGACTTGCTGAGGAATTCTGGGAGTTGAAGTCCACAAGTCATCAAAGGGCCAAGTTTGAAGGCCCCTGGGTTAGAGAGCGTCAGCCTTACCACATAGACCAGGCAGGAAGTACGACCAGATCGGCTAATTCTACTTTATCGAAAAGTTATATACGGAATATTGCAAGTCTGATAAGTACAAATCTCCCACCTTGACAGCCTGACAGATGAGGGACGATTTCTTACGAGCCTCTTGCCTGACCCGTTATCCAGCGGTGGGCTGTACAGCCTCTACTCCAGGGCTCCAACACTGGAAGTTTTTCGGAAGAGATGGAACAAGTTTGTCTGAAGTGGTTTAGGGTCTCCTGCCTGGGCAAGGGGTTGGACTAGATGACCTCCAAGGTCCCTTCCAACTCTGTCGTTCTGTTTTTCTGCTTTTCTCCCACTGCAGAGAGAAGGGAGGATGGCCCGCCTTCACCCTACCTATCCAGCTTGACCAGGGGTAGGCCATCTTGGCTCTTTTAGGACTCGTGGACTTCAACTCCCAGAATTCCTGAGCCAGCCATGCTGAGGGGAAAGGGAGAGGTTTCCAAGCTGAGCTGTGCTGGCTCAGGAATTCTGGGAGTTGAAGTCCACCAGTCCTAAAGGGGGCCATAGTTCCCCCATGCTGGCTCAGGAATTCTGGGAGTTGAAGTCCACGAGTCATAAAGCTAGGGGCTTCCTGGTAATGGCAAACTTGCGAGTTAGCTGGTTTTGAAGTTTTAAGGGGAAGGTTCAATGTATTGTGTGAATGCAGAACATGGATTAATTCTGCCATACAAATGCAGGCATCGTACTTGGCCTCTGGAACCTGCTGCCACAAGATGAGAGTAAGGAACGGCAATGCATCCAAGGGTACCAGGGAACAGTGGCCATACAGAGCCTCTAGGGACAGGAGCAGTATAGCTGAGCCCCGCTGAAATGTAAACGGGACAAGGCTTCCTTCAGCTTGGATGCAGCTGACACACCCTGGCAGAAGCCCCGGAATGAGCTCAAGGACCTCCCCAGGGGCTCCCTCAAAGGGGCCTTGTGCAGTTGTCGCCTCTCCGTCCTCGAAGGAGGCAAGACTCTTTGTGTGGGTGCGCGTGGCCACCACCACGTCTCACAGGAAAAGCTAAGGGGTGGCCTTTTTCATCAGCCTGAGGGCCATCCTAGGCCAGATGCCTCCAAGGAGATCCCGAGGAGGAGATGAGGATGACCCCTGCAAGGGGGACTTGGAGGCCCCGACTCCCTACCTGGAGGTGGCCCTGAGTCTTCAAGGTCCTCCATGAGCCCCCCTTTACACCCCTTCCAGATGAAGGCCACCAGCCGACCTTGTGGGAATGAACCCCACCGACTGGGAGAAGATAAGGCAAGCCCATCAGCCCGAGGGCCATCCTAGGCCAGATGCCTCCGAGGAGCTCAACATCAGGAGATGGAGACGCCTCCCTCTTCAAGATGGCCATCCAAAGTGGGCCCGTCGCCGTATCTTGGGGCGATCCGTGCCAGCGGATAGCAGTGTGGCTGTGTGATGTGTCTTCTCTCAGTCTCCTTCCATTCAGCCTGGCCCTTCTGTTGTGGTAGGATCCTGCCCGCTGCCTTCAGCCTGTGCCAGCCAAGGGATGGATGCTTCTCTCCCAGCCACTGCCTGGAGGGAGGGAGGGTCTCACCTGAAAGGCGTGGGAATCGAAAAGGGGGGGGGGACACGCTTGAGTGCAGACATGATTTGCCTCCCTGGGGAGGAGCCCAAGTGGGCTTGGCAGAGCTTGGCAAATTCAAGATCTTCTTTGAAAGAGGATCTCTGTAGCTCAGGGCTGGACCGTGGGGTCCCTGGTGCTCTCTCAGCTGGGTGGTTTTCATGGAGACGTTTCATGACCCAACTAGGGAACATCATCAGTGCTAGAAGGGAGGTGAGTTTGAGGAGGAGGGGGAGGGGGGAGGACTGGGGGGTCTTTGGTGCTCTCTGAGCTTGGTGGTTTTCTTGCAGACGTTTCATGACCCAACTAGGGAACATCATCAATGCCAGAAGGGAAAAGGAGGGTTTGCAGAGAGGAGGAGGAGGAGGAGGAGGAGGAGGAGGAAGAAGAAAGGTCTGTGGGGTCCTTGTCCTCTCTGAGCTTGGTTGTTTTCTTGTGGACATTTCATTACCCAAATAGGCAACATTATCAGTGCTAGAAGGAATGATGTTTGTGGAGAGGAGGAGGAGGAGGAGGAGGAGGAGGAGGAGGAGGAGGAGGAGGAGGAGGAGGAGGAGGAGGAGGAGGAGGAGGAGGAGGAGGAGGAGGAAGAGGAAGAGGAAGAGGAAGAGGAGGAGGACTGTGGGTCCTTGCTGCTCTCTGAGCTGGGTAGTTTTCTTGCAGACATTTCATTATCCAACTAGGTAACATCATCAATGCTAGAAGGAGGAGGGATTTGCGGAGAGGAGGAGGAGGAGGAGGAGGAAGACTGTGGGGTCCTTGGTGTTCTCTGAGCTGGGTGGTTTCCTTGCAGACGTTTCCTGACCCAACTAGGGAACATCATCAGTGGTAGAAGGCAGGAGGAGGAGGAGGAGGAGGAGGAGGAGGAGGAGGAGGAGGAGGAGGAGGAGGAGGAGGAGGAGGAGGAGGAGGAGGACGACGATGACAACTGTGGGGTCCTTGGTGCTCTCTGAGCTGGGCTGTTTTCTTGCAGACGTTTCATCATCCAACTAGGGAACCTTATCAGGGGAAGGGAGGGTGGGGTTTGCAACCCCGCTCACCATCTAGGACAGGTGAGGTTACCTGTCAGGTAATGAAACATCTGCAAGCAAAGCACCAAACTCAGAGAGAATCCATTCCACAGGTCCTCTCTGGTTCGTTAAGCATCCTAAA